AACCAATAAATAAGTATTAACTTTTTATATCATATGTAAAAGTAAATTTGTCACAAATAATATGGTGCATCACAGACTCATAAATATAATAGTTTGATCCAATAAATTTTTACATTCCAACAATGTACTTCATTAATTTATTATGTTTCTTCATAGCAAAGGGCAAAATGAACTTTTTCAAAAGAATTTAACGGTCAACTAGCGGAAAGGGCATGGAAGGGATCCAAACTAAAATTCAGGGGTATGTAAGGGATTGAGCAAAATTCAGGGGTATAAAAGGGATTAGGTGAATTTTCATGGGTACATAGGGGATTTTCTCCTTTTCTTTTTTTATGGGACTATCTATATGGGATTCGCATGATTTTTTAGTCTTTCATCATTCAGTGTTTCACCAAGTAGATTAAAACTGTTTTATCAAGTAGATCAAAAATATTTCACCAAGTAGATCGAAAATGTTTCAATTTTTTAGAAAGCTGAAACACCGTAAATGTTTCACCAAGTAGATTGGAAATGTTTCAATCTTTTTAAAAGCTGAAACACAATTAAATCACCTCGTGAAACATTTTGCTACAACATATGAAACAACGGTTCTAAATATATTGAAACATCAATGATTTAGCTATCAAAAATCATGCGACGTCGACAACTATTTAGCATTCCCCTTTTTTATTGCTTGTTGAGTTGGACTTTTTTTTTCTTTTCTTTCACCTTTTTAGTCAGACTTTTGTTTTCTTTTTTCACCGCCTATGGAAATTTCTTGTTCTTTTTAAGTAGAGAAGATAGAGATAAGAGATTAAAACCGAAACATAAAATTAAAACCGATTCAAATACGGATGACGTACCAAAGTACCGACATAAACATCTTCAATTTTTATAATAAATAGAGATAGAGATATGAATATATAAAGTTTATATGTTGATAGTTTCTGTCCATAAAGTTAGGCTTTTATTCATAAAACTTTTGTAAATCTTCTTAACTAGTATTCCCTCAGTTCCATAATATAAGGCACAACTACTTTTTAATATTGTTTCATGATATAAGACGTGCATGCATGCATGTCATTAACTAGCATATATTTTCCCCAAAAATGTTATTATTAAAATCATCCACCTTCAAGATCTTTAATTTTAGGGTTAATTGGACCCATGCCATTATAACTTTCGTGGTTTTGAAATATGCCATTGATATTTATCTATTTGAAACCATGTCATTATAATTTCACATTTATCTATTATATGCCACTACTTACCCATTCAGCACATTTTCTAAACTTATAGGACCAAATTGTCCCTATCTTCATCCTCATCCTCTTCCAATCTCTAGTTCTCTACCATGTTCATCTTCCATCTCCTTCTCCCTTCAAGCAGCCGGTGGTTGCAGCTGCTACTACTCTTCCTATTGGATGGCATTAGGAAGGATGCAAGCAAGCAGCAGGTGGTTGCACCTGCTGCTCCTTTTCCTGTTGGAGTAGGAGAGCTTCTTCCAAATGGACTTGGGGATCCCCGACGTGGAGGCCCGTGTCCTGTGACCCTGGCGGAAATGAAACAGCGCAGGAGCACGGCAGCCATGGGCACGGAGGGTTGCGCCGGAGAGAGCAGCAAGTGCGTGAGGCGGAGCGCGAGCACATCCGGCCAGGTGGGAACATCCCCTGCGCCCGTGACCTCGTCTCGTTCGCTAGGATGTCAGGTTCGACGAGCAAGATAGAGAGGGGAGGGGACGAACCGATGAAGAAGAATATATGGGTAATTTGGTCATAATATCTTGGAAAATGTGTTAAAGGGGTAAGTAGTGGTATATAATGGATAGGTGTGAAATAGGATAATGAGTGTTGCTCAAAAGGTGATTAGTCCTACTCAAACTGCTTTTATACCTAGGAGAAATATTATGGAAGGTGTTGTTATTTTGCATGAAACTATGCATGAATTACATCGTAAAAATAAAAGTGTTGTGATTTTTAAGATTGATTTTGAAAAATCCTATGATAAGGTTAAATGGTCTTTTGTACAACAGACGTTGAGGATGAAGGGCTTCTCTCCTAAATGGTGTGAGTGGATAGCTTCTTTTATTCAAGGGGGTCATGTTGGTATTAAAGTAAATGATCAAACTGGTAATAATTTTCAAACGTATAAGGGTCTGAGGCAAGGTGATCCTTTGTCACCAATTCTTTTTAATATAGTAGCTGATATGCTTACTTTACTAATTAAGAGGGCTAAAGATGTAGGTTCGTTGAATGGGGTTGTTCCTCATTTAGTTGATGATGGTTTGTCTATCTTGCAATATGCAGATGATACCATTATTTTTTTAGAGCATGATTTACAACAAGAAAAGAATCTGAAATTGATTTTATCTGTGTTTGAAAAGTTGTCTGGTTTGAAGATAAATTTTCACAAGAGTGAATTATTTTGTTTTGGTCACGCAAAGGAGTTTTATGATCAGTATTCTAACATCTTTGGTTGTAAGCTTGGCTCGTTTCCTGTTAAATATGTTGGTATCCCGATGCATTATAGGAAGCTGAATAATAAAGATTGGGAAGTAATTGAGCAAAGAATTGAGGAAAAACTCTGTAGTTGGAAAGGAAAACATTTGTCAGTTGGGGGTAGACTGGTTTTGATTAACTCTGTTCTTTCAAGTTTAGTTATGTTTATGATTTCATTTTTTGAGATACCGAAAGGGGTTCTTCAAAAAATTGATTATTATAGATCACGTTTTTTCTGGGCAAAGGGATGACCACAAAAAAAAAGTATAGACTTACTAGATGGGATATAGTTTGTCAACCCAAGGATCAGGGTGGTTTAGGGGTCCACAATTTGGAAATACAAAACAAGTGTCTCTTAAGTAAGTGGTTGTTTAAATTAATTAATGAGGAAGGTGTTTGGCAGACTTTATTAAAGAGAAAGTAGGAAACATGGTGATTCTCATTTTTGGTCAGGTCTAATGAAGGTCAAAGATACTGTCTTACATATGGGTTCTTGGATTGTGAATGATGGGAATCAAACAAGGTTTTGGGAAGATAAATGGCTAGGAAACTTGGCGTTTAAAGATAAATATCCATCTTTATACTCTATTGTCCGAAGGAAAAGTTCTACTATTGCTAATGTTATGAGTTCTGTTCCACTTAATGTTTCCTTCAGGAGATCCTTAGTTGGTCAGAATCTTATATATTGGCATGATTTGTGTGCTTCCATTATACATATTCAGTTGAACCAATCCTCTGATTGTTTTAGATGGAATTATCATCGGAATGGTAGATTTTCTGTTATGTCAATGTATCTTGCTCTAATTAATAATGGTTATATTGAGAGAAATAAGATTGTTTGGAAGCTTAAGATGCCACTTAATATTAAGATCTTTATGTGGTACTTGCTTAAAGGGCTGGTGCTAACTAAGGACAATTTGGCAAGACGGAATTGGAATGGCAGGTTAAGATGTTGTTTCTGTATGGAAAATGAGACCATTCAATATCTTTTTCTTGACTGTCATTTTGCAAAATTTGTTTGGAGAGTAGTACAGTTTTCTTTTGGTTTAAACCTCCCTAGTACCATATCTAATATGTTTGATTGTTGGCTTTTAGGGATTGACAAGAAGATGAGTAAACTCATACTTGTTAAAGCATCTGTCATTTGTTGGGCTCTGTGGTTGAGTAGGAATGATATAGTTTTTGACAAATCACCATCTATCTCATATATGCAGGTAATATTCAAGGCAACATATTGGCTCCGGTTTTGGGCAAAGCTGCAAAAGTGTGAAGATGATGGAGAGTTTATGAAGGTTGCATGCCATAAACTGGAGACGACGGTTATGCAAATATTTGCGAACCATGGATGGAGATTCACAAATAGATTTGAATAAATGTGTGCTCCTTTTCTTGGTTTGGTTTTTTTATCTTTGGGTGTGTTTAATTTTATTTGAACTTCACTCGTTGTTTGTGTGATTCCTTGTAATAATTGGCTATAGCTCTAATGAGCAAAGGCCGGGATATTTATTCCATTATCTAAAAAAGGTGTGAAATTATAATGGCATGAATCCAAATAGGTAATATTAATAGCATATTTCAAAACCCTGATATTTATAATGGCATGGATCCAATTAACCCATTGATATAAGGAGCTGTAAAAAGAGGGTACAACCGAGACTCGAACCGTGGGCCGAGGACAACAAACAAAAGTAACTAACCACTCCACTGGCAGAACGCATGTTGAAGTAGCGTCATGCATATTATTTTGGAAAAAGTACGCCGAAGGTCCCTCAACTTGACACCGAGTTACAGAAACGTCCTCAAACCGCAAAACCAGATATCCAGCATCCCTTAACTAATCAAAACCGGTCACTTTAGGTCCTCCGGTGGTTTTGACCCCGGTTTTATCCTACATGGCAGCTGAGTCAGCATGAGCCCCACAAGGGCCCCACATGTCAGGTGCCCACGTCAGCACCTCTCTCTTCCTGTCTTCCCCCCTTCTCTTTCTCTTTCTCTATTTCTCTCCTTCCTTCCTCGTTCTCGCGAGCTTCCCCTAGGCGGCCGACGAGCTCGACCGCGTCATTGGCTGCGAGGCGGTCGGAGACCCACGTCTTGAGCTCGCGCCGCCTCGAGCATAAAGAGTTGGACGAGGAGGCGGCGGCCATGAGCCAGCGTCCACGGAGAAGACGCTGGACACGGCGTCGTGGTGGTCGTCTCCGTCGTAGCGGTGGGGGATTTGGTGGTTCTTGGCGTCGTGGCTATGTTGCTGCTACTACTGCCGGTTCGCTCAAGGGACGAGACGAGCTGTCTCGGCGAGCCGCCGAGACGGAGCCCAAGAAGTAGCTGGCTTCCCGGAGCGTCCGCGGGTTCGGCGGCGACGATGACGATGGAGGACGGCGTGCCGGTGGCCGAGCGCCTGCGGCGGCAGGACGCCGGACCGCCCGAACGGCGTGGCCGCAGCTAGCATGCCAGATCACGGGGTCTTCTCCCCCAAATCTCACGTGTCAGTCGCTGCCGCGAGATGGACACAGCAGCGTCATCCTCCTACTCCTCGCCAGCGGCGGCTACGGCCGCGGATGCCTTGTCGTCCGGCTCACCTGCTTCTTCGAGGAACGCTCGCCATCGGCAGCGTAAGGGGGTCCGGCTCCGGATGCTGCGACGGATGGGGCGACAGCCTAGCCGCTCCGGCGGCATCGCTGACATCATCGCCTTCAGTAGGAGGAAGGAGGCGAGGGTGTCGAGGAAGCCGCCATTGTCCTTGCCGAGGATACGGCGCAGGGTGGGCTCGAACGGCTTGAGGGAGTAGAGCACGCCCAGGGCCTCCTCCTCCGGCGAGCTCGTCGAGATGGGGGAATCGATCACCGAGTCGAGCAGGTCATCGTCCGACTTGGCCGACATGTAGGTGGAGGCGGCGGCGTGGCTCTGGACGACGACGGAGACGAGGAACTCGACGGCACCAGGAGTGGCCTCGACGCAGCGCTTGTTGCGGTCGCTCTCGGTGGTGATGGCCTTGATCTCCCGGAGCGCGGTGAGCTGCCGCTGCCTGCCACCGCCGCCGAGCATCGTTGTCCCCTCATCAATGAGCGCGGCGACGCGGCAGGAGTCAACGGGCGCACACGGGGTGGGGAACCGCTCGAAGGCGTGCGTGGCGCACCCTGCCTGGATGACCCGCCGTAGCGTGTGGTTGGGTGTCGCCTCCCGCTCCGCTAGCGCCAGCTGCCGGGTGATCTCGCGCTTCCTCTCGGGATGTCCTTTGCCGCCGTCCTCACGCAGGTGCGTCATGGCGGGTGGATTTCCTTGGTGATGTTCATGATCCTCCCAGTGATGTTCGTGCCATCAAATGTACACCCAGTCCACGACGACGAACACGCGGCGCACCGTGTAGAGCAGCGGCACCAGTGCCCTCACCGGCAGCGAGAACGCGCCGCACCCAGGGTGCCGACCACGTTCTCGGTGAGATCTGGCACGAGAGGAGAAACAAAGAAAGAGAAGAGGGAAAGAGAGAGGTGCTGACGTGGACACCTGACGTGTGGGGTCTGCGTGGGTCCTACGCTGACTCAGCTGCCACGTAGGATAAAACCGGAGTCAAAACCACCGGAGGACCTAAAGTGACCGGTTTTGATTAGTTAAGGGGCACCGGATATCTGGTTTTGCGGTTTGAGGACGTTTTTGTAACTTGATGTCAAGTTGAGGGACCTTCGGTGTACTTTTTCCTATTATTTTACATGCGTTGCACCTCAGCGCCGGGGTGAGCAGGTACCCGACGGCCACCACGGTGGCGTATGGGCTCCCTTTCGCTTGCCAAGTTTCGAGGCCCATACGAGGCAGTCACTGAGCTAGTAAGCTCTCCTTTTAGTCCCACCTCTCTTACTGAACACACATTGCACCATCTTATATACTGAGGCAGGGATTGCCACGGCGTGAAACCCCCTCCCCTGAGCCGAGCCTAGCACGTCGAACACGTGGGTTTCTTTATTGTGCATCCTTGATTCATCTTGGCCCGATTGAATTGGTTTGTCCTCGGACACTTTTGAAAAATTTAAAAAAAATTTTATCCGAGATCTCCATCAGCACATCCTGCGGCAGCTCCAGTGAATTTCCTGCCTTGGCCCCTTTCAAGAAATTCTCTGCAAAACTTGGGAAAACTTTGGAGATTGTACAGCCCATATTGCCTGTTAAAAAGAGCCTGGCTCTTGGTGGATGTCTTGCTATACTGGAATGATTTCTGAAGAAAAGACTCCAATGTTTGATGCAATGTGACCTGATCGCTCTGAATTTATAGCTCCCCAACCCGAGCAGGACGAGGAAATCTCACCAACTTCAGTGGTTAAATGAGAACATGGGCAGATTTCCGTCTAAACTCTGGATCAGAATTGGATTTGCAAAAGTTGGCAAATCTTCAGAGTTCAGAGTTTGTACAGTAAAACCCTGGCTCTTGGCTCTTGCAATCCTGGAAGAACTAGTTCTGTTGTGATTTCTGAAGAGAAACTCGCAATCTTGGAACCAACGTGACCTGATCCCCCTATATTTATAGCTCCCCAATCCGAGCAGGAGGGAATCCGACCAAACATCAGTGCTTGCGTCAGAACAGAATTCCATCTAAACTCTGGATCGGAATAGGACTCTGAATCAAACGGAATACGATTCCATCTCGTGAAGACAGAAGACGGAAGCGTGGTCGCGTTCTGAAATACATTGACAGATTCTGCAAAAATGGAGGGATGAACTATTGAAGCTAAATCCTACTGAAGCTAGCAGACTACGATGAATTATTCCTTGTCTGGCAACCCAGGAGACGCATGTCAGCAACAGCAAGCCCCTTCCTGTCAAAAAGAGAACACAACAACTTCACAGTGCTTGATCAAAATCTCCTCGCCATTTTCCTTTTTGTCATCTTCCCCTTCAACCACATACTGTATATGTTATATTACATCCGTTCTGTTCTGTTTGACGTTTCGGACAGCTTCGACAAATTTAAGGAACCTGTGAATTGACCATCGAGGACAGCTTCTACGCCACATCAGCGAGGACATGGCATAGCTTCGCTCTCTTCTTCTATACCCTGAGCCCTGAGGTTGAATCTGAATTTGAATCTTGATATGTCGTTTCTGAGAATAATTAGTGAATCTTGGTCAAGCTACCAACTTTTTGAGATAATGGAAATGGATTACATCTCCGGCTTCTGTCATAAGACACACAGCCATAAGTTTAATAGTAATAAAAAGGTAAGATAAAAGTAAATCAAAATGAGAAATAAGGTGATGGGACAAATCTCCAACTCCCCTTGATTATTGACTAGCGTTAAACACATAAAATATTTTAGCTAGCAATTCTTATAGAACTACGCCACCCATAGTGGAATAAGAGACCATTGGCTACCAATTCCAAGAGTGTAACACCATTGTGCATAGTATCCTGCTCCTCCTGTGGTAGCATTGTAGACCAGAAGTGGAGCCAGTAGGAAGACATGAAGATAACATACATAGGGTTGGATAATTGTTTACCATTAAAAACTTTATCATTGCGACAACGCCAAATTAACCAACATACAGCGCTAGCTCCAATTAGAATCATCTTCTTAATGGACCTAGATACCCCTCTAAGCCAATTACCGAAAATGTTTTTGGCGTTACGGGGTGGGGAGATATTAAAAGCAAAAAAAAAACACATCTCCAAACAAACTGAGCGACATGACACTCAAAGAAAAGATGATGGATTGTCTCTTGTGCATAGCAGAAAGAACAATGTTTGTCTCCCCCCCCCCCAATTTTTTTTTAGCCAGGTTATCTTTTGTTAGAATTACTTTCTTACGAAGAAACCACATAAAGACCTTGATCTTTAGTGGAATTTTCAAGTCCCACATAATTCTCTTTTTATCCGAACATTACAGTTCATGATCGCGGCATACATAGATTTGACGAAAAATTGACCATTCTTATGGAGCGACCATACAAAGCAGTCCTTTTCATTTGACAGAGTTATATTAGCTAGCTTGAGGATCAAATCGTTCCACTCGATTAGCTTTTGGCCAACAATAGCTCTTCTAAAAGAGATATTTAGCGGCGTTGTGCTCATGACCTCTGCCACTGTATACTGCTTTTTTCGAGCCACATTATATAATGTAGGGTATTGATCTTTGAAAGCACGCGATCCCAACCACGTGTCTTTCCAAAATCTTATGTTTGTCCCATTGCCACATCTAAAAGAACCAAATCTAAGAAATTGGTCTTTGACTTTCATTAAACCGGCCCAGAACTGAGAAATACCTATCTTACTGGACATACCAGAGAGAGGTTTACCCTTTAAGTATTTATTTCGCAAAAGGTCTTGCCATAGGCCTTCACCATTAAACAACTGGAAAAGTCATTTGCTTAATAAGCAGCTATTTTTTATATCAAGGTTATGGACACCTAGTCTACCTTGATCTTTTGAACAGCTGGTGGCGGTGGCGTCGCCATGCGCAGATCGATGTCACGCGTTCTTGATTTTTGAGCGTGTTCTTGGCCTCTTTGCCTGGCCTCCCTGCCCTCCCGGAGCGAGCGCGCGGCCGTGTTGTCGGCAGCTGGACTCTGCACGTCGCAGCAGAGCGCCACCCTCTTGCCGGCGGCAGCGGGGTGGGGGTGGAGCGAGCTCCGGTCGCCGGTGCGATTGAGGTTGGGGGCTTGGGGCTCAGGCGAGGCGAGGCGAGGCGAGGCGAGGAATGAAGAAAGAGCCGGGGGTATAAATAACCGTCGGCTTCTAGAAGCGACGGAAGCGGAGGTGGCGGAATTTGGTCTGGTTGTCCGGTCAGGGCCCACCAGTAATGTGGGGGCCCAGTCTTGTCTTGTGGTGCACGTCTCCGCCTCCGCCGCCTCATCCAGACCGGCGACGGCAGCAGCAAGCTCAGACGAGACGACACGGCGTGGCGTGGCGCTCGGGTGTCCTCGCCGTGCGCGTGCTCCATGCCCGCACACGCGTTCCGCCGCCGCCACCGCCGTTGAAGAGGTCTCGGTGCAGGATGGCCGGCGAGGCAGCTCTTGGCGTTCACCTTGAACATCTTAAGGAACTCCGAGGCCATCTGCCTCGCCGCCGGCGAGCACCCGCTCTGCATCGGCAGGAGCAGCTTCGTCAGCCCGCCCTTGGACGCCGCCGCCGCCTCCGCCGCGCGCCGGTCCCTGTACCGGTGGCACACCGCCCACAGCACGGACACCGCCGCCTCCGCGCCGCCCATCCCGCCGCACTTCATCATCCTCGCCGCCGTCCCGGAGCAGCGACTCCACCAGCCTCGCCGCGTCGACGCGGGCCTCGAGCCCGCTCCCGCTCCGCATCACGCGCGCCAGCGACGCCGCCACCGACGGCGCGGCGCCCCCCGCGGCGAGCGCGGCGACGACGCGCCTCCTGTTCTCCTCCTCGATGCAGTCCGACGTGGCGAGCACCGCGAGCACCCGGACGGCCGCCTCGACGGCCTCCACGCCGCCATCATCATCATCGCCCTTCCCCCTCCTCCGGAGCACCGACGCCACGGTCTCCGCCGCGCCACCGCCCACCGGCCCTCGCGAGCGCGTTCTTGTCGAATTCGTCGACGTCGTCGTCAGACAGGAACGCCGCGAGCTTACGCAGCGCCGGGCACGGGTCGACCCCGGGCGCCGCGACCCGGCGGAGGAGCTCCGCCGCCGCAGCAGCCGGGGTGGGGCCAACAGCCGATGGCGCCGGGGACGGCGCGGCCGTGGATGCCCAGAGCGCGATGAAACCACGATGGCGTCGCTGTCGGCCGCGCCCCTCGCGAACGCGCCCCCGTGGAACGGCACGATCACCGGCAGCCTCCTCCCGGAACACGCCGTCGGCAGGTTGCACGGCGCGGCGGGAGAGCCCCTGCGCCACCGTCGCTGCGGTCGTGTGGCTGCGGAGGCGGAGGGTTCGCGGCGGCGGGGCATCGTATCGTAGCGATGAGACAAATCGTAAGCGATTAGAAGATTCAAACAACCAATCAATTTCAAAATCGTCTGCAGCAGCGAAGAGCCGAAGACCACACGTATGGGCTGCGGCCCTTTCGCTTGCCGAGTTTCGAGGCCCATACGATGAAGCCACTGAGCTAGTAAGCTCTCCTTTTAGTCCCACCTCGCCTACTGAACAAACATTGCACCATCTTATATATTGAGGCCGGGAACGCCAATGAGTGAAACACCCTCTCCTGAGCCGAGCGAGCACTTGAGATTCTGTATGTGTATTTTGAGCGACAGCTGGTTCTTTCGCATATATCCTAGGCCCGATTGAACTTGTTATCCTTTGACTTTATTGAAAATTTTTTTTTTTATCGTTTGGACTGGAATTTAATTTCGTGCACAAATGAACATTTATTGTTTAGGCTACCCCATACCAACATTATAGTTTGGACTGGAATTTAATTTCACGCATAAATGAACCTCTATTGTTTAGGCTACAGTTCTATTCAGGACTCTCATTCAGAATGTGTTCTTTGTTGCATATGGACCAGCTAAAACTTGATATAAATTTATTTTAGTTGTACGATTAGTGTATAATGTAAATGGGCTCATATACCATACAGGTCATGGTTGCGTGAATGCTCGACTCCACTAGCTAGTAGAGATTGAAAATTTTAATATTAATACGCTAACTCGGTGTAGCTATCACCTACAAAATACATAATTCACACATTTATGTGTGTATAGAAGAATATAGAAAAGGTCTAAATCGCCCCATAAACTTTCATACATTTTGTACGCCTAAACTTTTCAAATCAGACAAATTACCCTCCTAACAAAATTCAAGGCGGTACTCGTCCTACATGATTAAAGTAATAATAGGTTCCACGTATTAGTGTTATCTGCACCTCCCTACCTCCTGAGAGAGTGGGATGCTCGCTCATCAACTTATCGTCGTCCAGGAGCCTTACAACTAGGATAGGCAAGGTTAGAAGTGGCGCGACCAGGTGACTATAGGCTTAAGGCTTCTACCCGCCAACAATGAGAGGGGCCATCGAAGATGCCTCAGACTCCTTCAGATATGACAAGAGTCGGGCCCTCATTGAGCGCATCTCCACTAAGTACGATGAGCTTCGCCTCTGAGTCTCTGACCTACCCTCATTCGAGATAATGGCAAGATGGAGGACAAGAGCAATCTGCCTCTAGCCCCAGCTCGATGCCGTCGATGCAGCTGTCAGCTCGACACCACCCTTCGTACTTTGCTACCAATTTGCTACCAGATCAACACATCTACACCATCTTCTCCGCCTTGTCCCTCCTTCCTCCCTCACCCTCTCGCCGCCTATCTCTAAGAACGGCGAAGGTCCCGAGGTGACAACGGTGGACACGCCAAAAATCAAGCAGCATGGACTCAACTAGATCACCCACGAAGGGACGCAACACCACAGCAAAGAATTGGATGGTCTAGGACTAGAGATAGTAGCCAACCTCCACCTTCACTTTTCATTACCACAAGAAGTGAGAATTCACGCCGTCATCTTGAGAACCTTTAGGTGACATCCTCCCCTTCCTCTATGCCACTACTACACAAAAGATTTTCCTGGACAGTGACTCATTGTAATTGCAAATAGGCCATACATAACTGGTCGCGTCTGAGAAAATAGGGCTCATTTTCGCGTGCGGTCCATTTAAGAGGATCGCACCAAAAAATTGGTTTTTTCGTGCGGTCCTCTTAAATGGACCGCACGCAAAAATGGGCATATTTTCACGTACGGATCTATTAAGAGAGCCGCACGCAAAAATACCCACCCTCCCTTTCCGTCCTATCCACTTTAAAATTTCCCTTCTCTCTCCTCTCATCTCTCCTCTCTATCTCTTTTTCTTCCCTCATCTCCTCTTTTTCTCCTCTCCTCATTTTCCTCGTCATCTCCTGTCCTCTCCTCCCCGAGTCCCGACGGCGCGCGATGACGGCGGCGGCAACGACGACGCGCGGCGGCCGCGACGGAACTCGTCGGCAGTGGCAGCGCAACGATGGCGAGCGGGATCCGGCGGGTGGCGGCCAACCCCCGCACGGATCCAGCAGTGGCGGCCGTCCCCGCACCGATCCGGCGGCCGGCCACCCTCTCACCTGCGAGATCCTGCTCCCCTCCCCGCCCCTCCCCTTCCTTCCCTCCCCAAATCCAGCGGAGGGGAGGGGCATTGGCGGCGGTGCGGCCGGAAGGGAGCCCGGAGGCCAGCGGGAGCACAGATCCAGCGGCCGGCCACCTTCCCCCCGCAGGATCCAGCTCCCCTCCCCTCCTCTTCCTTCCCTCAGGCCGGCGGCGCGGAGGCCGCCGCCGACGATGACGAGTGCGGGAGCGGCATCCTCGGCCGACCACCACCACGACGACGACGAGGAGGCGGCGGCCGGGAGCGGCACCGCCACCGGATTTTTGAAAAAAAATTTCCGGATTTTTCCGTGCGGGCGACATATGCACCCGCACGCGAAAATCAGAGTCAACAGCACGGAAAAAACGTTTTCCTAGTAGTGTGCACGCCTCGTGGATGACGCGAGGATGCTGCAGAGCTCGAGTTCAAGTAGACGGTCATTGCGCATGGCTCCTCCCAGCCTCTCCAACCTCGATGACCGCTGGCGTGTCTCTCCTCGGCCTCCAACGCGAGGAGGCCGTAGAGCTCAAGCTCAATGATGCAGCCACTAACACACATCTCCTCGGTCTCCGACGCGATGAGGCTGCATAGAGCAAGCTCGACGAGGCTGTAGCTTTTCATTTGTAAATATGTCATTTGGCTTATTCCACGGATAAGCGAAATAATGGGGCCATCAGATTCACAGTACTAGTATGTAGCACATCCTGTACTAGATTTATTTTTTATGGGAAGGGGAGTATATTTCGACAAGATTTCCAGAGCACTAGAAACGAGAAAAATTGATAGCGCACAATTAATTAATTTACTAAACATGGAAAACATGCAGAGAACTTTCAGTAAACACACTGTTAACAGTTCTGGAAGCAGTGATTTTTTTTAACCCAAACTGAGTGCACTTGGTAGGATGACTGGGCTAGTTTTGAGAAGCCTTGTGGATGCATACCTACACTGCGAGCCATCGTTGGGAGAGGTAAGATTCGATGCAGCAAAGAGCTCCAGAGTAGGTTGCCCATGTAGGCTGCACACAACGATAACAAAAGACCAGGCGCGCATGCAAGTGTCTGGTAATAAATCTGCTCGCCACAGCCGCGAGATTTCACAAGGAAAGCGTGCTCGGAGCTGGAAGGGGGAAGCAAGGAAGCTGGAACTGAGCAGCAGCAGCACGACAGCACCACATGTGTAATTTAAGATACAGAAACAGCCCTTGCAGGCACAAGTGATGATCAATTGTGTTTGTAAACAGAACGGCAAAAAAATGTCAAAAACTAGCTTCCAGCTAGCTTCTTCCAAACCGGACATGAGTGTTGCTGGCGAATCTCGACGATGAAAAGCTATGCTTCCTTGTGTTTGGTGAGTAAGTTGCGCTCGGCGATGCGAAACCGTGTTTCTGCCATCTTGAAGACTGAGGAGTTGAGTAGTCACCACCAGAAGAGAACTGATGGTTATTGTATTGCTTCTTAGGGGTAGATGGAGAAGCCCACACATTGGGTTTGCACTTCTTGTATGGCTGGTCATCCGCATCGTCTGCAATCCAACCACCCCTAGCTTTGGACTTAAAATGAGATGAGTTCCTTCTTTCCTCAAATAAGGGGCTTTTCCTTTTACTTGTCTTGCGAGCATCATGAGGAGCTGATCTAGTGCCAAAATCTTTCTTGCCTTTGCCTTTTTTCCGACTATATGCAGATGATTCACCGTTCATACGATCAGACTGCAGAAAGGGAAACAGGATGTACACAGGATAAATACCCCAAGCAACTCTTATCAGTAGACAATTAATAAGATGCTTCTAACAACCTTGGTGTTCTTTGTGCACCCACGTGCGAAGTGGCCTTCCTCGCCACATTTGTAACACAAAGTTGGAGTTGCCGCGGTACTAGCTTCCCTACGTTGCTTGGCACATCCCTGTTTCAGAAGACATTGATCAGCTGCTGTGAGAAGTAACACATAGAAACAAAGGAAGCCATAACCATGATCAGCTGTTGTGAGACGTAACATATAGAAACAAAGGAAGCCATAATAACCACTAAACTTACCAAACCAGTATGACCAGGTTGGGCACAATTATAACAACTAACTTCTTTTGGACAAATATCAGAGAAGTCGGCGCAACATAGATGACCTTTCTGATTACACACATAGCATTTTATTTCCTGCACAGACCAACAAAGTAGATGGAGGGGGAAAATAAGTTTGGATAATACTATGACTTCAATTAATGCAAACTCGCTGCTACAGGACTTTTGTGCTACATAAGAGAATGACTTGCATTATATTGCATGTTAATTAAGTGGACAAAACATGTGGATTCAGGTATTCAACTAACACAGAAGGATAAGGAAGGGGCTTAATGTAAAATTAAGCTGGCTCACAAAACCTAACCAAGCTTGTGAATAGCACATAAAGCTGGATCAACGTAAATGACAAAACCACAATTCATTCATAGGTATATTCTGAAGCAGCACAGTTTGCATTAACAGTAGGATTTAGATTGTAGCCACAGCATATTAAAAGTGAGAGGTGGCTTTAAAGATATGTTGAGTTAGATTTTTTTTTCCTTAGGCAAGTATCCCTCCATGAGAAAACAATACTGACCTTAACATCATCGCGTGGATAATCATTGGCACATCCAAACATATCATGACCTGATTCTCCACATCGTAAACAAAAAGTAGACTGTTGAGTATTCCTATTGTGCTTTTCAGGGCAGTCTTTCGCAATATGACCTCCTTTTTTGCAGATGAAACAGTCTTGACCCTACAAAAATGATTAACAAATGTTTGATTCCTGAAATTGGCAGGCCATGCCACACAGGCAAGAAGCATTGGCAGGGGCAAGTAAATATGTGTGATTAATGAACTGGAAGTCTGGAACCTATCTAAACAAGGCAAGCATGTTAACTTATGAGTTGAAATAACAAATGCAGCAACATCATGTAATTAATGGAAAACTAAATAAGATGATCTTGTCAAGGGCATGAGCATACATACCCAAGTCACCAAGCAATAATGCCTTGGAGCTAGGGAGACCAACCTGCGTGCACTGCTTTGAATTGTGTCCAAACAACCCACAAACAAAACAAGGCCTCTTCCGCTTTTCCATTGGACAGTTCACAGCTACATGACCCTCCTCACCACAATTAAAGCATGTTTCCAATAAAGTTTCACCAGGATCAAAGTATCTTGGTATGCGCTGGATCATGAGGAAAAGCAACATGAGTATTATTATCTTGTGCCACATGTGCATATGCAAGGAAATTCACTTGGTACTTACAAGAAGCTTCCGTAAAACAATATTGTCAGATAAAGGGACATCAGGCCCATCTTCAGTGAGCACTGATTGTGCTGTGCCAGTTTGCCCCTCCTGGGTCCCAGCAACTTGAGACTGAAAGAACAAATCCGCGCATTAGTAACTCCGAAACATATTAGCGTTAGTAATCCATTCCCAACAAAGAAACATCGAATACCAATGCTCACTCACAAACATAAAATCAGTTATCTATTTGTAAGGTTTCCATACCATTAATAAATTCACAAATAGTTCAATACGCGTATACTTTCTAAGAAGCAGCAACATAAAACATTATTTTCACTTGAAGTCTACAGAATCGAAAGACCCTTTCAACAAAAAAATTTATATTGCCTTTTAAAGTTTTAAACATTTTACATAAACCGATATCAATCAGTATACGTGTTTGCTCCCCTTGGGCGTAATATATCGAATGCTTACTAACAATCACTACGGCTGCATTCGCAGAGAGGCGGTAGATATGAACTCCAAGATCCAACAGAATAGTTAGTTAATCAGTCCACGTACAGCTCACAATCCAACTCAATTCTAGTCTCAAAATAAAAAGAATCCAACTCAATTCTGGCATGGGATGGTGAACTAAATGCAGAGATAGAGCACAAGCAATATCAGGGGAAAGAAAGGCCCACGTGAACCTCCTTGTCGGCGGCGGCGGTCGAGGGCGAGCCCTCGGGCGGCGCCCCCTTCCGCTGCTTCCTCTTCTCCTTGCGCCGCTTCTTCTTCTCCTTGCGCCGCTTCCTGCTGCTGGGATCCGCCTCGCCGAGCTCCACCACGGCATCCTCGTCGATCTCGTCCCCGGACGAGAAGGCGTCGGCCGCGAACCCGGCGCTGGCCTCGCGCCGCCGCCGCCGCCGCGCCGCCCGCGCGACGATCTCGAGGCTGAGGTCCTCGTTGCCCGCCTCCTCGTCGTCGCTGCCGCTTCGAGCCCCCCTGCGCCGCCGCTCCGGGGGCGAGCCTTCCTCGTCGTCCACGTCCGGGTCGCGCCGCGCCCTCGAGCGCCAGCGCTGGGCCATCGGCGGCGGCGGCGAGAGAGCGGAAGAGCAAACCCTAGCGTTCGCGTGCTTTGATTCGGGGCGCGGAGGCGGCGCGAGGAGGAGGGGGCGCGTGGTTTGTGGGGGGAGCGGAATATTCCCCGTGTGAACCAGAGTGAAGCTGAAGCAAGAGGTGCGCGAGCCTAGCGACTACGACCGGGACGGGTTCGCACCGGTGGGTCGGGTTCGGTCCAAATGTTGTGCTACCTCCACCCCTCTCAATTTACGTTTTCTGTTTTAGACGTCGACGGTACAGCAAGGTTGACACAACGAGATTCAGGAAAGTGGCAAAATATCTTATTATTACTATTCCAAACTATATATATTTGTAAGTATCGTTGGTTTTTTATGAGAAATTTACCAATAGCATTTTTCAGATGTTAATTTCTACTCTCTTTGTTCTAAAATATTGTCAATAGAGTTTGGCTTCCTCCGTTAAAGCTCATCGATGGCACTTGAATTTTCACACATTGATGTTTTTTTATTTACCATACATGTCAAGTTTTAAGGGAGCAAAAGGTTGTAAAACTAAATACAATGTCAAGAAATTGTGAATAAAAAACATACATGATTAGATATGTCTAAATTGGTGATGTAATCTTTGACTATGAATTAATCCTCGTTTACGTTAAACTCGTCGAGAGATTAAGACTGTTTTACAATTAACGCAAGTTCTAATCATATTTTTAGAGTTAGTTTCAACTTTCAAGCATGATTGCATTAACAAATATTACTTGGAGTTGGTTTCTTTTGGCCACAATGAAAAAAAAACACTTCATAAATTTGATCCACTCTAGCATAATATTTAATTGGCTGAAAATATGTTTTATACGCCCCTTTTTTGCATGTTGGTTTTTCTTTATATATATATATTGTCAATACTAAATAAACTTTACTAGGAACTGAAGAAAATTTGCAGGTAGAATGGGTTCTTTTAATAATTTGTCGAGTACTTACTAATTTTCAGAACACCACGATGATGATTAGTAGTGTGCCCTTTTAAACTCATATCCAATTAAATTATAAATATTTCATAGCGAAAGTAGGCTTGCATGTTTGTTTTGTAAAGGTGATTTCCAAGTTACTTATTTTTGCACATGCATATAGTTACAAAAATTTATGACTCTTAAAAAATACAGTATTATACAACAATAGACCAACAAAATAAATTGCCTTATATAAAGTAGGGAGAAAATTAGGCTTATGTATAAACTAGGGCTAACTAACCTCTGAAAGTAGGATTAAAAGGCTATTCTCCAAAAGGTAAATATTAGGTTAGCCTTAGCAATTGTCTTTACCATGGCTTCTTCGTTTTTGCCAATAGGCTAAAAGAACTTGTGCCCTTTGTTGAACAATTATTTCCTTCCTATCCTTGCATATCTCTTAACTCAGGATGATATCGATCAGCGTGGTTGTTTTTACACACCAAAGATGTTTTTCACATGTGACCACAATGAATGTACTGTGAAGTTGCTTCAAGAGTCCACATCTAATCTTGAGCTTACTCATTGGTCCTGTTCGTTTCTCCAACAATAGTTGGATGAAGATGAAGATTTTTATGGCACGTTTTTCAAACTGCTAAACGGTATGTTTCGTGCGAAAACTTTTTATATGAAAGTTGTACTAAAATACCAGATTAATCCATTTTCAAGTTCGTAATAATTAAAACTCAATTAATCACACGTTATTACCACATAGTTTTGCGTAAAACACTTAATCTTTATCTTCATCTTCGGGAGATTCAAACACCACCAATTGTAATGTTTCATGACAACGTGCCAAATGGCCGTTGGGGGGGGGTGTCGGGGAGATCCAAGCTTATGTTAATGGAGTATATTATGGTACATGTCAATATTGATGCATCATTTAGTAAAATAATATAAGTTTGTCTATATATGTATATGTGTAATTATATAGACAAATACTAAGATATATTTAAGATTAAACGTATGTATTTCTCTTAGGACTAAAAACATGATATGGTCGTCGAGCTTGGTATTTAATCCCAATTCAGACAAGTGGGCACTTAATTTTAGACTGACGTTACTAGGGACACAATGGGCAGTACAGGCAAACATTGATCGATATTTGGCTAAAACAACACGCTTCTTGATTGTTATTGGTTTGGCTACTGAAATGGCACATATTGTTATGGTTGGAAACTTCTTTTTATCTGGGAACACAAAATGGAGCGACCTATTATCGCTTGATTAATTAAGTATTAGCTTAAAAAACTTAAAAATAGATTAATATTAATTTTAAAGCAACTTTCCTAAGCCCCGCGCCTCCATCCACGCTTGCACAAAGTAACCGCTCCTCCCCCTTTGATGCCGAGCCACCGTCGATTCCCCTCACTGCCCCCTCCCCTTCCAAATCACTTGCGCCGCCGCAAGAAAGGGCGTCCTTGCCGCCGCCCTTGCTGTCCTCCACCATGAGCTTCCTCCCTTCCCTCCGGCCCGTGCCCCGCCCACCGCAAGTGCCACCGACGCCGCCATCGATCCTCTGTTATTGCTTGCCCTGGAATCCGTTCCTAATCTGCGGCCATCGATCATTCCTCATTAAGGGCGTTATCTCGCCGGAGTCGTGAAGTCTGTCTTATCCCCGAAACAAACTGCCCCAGCCCCGTCGATGCTGCCACCCTGCCCTTCGACCTCTGACGCCGCCCTGCCACCTCCCTACATCCTCGACGCTTCCCTCGCTGCCTGGACAGCGGCGACGGAGGAACAGGTAAGATTATTAGTGCAGTACCATGTTTGTGCATTTTTCCCGTTCCCTGTTGTGCTAGCGTACATTAGTTCATCGTTTTTGTGTGAACCATATATAAATCTCATTATATGTTTAATTGTTAGAACGATAAAATTTTGAATATTCCATACCGTTGAAGTAAATAAACTCTTGTCATAAGATGGCTAAATTCCCTTTCCTGAATCTGAAGTTCAATTCATGTGCTTCATTTCCTTTTTAGCCTGAGATGCAGAGGTTTGCTAACAAAATGAACTCCTGTCACGAGATGATTAAATATGATCCTTTTCCTCTAATACTGAATCAGTTCTATTGATGTGCTTCATTTCTACGTTAGCCTTGAGATGCAGAACTTACTACCTTTCCTTCAAAACCTTATTTGTGCATATTCTTCAAAATAATATCTTTTGCATATTCCTTTTATCCATATTGAAAGGAAACCTCAGCTACTAGGCTCTGTTGAGTTGAGGTTGTACTGACTTCTTTAGCACCACCACAACCACAACAACGGCAACAAATTTCAATTATAAATTTGAGCTTGACATTTTATATCCTACTAGCTATTCAGGTCCATTTCGTGGTATATACAGTGGAAATTATTTTTATTTCTGAGCAATAATCATTAATTATCTGAGATGAAAAATTAGAAAACATAGTCTGTTTAGGCCATGTATGCTGAAGTGGTATATCCACTTCTGCTGTCCGGTTCAGTTTCTGTGATATGGTCAATAGTGCTCATTGAGAATTGGCTAAAGATATTTAAATATCCAGTTTTAGATAATTAAAGACATTTGCTTGATTGAAAATCTCAGGTTTTCAAATCTGTTAACAATACATGACTCAGGTATTCAAATATTAAGTTTTCAAATTGCAAGTTTTTTAAGTTTTCTCTTGGTGGATTTGCCATTTGCTCTTGTTCTTTACTTAGACATGAGATTTGGCTTAACGACCGCTCAGGTTAAAATGCTTTGTTCTGTTTTCCTTATTGGTACTTTTAAATCGTCTCTTCAATGGAGGCAACTTCGTTGGCCAGAAGAACGTTGTTTTGTTTCTTGTTCGAGCTTCAACTAAAACATATTTAAGCTTTTCTTTATTTTAGAATTCATTTGTTTTGTTATGACGGGATGGGGACATGAAGACTTCATGTGCATAGCTATAAAGTTATTGTGCACAAAGTTTCTACGGTAAAAAGTCCATGTGCATAAAGTTTATACATCAACAAGCTTACACACAAAGTTATAATGTAAGAGAAAAGGAAAATTGTATCGTGGATTAGATGTAAGTGAATAAAATAAATTCCTCGCCCTCCGCTGCTGGCTGCCGCGGGTCGCCAGGACCACCTGTCCCTCACGATGCCTCCACCCCCATCGCTGCGGTCGTCACCGGCAGAAAGAAGAGCCTGGTGTCAACGTCCTCCCTGGCTCTTGTTTTTGTTGTTGCTGGATGCTGGTATGTTCCTCTTGCTGATTTGTTATGGATTTGTTTCTGCTCCACAATGACCTGGAAATGTGCAGTGCATATTTATCTTTATTGTTTCTAAATGCAATTTTTTTCAGCATTGTGTTTCATTAATGGTGGGGATGTGCAACATATCGATTGGTTTGCTCATATTTCCTAATGCTCGCAAGGAATTGGAAATAATGAGGTTTGTACTTCTTGATTTATCTGCATCTATTTTCATGCTACATAGATGCTCACTCTCGTAATTTTGTAGAGGGGTTTCAACCTGATCCTTTTATTTTTCACATTTGCTATCATTCAAGTGACTATGGTCAGGGAATCATCAACTGGCCACTAGAAAGTCCCTTTTAATTTTGAGGAGGCGTTGGAAGGAGATCTTTTTTCTTGTTTGACAAAGTTCTGTCAGTAGAAGAACTGCAGTAACTCAGCAGGTATATCAGACATTCATGCTCTTTTTTCTTCTTTCTTCAAACCAGAAAAAACTTTCAGCAAAATTTGACAATTTACAAATTTTTCCTGAGTTGGGTGAAGGGAAAAGGTTGCAGAGAATACAATCTCTACTTGTACAGAGTAATACGCAGTTTTGTCATTCTTATCTCACCTAAATGATATATGTTCTTCTCCTGACTCTTGGCTATATCATCGGTGTTTGTTTTGTAAACTGAGCTCTACTAAAATTATTGCAGTTTACTTCTGGGATCAATTTTAGATAAATATATGTATTATTGTTCATGTCGGCGGTGTAGCTATGGTTGTGTTAAGAGGCCACTAATCCGATCAATTTTGAAGAGACAAGAGGATAGATGATGCCAGACGTTTTTGTAATTTTATAGATTAGGGAAGAGAAGACCTCAAAACTGTGGTAAAGAGCACTTCTAAATGTGGATGTCTTTCAACATATAGTCAAGTACCATATGAATATGATGATGAAAAGCACTTTTGTAGGGAACAAATGTTTAGATGATTTATCAATCTTCTGAAATTTGTATATTAGTCCATTTTTATTTAATGATATTTACATGGACAATGGAACCACAATTGTGGAGATTTAAGAACTTCAGAACCAGTACATCAAGCTATATATATCTTTGTCTTGATAGTTTGGTGCACACGGTGTAATTGCCCTGCACCACATATAGCTACTGTTTTTTCATGTTACTGACGGTAAATTTTTTACAGTAATAAGAATAGGAAGCAAAGATAAATTGAACTATGTGTACTGGTCTCTGCCTTCACTGTATTTTGTTGTTATTAACACTCAAGAAATTGAAGTGAGCCTCTCATTTGTTGTCCTTATTAGGTTAGCTATCACAGTATTTTTTTTCCCGTTGCAACGCATGGGCACCTAACTAGTTGTTTAGTAGTTTGGGAAGCGTGCGCGCGAAAAACGAGGGGTAAAGTTAGGAAAATGGACTTAAAAACATAGCTTAAGGCCATTCACAATACACACGTGTCGTTGGGCCTGAGCCATCCACTACGAATATTCGTTGCCACGTCCGCCTCGCGTGCCCCCTAGTGAACAATGCAGAGCCCAAATTGATCACTCGTTCTCCGAGTTGATTGATGGCGTGCGGGCGCATGGGGAGAGGCACGAAACCGCACTGTGGAGGTCAGAGCTTGGCGCTGAAACCTAAAAGGCAAAAAGTGGAGAAGGAAGGAGATGCCCTCACCGCCCCTGCGACCCCTGCAGAATGGAGAAGTGGATAAGCTCTTCGTCGGGGAGGGAAGATAAGAGAAGCTTGATTCACCATGAAGGGGAGGGAAGAGAAGCTCAATCCGGCGTCATCCCCGTCATGCGCCATCGAGCTCGTCGTCATCCCCGACTCGGCAAAGTCGTCGTCCCGTCGTCCACTTCGCGCTGAGGTGACCAAGCTAGCCAGGGCGCGAGGAAGATGCCGGAGAGCTCAGTGGCTCCACCCTGACTTGGCCTCCTTCGCTGCCACGGTCCCGGCCTCTTGACTGCCGCCGTGACGTGAAGAAAGGAGAGGAGAGAGGAAGTCATGACATAGGAGGAACGCCAGCTGTGGAAGCAGAGGGGGGAGCCGACGCTCCTGCGCTGCCAAGCTCCTACCATCCCCAACGTTGCTGCCGAGCCCCTGCCATCCCCCACACTTTGCGCCGCCGACCTCACCATCTCCCGCTTGGAGTCTCCCACCACTGAGGGGTGGTGCACGCGGAGGCTGCCAAGGAAGGAGGGCTGCTGGTCAGGGGAGAAGGAGAGGAGGCCAAGAGGGGTGTGCACCAGGCGATGAGTGGATCGGGCTGGCAACAGAGAACGCGAGGGAGGGGATAAGGGAGAGAGAAGGGGTGGGGAAGGGGAGGGATGGGATTTGATAATCTGTTCTAGGGTGTTTGTTGTAAATTTTGGACCTCCACATAAATTTTAAAAACATGAGGACCAAAACAAAGAGTTGTAGGGGTTGAAATATAAAATCAAAGCCACCCTTAGAGCCACTTGCACCATGAGAAATCTAAATTTTGAACTTGTAGCCAAGTCTACGTGGCACTCTAAGGTTTTTCGAATAGGGATGACGCACTGTGAATGCCTTAGCAAGCTTGATGGATATGCTAGTTTGGCTATTTAAATTGTATGTAGGTGATTTGCTTTCAAAGACGACCTTAAACGGTAAGTCAAAGAAAGAACTTAGTACATTTTTATTATGGGTTAAGGTTTTCCGATTCATGATCTATACAATTTTATTTCAACTCTTATGGGAGTTAGAAAGATTATTTCGAGCTTGAAGTGTATCCTACAAAAACTCATTAACACATTTTTTCCCGAAACAAAAACAATAATTTGTAAAAGTATCTTCATAATCAATCCGTGGTTCCTTTTCCTTCTCGTCTATGTTTTATACTCTTATAGCATCAGAAAAACTTTGACACTTTTAATTTCTTTATATTTTACTATCCTATGTTTCAAACCTGCCCTCACGATTTGAGCTTACGTGCTATAGGAAAAGGTAAGGAAAACCAACTAAGAAAAGCATCTTGTCCAAACATAAAATCTCACCAAAATTCTCATTGTAATCCATTTTGTTTTTTCATTAGAACATATGTGAGTTGGTTATGCGAAATACGATAATTGTACGGTGACGATTAAATTTACTGAGCTTAATAAAACTTTCATCATTAAGAAAAAAATAAAATCACATCGAAATTCGAGGGGCAGAGTAAAACGGCAACCGGCAAGGAAAAGGAACGAGATTTCTGCTTCCCTCGATCTCTCTCTCTCTCTCTCTCTCTCTCTCTTTCTCGCTCACCTGCGCTGCGAGCCTGCGGCACACGAAATCCCCAAACCACCCCCAACCTTCCAAAACTCCCAAACTCCTCCATTCCTCGTCGCACTCCCCCCTCCCTTCTCCTCCGCCCCCGACTCGCTGCTTCCACCTCCACCCGCTGCTCTCCTCTCCGCCGCCGCCGCCGCCGCCGCCGCCGCGGAGGCCGTACGCCACCGCTCTCACCGACGCCGACGACCTGCAGGCGCCCCTCTCCATGACTATGATGACGCCTCCCCCGCTCGAGGTAAGCAACCGCCTCTCCGCGCGCGCGCGAGAGAGATAGAGAGAGAGAGAGAGAGAGCTCTCCCCTCTCCTGTCTACCCGCCCGATCTCCCTCGCTAGGGCTGCACCGTTCTCCGGTGGCCCGTGCGGTGGGCGTCCGATCGGGTGGTGCCGCTTTTTTGCTAGGGTTTATGCCTCCGCGCTGGATCTGACCCCCCTTTCCGTTTTTTTCTTTTTGTCGATATGTTCTTTGCGCAGCCGGAGGAGGACGAGATGCTCGTGCCTCACCAGGAGCTCGTCGCTGCTGACGCCGCCCAGCCCATGGAAGGTGCCATGTTGATTGCTCTCTATGGGGGTTCACTGTGCTGCTTTCCTTTGCTTCCGTGTGATTTGTACAGCGTGGTTTTGTAATGTGTGGTGTTGGGAGTGTTTGTGGGTTGGTAGTAATATATGCTCGTGGTTTGTGGTAGCAGTGGTTGCGCAAACGGAGGCAGCTAGCACGGCGGAGAGCCAGCCAGCTGAGGACCCGCAGACGTCGCGGTTCACGTGGACGATCGAGAACTTCACCCGGATCAATGCGAAGAAGCACTACTCGGATGCGTTTGTCGTTGGCGGGTACAAATGGTGAGCTCCTGGTCTCATAAAAAGGGTAGTTAATGGAGTTAGTTTTCTTTTTGAATGTTTGGATGATAGTAATGTTTGGCGGGCTTTCATGCAGGCGTGTGCTCATTTTCCCTAAGGGGAACAACGTGGACCATTTCTCCATGTACTTGGATGTTGCCGACTCTGCTAACCTCCCATATGGTTGGAGCCGATATGCTCAGTTTAGCTTGGCCGTTGTCAACCAGATCCAACAGAAGTATACGATACGCAAAGGTTATGGTCCTCCATCATGATGTTTACAACTCCTTACGTGAATACACTTAAAATGCAAAAGCAATACATGATAAGCTTGAGAGTATGATGATGCTATACTTTGCTATGTTTCACTAGTTGTCAAACTGTTATCACGGCGTAGTATTCAAAAACTTGCTCCTCTTGAGGTCAGAGGTCGTGCTTTCATCAAGTAAATGGATGCCATATGTTTGAAAATGGTTCTATTTGCTTGTCAACCTTTATGATCTTGCGTTATCGAGCACCTTGTTTGGTCTTGTTGGCATGCTTGCACGGAATATCCTGATGGGTACACTATAGTTTTCTGTTCAATGATTTGGTTGAATCAAATTGTTCCTCTGTTACACTTACACATCATTATATCATGATGAACCACAAAAGGATATGGTTGTTTAAATGGACCCGCTAGACAGCTGAAGGTTCTACTGTACTCTTCTCCTTCGCAGTTTGGGTCTTTTATCCAAGCTCAGATTGGCAATGACCATGATTGACATTTCTATTTGCAAGAGCTCTCACTTCTCCAAGGCCAGGTTCCCCTAGTGTAGAAAAAGAGGTTCTTTATATTTCTTGAACATGAAACTCCTCTCAGACTCAAGAGTGTTATATTTGTATTTGTGCTTTGCTTCTTCTAGGCTTTTCTGTTTTATAAGGCCACTTTTACTTCCTGTATATACTTTTGCTTCATTCCTTATAATAGTCATTAGATGATCTCGGAGTTGTGTGGCCCCATGCTTGCAAATGCTAGGCCTCATTGTTTTCTTTGGTATTTTGAGTTCTCTTAGCTAGTTAAGGAGGCATACTGCTACTTGATCAAATGATGCTGAGTAGATCTACTTTACGTTGGTCTGCGGATTTCAGTGATTTGTATGGGATAAATCTATCACTGATGGACCTGTGATTCTCTGTCTGGCAGATACTCAGCATCAATTTAATGCACGTGAGAGTGATTGGGGTTTCACATCTTTTATGCCTTTGAGTGAGCTCTATGATCCAAGTAGAGGATACCTTGTCGATGATACTGTTGTTGTGGAGGCTGAGGTTGCTGTCCGCAAAATGGTTGATTATTGGACATATGATTCAAAAAAAGAAACAGGTTACGTTGGCCTGAAGAACCAAGGAGCTACCTGTTACATGAACTCTCTACTACAGACACTATACCATATACCATACTTCAGGAAGGTGTGAGATCATGCATCATAATTCAGAGCATTCTAGACTATTGTTTCCAGAACTAATTGACTAACTTCATTATTTTACCCAGGCTGTGTATCATATGCCAACCACCGAAAATGATATGCCATCTGGGAGTATTCCGTTGGCATTGCAGAGCCTTTTCTACAAGCTCCAGTATAGTGACAATAGTGTAGCCACCAAAGAGCTGACCAAATCTTTTGGATGGGACACATATGATTCCTTCATGCAACATGATGTACAAGAGCTCAACAGAGTTCTCTGTGAGAAACTTGAAGATAAGATGAAGGTGACAAATCTGGTATAGAGCTGTATATATGCTGCATGTTGGCTGCTATTAACTTTGCTTTCTTCCTAGAGAACTGTCGTAGAGGGAACGATTGAAAAGTTATTCGAAGGTCACCACATCAATTATATAGAGTGTATAAATGTTGACTATAAATCCAACAGGAAGGAGTCCTTTTATGGTAGGTTTTGTCCTGGTACCAGATTGTGGGTTCACATTAGATGTGTTTCATTATTTATTGTCAAGTTAATGCTGTATTATGGCCATGCAGACCTTCAACTTGATGTTAAAGGTTGTCGTGATGTGTATGCATCGTTTGATAAATATGTTGAAGTTGAGCGCCTCGAAGGTGATAATAAGTATCATGCAGAGAATCATGGTTTACAGGTACCCACATGTTCTTCTCAGTTCTCACTTTAAGCTTTGAAACTGAAGCTAGAGTTGGTTGTTTCATAAAGGTTTGATATAACTTGTGGACTTTTATGTATCTATGAAGATAAAGGGAATCTGCATCCCATATACTATAACAGCTTGCTCCATCTATATTTTATAAATGAAGCCCATTTTTATTGGTTTTGGTGCCAATTCTTGACTATGTTTTTTTGATATTGTCTCAGGATGCGAAAAAGGGTGTTCTGTTCCTTGATTTCCCCCCAGTTTTGCAACTTCAACTGAAGCGTTTTGAGTACGACTATATGAGAGATACCATGGTTAAGGTTGGGACTGCCATAACCTTGCCATTTATATTCTCCATCCATTTACCTCTATTATTTATGTTGTCATGTGAATGCAAGACCTGCTGTGCAAAATGACACCCTTGGAGGCTTGATTTTATTTTTACATTTGGAGAACATACAACGCAATTGGGAAAAAAATGAAATACTTAGAAATTATGAAAATGACTAATGATTGCTGTAAACATGTTAACAACTTAACATCTTCATTTAAAACTATTTATGGTTAACGTAGTATGCTATTATGCTATACTATACTACCTCCGTCCCATATTACTTGTCGCTTTGAGTTTTCCTTTATAATGTTTGATCATTTGTCTTATTCAAAAAATTTTGGAATTATTATTTATTTCCTTTGTGATTTGCTTTATTATCAAAAGTACTTTAAGTATGACTTATCCTTTTTTATATTTGCACTAATTTTTTCAAATAAAACGAATGGTCAAATGTTGCAAGGAAAAAGTTAAAGCGACAACTATTATGGGACGGAGGTAGTATTATATATGTATGTTCTCTCGAGCCTAATTGATCTTAACTTGACCAACCTTGAGTGTGTGGCTGTGTGCACAATGATTTGAGCTTGACCTTGGTGTTGGTTGCTCTCAAAACTCAAATAGATTGCCCATCCCAAAGTTATATGACAAGTTGACAACCCAACATGCAGATACTCTGTGGATCTGATGAGTTGTTCGCTTTCTTGATGCATGATCTTAATTCCTAAAAGGCATAAGTACACCAATGCAAATAGTTTTTTAACTTGGCGAGATCCAATTCCAAATGCTGTGCATCTCCTGTTATAAATCTGGAGAGTCATGGTGTCACATATTGGTATTGCCCACCAAAAGCTTGCCTGTTTTGTTTCTTATTTATTATCCAAATTGATTGGGCCATCTTTTATGATAATTGCTTGTGCACAGGACCACCATAATTCATGGTTGTACTCTCACTTTGAGACTTTTGACATGCATCCCTTATCCTATATATCTATAAAGTTTATCCCCACTAAGTGTAGTTAATGCTATTTCTCTCCTCTCATTAAGCCACATCACCTCAATTCTTTCTAGCTCTTAGATGATTGATCTATGGTCCAAATTATGTTCCTCCTTTTCTTCTCTTACGAAGTCTTATCACCCTAGTTTTATCTTTGAATGATTAATCTATATTATCTCCCTTACCTCATTGAGCCACATCACCTTAGTTTTGCTGTTGGATGATTAATCTATATATAATTTAAATTGTTATAAACCATGTCATCTTAAATTGTTTGTAGCTTTTTCTTCAATGGTCGGTCAAAGATGAAAATTATGTAAAGTATTATAAAATTATATTGTCTAGCTATGCCACATATTATCTACTATTATTATACAAAACTCCCACAGCAACGCGTGGGGTTTCATCTTGTATGGCAGACATCTATTCCAGTGTCACATACTAATTCTCAATAAGGGATGAGAAAATATTTTGGGCTTGAATAGTAAAGAAAAGTTTCCTTTTGCTTTTTGGTTTAGGAATTTTAACAGTTACTTTAGAGCTGCAATATGTTTTCTTCCAACATGACTGGTAGTTTCATAATAATAAGGTGAGACATCTTAGGTGATTATCTTATGTTCCATTTTGTTTCCCTGTAACTTCTGTCTCATCTGCTTTTCCTTGGTTAGACAGTTAACACTGAGCCATCATTTCCTTCAATTTTCCCTGCCATAAATGATTTCAAAAGACAGCTAACGCAACATTAATTCAAGAAACATTAAGTGGATCAAACGTTTGGATCACTTCTTGAGAATTGAGAAGCATGTAGCCGACTAGCCTCTTTAATATCTCTGCTGTTCAAATACTTTAAAGGTTTACGTTCCGGTTCTGAGCTTGGGATTTCTGCTATTATGCCTATCTGTGCAGATTAATGACCGCTATGAATTCCCTTTGCAACTTGATTTGGATAGAGATGATGGAAAATATCTTGCTCCAGATGCAGATAGAAGTATAAGAAACCTTTATGCTCTTCACAGGTAGTGTTTTTTATGAGTATGTCATTCACAACTTACTTTAATGGCTTTAAGATCAATTAATTTCTCCATCACACGTCCTAATAGTTCATTATGGTAGTTAGGGAAACCAAAGTATCAGTGGGTTCGTTAGTAATAATACCTGTTTCTTTTATCTACATGCTATGTATGAGCATGGGGGTAGACTACTAGCTGCTGTCTGTCTGTGGACAAAAAACTTGGAGGAAGAATTGGTTGATAGTATAAAATGGGCTGATATAATGCGCTATACAAGTATATACCTGCACGAATCTTCATGCATAATGACTGAGTCAATTCCTGAGAATTCCACATCACTTGCCATTCTCTTAGCAGTCATTGTATTCCATATTGGTTTTAGAGTTATGGAATAACAGGGTTTTATGTATCTTAGAAAATTCAGTTTTGGTGAGACCTGGGATCAAGCAAATACCATTTGTTATTTTTGTGTAATGGTTTCTTAGGTACCATTTTCAGTGTAACAGTGGTGCTCCAATAGGTGCCTTTTTTCCTCCTTTCCACATCTTTTTCTCACTATGTTTCACTGCTGCTTTTATTCAGTGTTCTTGTTCATAGTGGAGGAGTACATGGCGGTCACTACTATGCCTTCATTCGACCAACGCTATCAGATCAATGGTTGGTTTTTCTTTGACTTTTTTTTTGTCTCTAGTACTACAACAATACAAAATTATTCAACTATTTGCCATTTACCAGATAATATTATTACCCTGTTCCTATGCATGGCCACTTGATGACAGCTGAATAGATGTGTTCTCCGAGACAACTCCCTGGCACTCTATTCGACAACTGAAACTATCTTGTTAGGACCTGTATCTATTGGATTGCAGCATTTCCGAGGCAGATTTCCAAAAAAATATTAGAGTGTTTGTTTCTACACAAGAGAATATCATATCTCAACTAGAGTTAGCCAATGTTAGTGGGACGTTTTTACACACTAACAAATTTACATAAGTTCTCTTAACTGGACAGAAGGCCCTCATGTCAAGTTCAACATGTTACTTTTTCATAATATAGTTGGTTATAGGATTCTGTGTTGGTTCTAATAAGCACCTGACTAGCATGGACTTCAATAACTTCTTTCAAGCTGATGGTCATCAGTTATCACTTATCAAAAGAAGTATGTGGTGTGAGATTACAGGAGGAAAATCATATGCCTTATGCACTTTTATTGTAAGTGGATGCCAGTCTAGGGAGTAACCACGCTGCAACAATATAGGTAACTTGCATATAGACCAGCTGAATACCATATATTAGGCATCAAATGAGTTGCCAATAAATCTTCTTAGGTTTAGTGCTACCTCATGCAAATTTCTGTTGAAGAACCTGGAAACAAGTGCAATATCCTCGCATTATAATTAATTCTACAATGATTATGCCTTTTGTCGAACTATGCTGTTGAATTTTACATCCTAGCAAACAGTTCCCAATTCATTATAGATTTTTGAAAATGTTATCCTGTCTACCAGGTATAAATTTGATGATGAGCGTGTAACTAAAGAAGATACTAAGAAGGCCCTTGAAGAGCAATACGGGGGTGAGGAAGAGGTGTGTTCTACCTGATAATTGATATTGAATGATATGAGATATTGAACTACATATGTTTGTTTTCCTGTTTCCGTAATTTTAATCTCTTTTGGGCTGAACAGTTGCCTCAAATAAATCCTGGTTTCAACAACGCTCCATTTAAATTCACAAAGTATTCAAATGCCTACATGCTTGTCTACATCCGTGAGAGTGATAAGGACAAAATAATGTGTAATGTTGATGAGAAGGACATTGCTGAGCATTTAAGGGTATGTGTTGTTTTGCATTCTCACTCCTCCTTGGGCCAATTTCCTCGATACCACGATTGGAAAATACCATCGCATGTGTCAACACACGTGGGCCCAGGCCCCATGGGTCATTCTCATATGTGGTGATATTTTACAATCTGCATATCTTTACGATGGTATTTCCTGGTTTTCTCCCTTTTAATGTCATGGACTTCTGATACAGTTTGGATGATAAACTGTGGATTTTCAGGTAAGGTTGAAGAAAGAACAAGAAGAGAAAGAACACAAAAAGAAAGAGAAGGCTGAAGCTCATCTTTATACCATCATAAAGGTCAGCATCTGACTACTATTATGTTCATCACTTCATCTCAGTCTGGAACCTCTCTGTGAATCTGTTTCTCATAGTGCTCTGTTTGGACAAATATATCTAGGTGGCTCGAGATGAGAATTTGAAGGAGCAAATTGGCAAGGATATATATTTTGACCTGGTGGACCATGAAAAAGTTCGTAGCTTCCGAATTCAGAAGCAGTTACTGTTTACCACTTTCAAGGTAAGGTGTGCAAACAAGTTCTTGGTTCGTAGCATTGGAATGCTAAATTTCTGCTATACGAGTACACATGCTTCTGTAAAATCAACTGGTAATTTAACTTCTGTTGAATAAATTGTTTAATAGGAGGAAGTTGCAAAGGAGTATGGCATCCCTGTACAATTTCAGCGCTTCTGGTTGTGGGCTAAGAGGCAGAACCACACATACAGGCCTAATCGTCCATTGAGTCCTCATGAAGAAACACAATCTGTAAGCTAGTCACTTTCAATTGTTGGAAGCAAACTGTTAAACCCACACTTCAATTGGAAATTAATCTTACCTTATTATTTCATCTAACAGCCTTAGGTCCAATTGAGTTCTTACGATCTTCCCCTGTCTCTCTTTCTCTCACTCCCCACTTAAGAATTTTCTTTTATATAGGTTGCAGTTCTGGAGTATTTTGTTGTATAGATTCTCTGCTGAGAGTGCTTTGTTATGCATGTTATCAGAAGATCATGCACTTAGCTTATACGTTTTTTCTTTCAATGAGCTTGCTTGTTTCCATTGTGTGTTTATTGCTTCTGTTCTCTTTCTTATCATCTCCAGTTCATTTTTATATGTATCTGCACAGGTGGGACAACTGAGGGAGGTATCGAATAAGGCACACAATGCTGAGCTGAAGTTGTTTTTGGAAGTAGAACTTGGCCCGGTAATGATGTGCTGGAGCTGCTACCATTTCTTTTTCTGTTTTTTACTTATTGTTGTCTGTTATGGCTTCTAGATGCAGGATACTTAACTTTGTTTATCTGTTTGATACTTATGGTTATGCAGGATACTTATTGTTGTCTGTTTTATCATTTATAGGATTTGCGGCCTCTCCCTCCACCTGAGAAGAGCAAGGAAGATATTCTTCTGTTCTTCAAACTCTATAATCCCGAAAAGGAAGAACTCTGGTACATTTATTTGATTAACACCTTATCATTCTTCCTTATTCCTTCACAAATGGCTGACACATAACATTCTTTCACTGATTGCAGTTTTGTGGGGAGGCTCTTCGTAAAGGCCTTGGGAAAACCCTCAGAAATCTTGACCAAACTAAATGAAATGGCTGGATTTGTGCCAAATGAAGAAATTGAGCTCTACGAGGCAAGAGCTAAATTCATGATGCTATATTTATGGGATAATCTAGTATATGTCACTCCATTGAGGCGTGTTCTAGGAGTAGGTCCAGATATCTGTCTGGCGTTCAGTGGCAAATTATTAAGTGTCAATCTTTGGAGTGGCAATTGCTAAGTTTTATATCGACTGCCTTACCAAGTTGACTGTACTTATGTTGTGTTTCATTGGTACATGCAGGAAATTAAATTTGAGCCAAATGTGATGTGTGAACATATTGACAAAAAAGCCACTTTCCGTGCTAGTCAGGTTTATAACATGTTTCTTTTGGTTAAGGAATGCCAAATTTGAATTAAACACTTATTGATTTGCAAAATGCTCCAAATATTGTAGCTTGAAGATGGGGACATCATCTGTTTCCAAAAATCACCTATACCTGATAGTGACACTCAAATGCGTTATCCAGATGTCCCTTCGTATCTGGAGTATGTTCATAATAGGCAGGTATGGTGCTTATATTTCCCAACTTGATTCCAATTCTTTGTACTGTAGGTACAAGGCGTTTATTTCTTTGTTATTTATATTTTTGTCTGTAAGCTAATTGTACACTATCTATTTATGCTGCTACTCTATAGTTGCTTCTATTAATATTTTTGATGTACTTGTGTTTGTGGTTCTATGTTCTCTTCACCCAGATTAAGTCATCTAGTTGTCTGCCTTTTTTTTCTCTGGCTTGTACATCACCTTCTTGGCTTTTTTGGCTCGAGGAAATTGGTAGAAGAGAATTGGAATTTACGAGCTGGGGGTTATTAAAACATGTTGGTTGGTTGGTTGGTTGGTGGGTGCAGGAAGCCGCGATGGGTGGTTAGTTGGTCCCACTTCTTACCATTTTAACTGATGGAAAGGCTTGTTTGAATTGGTGGGGCTTAGGCTTAATGCCTTTGGATGGGCTATAAATGGAATTAAAGTTCCCACTATCTGAAGGAATTGGGTCTAATCTCTTCCTATCCAAACAATGATGATGAGGGGTGGCATTTGGGAGAGAATTGCTGTTTCGAGAGAGAGGGATGGATCTCAGCCTATATCCTTAGGTTTGTTTGGATATGAGGGAATATCTATATCCCCATCAGTCCAAACCTATCCGAAGCGATTAGAAGGGTTTCTTTGTTTGCCAAACAAACCCAGGGATGTGGAAGGGAAGAAGAGGTGATGATGGTGGCAGATGTGGCTATGATGCGGAAAAGTGGCAGTGCAACTAGAAAATGAAAAGGGAAAGAACAAAAAGAAAGAGATAAAGCAAAGAAGTGACGGGCAGACCAATGCACCTGTGGCTAACAGAGGGGATGTATGACCCCCTAAGGCCACACCACCTCATCTATTATTCTCTCTGCTTCACTCCTCTCTTGCTCTCCGCGCCTCCCCTCTCACCCTCTGATAGACATAGATTCATAGTAACGGGTCTGCCAGCAGTGACGATCTGGGAGATGTCTAGATGGAGCTTGGAGGAGCAGAAGACGGCAATTGCAATGGTAAATTTGCCTCTCTTCTTTTCCCCTGAATCTGCCTCAATTCTCGCCCTGAATCCGTCCCTTGTTTTGTCTGTCTGAATCTCCTTCCTACCCCTCCTCGTGCCTTTCTAGGAGGCCTAGTCAATGTTCTAGGTGGAACTGTGATGCGACTGCTTCATACCAGAACTTCTGTGGAGGCAAGGCCAGCACCTACACTGGGCTCTTGTGCTCCATTAAAAAAGGTTAATCTGGGTCTTATGGAGGAGTTAGGTGAGGCAATGCTGAATTTGGTGCAGGTTTAGTGTCCAGTGGCTACTGGGAGCCCAGATCTGCACTTTCCTCACTGGCAACCTGGCTAGATCTGGTTGATCTCAGCTAGTGATTGCACTACACTGACCATGCCACCATGTTAGTTTACTGTCCACCATCACGTTGCCCTTGCTTGCCAACATGCTGTTGCCAATCAGTTGGTGGAGAGAGAGAGAGAGAGAGAGAGAGAGAGAGAGAGAGAGAGAGAGAGAGAGAGTGGGGAAGGGTAGTTGCAGTGTGAAAGAAATAGAAGGCTGGGGCTGTCCTCCTAGAGAGTCGTGTTTAGGTTGTAGAAGAGGGTTCTGCCTGATCCTGGTTGAATGGCAATTTTTTTCTGAGCCCATTCCACTACCTGAATTGTTCTATGGTGTAGTCCTAGAGTTTATGTACTAGATCAACATCCACTGCGAACATGGCAGTAATCTTATCTCATACCACTTTACCAGGCTAGTCTGGTCTGATATTTTTAGCTTCCTCGGTTAAGATGGCTGTGCTCTACAGTATGGGGCCATTATACTAATTTCCATTGATTGAAGCATGTGCTATGGACGCTTGAAATGCATCATCTCCTGTAGACTGAAATGGAAGATTAATTATGTGCTATGAACATGGCAGCCACATTGCAATGGATGTCAAAACAAATACAGTAATATATTATGCTATTCAAACTTCTATAAAGTTGAAATGTAAACAAAATAATTAACTTCAAAACTTAAAAAATGTTAAAATGATTACATTAGATCAATCAACAACCTATAGACGTGCACACTATGCATATTGTCATAACTGATATTTCAATCGACATATGCCTATATTAGTCACACAAGTTCTTGTGTGTGAGGGGATGACCATGAGCTCAATCACCTCTAGCTCCTTTTATAGTAGTATGCTTATAATGCTATGTGCCTTTGCATTCTGTGGTTCAAAAGGAAATTTCTCTTGCTTTCATTCACCCCCTTCTAATCTTCTGCTATCATATGTTAGATGCTTGTTTAATTTTGGTTTTTCATGCTCATGTAATATTATAGTGGGTCTACCTTTTTAATGATGATGCCACTTGCTTTATCTATGTAAATTTTGTTTACTGCAGGTTGTGCACTTTCGGTTATTGGAGAAACCAAAGGATGATGACTTTTCTTTGGAATTGTGAGTGACTACAAAACCTATTGGGTTCAAACTGTTTAATTGGCTAATTATCTAGCATGTATGTGTAACGTTAATTTCTTCCCCATTCTTTAAGGTCAAAACTTCATACCTATGATGATGTTGTTGAGAGAGTTGCCCGTCAGCTTGGTGTGGATGATCCAGCGAAAATTCGTCTAACATCCCATAACTGCTATTCGCAGCAGCCTAAACCGCAACCTATCAGATATCGGGGAGTGGAGCATCTTTTGGACATGCTCATTCATTATAATCAGGTTAACCTTTCACCTCTTTTTGTTTTTTTTTGGGTCAGTTAGCATAGTTTTTCTGCATAGGTAAAATACAAAGGGATTTATACTATCTGGTGCAGACATCAGACATATTGTATTATGAGGTGTTGGATATTCCACTGCCAGAATTGCAGGGCCTGAAAACCCTGAAAGTTGCATTCCACCATGCTACAAAGGATGAGGTTATTAGCTGCAAACAATACATCTTTATTTATCTTCAGCTACCAAGTGCATATATTCATGAAACATCCTTTTTTTCTAGGTTGTGATTCACAGTATCAGGCTTCCAAAGAATAGCACCATTGCAGACGTGATTAATGATTTGAAAACAAAGGTTCTTTTTTTGCTATCCTTTCATTCTTTATTACAAGTTATTTAGTCTTGCTCTCCAGTTTTACACTCTATTTGGTCTGAGATACACCAATGCATGACTTGGATATATTCACATGCGTTCTTTTTAGGGTGCACTTCTAATCTCCTTTAGAGGTAAGGGAGAAATGGATACTAACTTTTTAAGAGTGGTTTTGCATAGGGATAGTTGACTCTCCAGGTTACCAAATTGTGATGCAAAATGAAAGTATCAAGTGATATAACTTGGTTCATTTAATCCATGTTCTGTTAACGTGTAAATACTCTATATAAGTACAACTAGGTGTTAAGCATTGATACTAATATATAGCTCGTTGTTGAGCCGCATATTCAATTTCCATGTGACTGCATGACTGTTTCAACATACTTACTGTGAAAAGTACTGTGAAACCTCCTATCCATATGCTTTTTGTACTAGTCTTGGTTGGTTAAGCAAATCTGGCCATACTTAATAACCTGATGTCAGCTTATTGTACTCTCACTAACCTGTCATCTATCTTAAATGGGATGGAATGTTTCAATTATTTTCATTGGTATTACCAAGTTATGCTGTGTAAACCGGCTTGTTATGTCTCTCCATGTGTTTGTTTTTATGTAAAAATTCTAATTATGTCACTAATCATCAGGTTGAACTATCCAGTCCCAGTGCTGAATTGCGCTTGTTAGAGGTCTTTTACCACAAGATATATAAGGTACTTGTACATTAGCTTTCAGCCTTCAAGAGAAATAAAATACCATATGTCCTGATGAATTCCCTTTTTTTTTTTAAAAAAACATCTGTTTATAATTTATGGCATGGCTGTTACTAATTATAGTTTTTCCATAGATTTTTCCACTCCATGAGAAGATAGAGAATATTAATGATCAGTACTGGACACTACGTGCTGAGGAGGTATGTAATGTTCTTTTTGGTTGCATTTGGTGCTCCATTTCGTGAACTGTAAAGTTGCAATCTATTTCATTTCCTGCTTGTGTCAAAATGTGCGCCTTCATTCTATCCTCATATCTGCTTCTGCTTATTGGTACAGATTCCAGAGGAGGAGAAAAATCTCGGTCCAAATGATCGGTTAATTCATGTTTATCACTTCATGAAAGACCCTCTTCAGAATCAGGTAGTGCACTTCGATATGATCTTCATTCTTGTCTAATTGAGTTGTATTGGGAGTTGGCTACTTACAAAATATGCTGAACATTCCATTAATACTGCTGTGATGACTAGCAGCAGATTCAGAACTTTGGAGATCCTTTTTATCTTGCTATCCGTGAAGGTGAGACTTTAGCAGAAGTAAAGGAGCGCATACAGAAAAAACTCCAAGTCCCTGATGAGGAATTCTGCAAGGTGATCCATCTGTTGAAGTTTCTTATGAAAGCGTGGAATTATAACATGTTTTGGCTTGCTCTTTATCCTTGTCCACCTTGGGATTATGCTGATATATAAGTCAGATTCAGAGTTTTGAAGTATACCAGTCTAGTGGTTTCTTTTACTGTAGGGAGCTGAGAGTTCTCATATTATACTGCAGTCTAAAATTTTCTCAGTAATTCTCAAAAACAGTGGCCATTTATGATACACTTAGCACTGTCGTGCTCATTATCTCTTATAGAATGGTTAGCCATGTGTGTTACGTGAGCCAAATCTAATCTATGTGGGTGAAAGAAAAGAAATAAACTAACATGTATATTCTGATGAGAATCTCTTTGTTGCATTCTCTGCCTTTTACCTTGAGTTTCATTACGTGCCACTATGTGATGCAGACACAGACACTAAACTAATATACTTTTTAATGCTATATGATCAGTGGAAATTCGCTTTCATATCCATGAACCGGCCAGATTACCTCCAAGATTCAGATGTTGTATCTGCCCGTTTCCAGGTAAATTATTGTTTGTTCCCTACAGGCTTCTCTAGTTGTGCCCATAAATTTGTTGTGTTCTATGATTTACAAAGTTTTCTGTTCTGATTTCTTCAGAGGAGAGATGTCTATGGAGCCTGGGAGCAGTATCTTGGTTTGGAGCATGCTGATACTGCACCAAAAAGGGCCTACACAGCCAATCAGGTATGCTGCTGTCTGGTTGTGAACTTGTGAAGCGAGCATAGCGAATTCTTGTGCCTGTTACTTTTACCTTTATTCTGTCACTCGGCTTGGGCATATCTATGCTATACTTCGTTTATCTTGCTACCTGCACTTCAGCTGGTTTACACCGTGGTATTTCTTGCAATCTTTTTAAACTTTCATCAAATGATCTTTCAAAATATTTGGGCTCGCCTGATGTTTTAGAGAATTCTGTTTTAATCCCTCTTAGTTATACATGAAACCAATAATCCGGAATTTTATTACTCCATGACTCCGTCCCAAAAAAACTTCTGGAGTTTGAATTGTCACAAAAAAACCAACTTCTACCATCCTACCTACCCTCAGCACATAAAACAAGAAGTTTTATCCCTTAAATACCCTTTACCTACCTATCACCATTACTACCTTTTCCAATAATGAGGGGCATTTTGGTCATTTTTACTCCCCACTAATTTTACCTTGGGATGCTAGGAATGGTCTTTTTGTGGGATGGAGGGAGTACATGCTGAGCAATTTATATTTAGGCATTTAGGTGTTTACAGTATCCTTATACGCAACTTTGAGATGGCTTTGCTGCTACTGAAGAAAGATCTTGTAGTTAACTTTGGGTTTCCCCGCAAACATCTTCGCACTTCACATACATTTTTCTGCACTGTACTTGCACTGTACTGTAGCATTCCAATGCTCTTTTCTTTTATATGCATATTGCTATGGTTGCAAGGACCTCATCTTAACGAAATTTTGCTTCTTCCTTTTTTGTTTCTGGCTTCAACTAATGTGCAGAACCGTCACACCTATGAGAAGCCAGTGAGAATTTACAATTGAAATCACTTCTGACTGTGCTGGCCCCTTGGTGGTGTCAAATCTGAAAGCAGCAACAGAGAGATGTAGTATGGAGAAGTTAAACTCGAACAGGGAAAAGCAGCAACAAGTTTTGGCCATTTGGGTGCCGTGGCCTCTATTCCTTTCTACCGGTGCTGTTTGGATGCAGAAGTGCACTTGATTTCATTGTTCATGATGACAAATTTTTCATGATTTTCCACCATGCTTTGGGGCAATGGTGCGTGCTATTGAATTTCCTTAAGTTGGGTGTGAATGCCCCCTTAGGGTAGATGTTGCTTCATTTTTAGAGCAAAGTTTCGGTACATAAGATTTTGGTAGGGGGGCATATGTATACAGGGTATAGTTCTGACTCATATCGACTTCTTGTCTTTGTGTGGATGTAACAATGGAAAACATCATACCAATCTTGCTGTATGGCTCAATTTTATCTTCCTTTCGCAGAAAAAATTAACCAGAATTACTGCCGCAGTTAGTGCGGCGCTGGGTTCCGTGATAGTAATAGCTGATGTAAGCGTGGATATGATGTAATTCACCAGAAATATGAAATATCCCGATTTCCTTCGAGAAACAAATATGAAATATCATTGAAATGTGGTACTTCTTTTTTCCTGCTGCTTCGGAAATGAGTATATTTTGATCTTCGGATGGTTGTCTCGTTGATTTACCTTCACATGTGGAATTAGACAATTAGTGTTAGATTTGGTCTAAGATCTGCTATCCTGGAGGAAAAAGATTTTGAATTGGAGTTTTAAACACTACTACATTCTCAACCCGTTATTGTCGTACGGAGTATTTCTCTGTAAAATCGTTCTCAAACTGTCGACTGTAGGGTTGTACATTTCGTATTCAATTTTCCGTCAATGGAGAACTACATGAGGCCGTACATATGCTCATCCCAGTGAATTGGTTAGATTCAGCGGGTCAATCCGTACTTCTGGTAGACACAGCCGTATAAATTTTCGTCGTCACCACAATTTCTTTTTTCCTTTTTTTTAAGAAACATCGTATAAATGCTTGTCAAACATGTGCCCTGAGATTGGGTCGGTATATTCGGTATATTTTGAGATTACTTTACCACAAATATCTTGTTATAAGTGAATATATCATAAATGGATTATTGTCCCTCGAGAGGTCGAGGGACGTCCCCTCGTTTTGTGCATGTCGTTCAAAATGTTACTAAATTTTTTAAAATTTTTTTGTCAAGATAGATCAATATATGATATATCTTTTCACAAACATGCGAGTTAAAATTCGACTTATACAATTCAAAACAAAAAGAATAAATTTGACTGTGAATTACACATTCACTTCATAGTCAAATTTGTTATTTTTGTTTTTACTTGTATAAGTTGAATTTAAATTTGCATGTTTGTGAAGTAACATATCATATATTGGTCTATCCTACCAATTTTTTTCAAATTTTTTAATGACTTTTTAAGTGACATGTAAAAATAAGTGGATATTCCCTTAAAGGATGATTTGAGTGTTCCGAATATATGGAGTGTAGAACCTAAACATAACATGCAAGTTCCACTATAAATCTGGATGGACAAAAGTTCCACTTCCACCACAAGTAACTCACATGTCTAATAATATGTAAAAAAAATTCATTGGTGCTCACAAAAATTTGTAGGTGGACGTGTTTATACTTTAATGTCATAAACTAGGTGTTCTTTGAAAATTGGAGTTTTCCAAGATGCAAAAATATATATTAAAAAATACAGCACTTAAAGTGCATATAAACTTGATTTCAGGAAATTTTTGCATCAACTTATATATTGACAATATTGTCCAAAAAATTATATCTCATGTCGCGTATAAAATTTGGAGTCACGCGTTCGATATTCTTCTCTCGTCACTACGATCTCAACAAAGCTCCAGTCCACTTAACACTGCAACTCCCAACCTCACCAATGGACAACCCGACGCCGTCGTCGAGCTCCGGCGGTGGCGGCGCCGCCGCCGCCGCCAATGCCAGCTCCGACGAGCACCGCAAGACGTCGCCGGCGACGGCCGCTGATTTCTTCGACGAGGAGCACACCTTCGACGATATCCTGCTCCCGGTGGACTTGTTCGACTTCACGCACGGACTCGACGCCGGCGACGGCTGTTACGTAGACGATCAGGCTGCGATTGGGCAGAAGCCGCTGTCGCCGGCGCCGGAGCCGGCGGCAGAGCAGCAGCCGTCGCCGGCGCCGGAGCACGGCGACGATGAGCGGCTGGTGATGTACTACCAAGGACAGGAGTACATCTTCGACCCCGTGCAGCCGCAGAAGGTATCTCTTGGTCTTGCTGCACAATGTGCTTGTTTCTTGGTAACTTTCTACGTTTTTTTTTTCATTCTCTTCCTTGGAAATATAATTATGTTTCTTCATTCTTTGATCCTAGCTAGTACTTGATGAGTTTCGGCTTTAATTTGTTTGCAAGAATTTGGTTAGAAGGTTTTGCTCTTGTATAATGTGGTATATTTAATTTGCTCTTGGATAATTTGTTTCGGCTTTAATTTCATTTTGATCCTGAAAAATAAGGAGCTCTGTTCTTACTTCTTGCATTTCACCTAGGAAAATTAGTAGATACGCACTGAAGGCTTTTGACTTAAAAAAGGATCAGACTGTTATTATCTCCCCTTTTGCATTGTTTTTTTTGAGATCACTCTACCTTTCTTTTGCATTGACACTGTTAGATACAGTACTTATGAGCAACATTTGTGGTTGCTTTTTTTAATATTTGTGGCTCTCTGTTGGATTCTTTTGCTATGTTGAGTTGGTTATCCTCCTGTTGCATTGTTATGTATGCATGAGCTTGGCATGACCAATTCAATGTTTGTCTCTTAGCTTGTAGCTAATTTAGAACGCGTTGCACTAATTCTTGTTTCATCTTTTTTTTCTCTGATCATTATTGGATAGAAGCAGAATTTCAATCTTAAAATGTTCTTCTTCGATGACAAAATTTGTAGTGTAGTTTTATTTTTGCGTAGCCGCTCAACACGAGTATAGTACTTACTAACTCCATTCCAAAATACAAGGGATTTTGCTCGGAAGTAGTGCATGCTATCCATGATTCTTTTCCTACCATGTCATGCGCTCAAGTCTTCTCTGCATTCTTGTTTCCAGTGCAATATTGAAAAACTTCACTATATTTATTATGTATTGCTACAGTTTACCACTTAAATAGTTAAATAACATCGTATTACAGCACTGACAATATTGTGATACTGTTACACAGATTGAAAATATCTTCCACCATCTGAATGGACAGGAGATGATTCCACAGAGCATCAGGCCACAACCCACTAACCTGGTAATTAAATCATCTGCATTTTTCACAACCATTTGAAAAAAATAACTGCATTGCAGATCACTCTCTGCAGCAGTTGTCCTAGCAGATTACAACTTCTCTGAACTTTTCATCAGGTAAGACCCATCACTGTTCCCGAGGACTTCGACAGGTTTGCTGCGCTGACGCGGTATAGGGAGAAAAAGAGGAACATCAAGTTCATCAAGAAGGCGGATTACAGTGCCCGAAAGGAAGTCGCTTTGCGGTACGCATCAAAATCTTCATTCCGAAATGTTAATTTGGTCCGCATTTGCTAGTACTTAACAAATTTTGGTTCTTGTGAATTTGCTCATTCAGGATGAAACGCAGCAAAGGGAAATTTGCACCTAGGGTTCAGACCTCTGAAAATTCCTTGGCACACAGAAAGGGGATAACTTTGTAAGTTCTTTTCAACAGATATATACTTCTGATTTTCTGAAACCTTCATTGCATTATTGCAATGTGGATGCTGCTTGTTGATCGTATACTATTTTTAATTCATGCAGCTGCACCAACTGTGGTGAAAGCAGCGACGCCACACCCATGATGCGCCATGCTCCCAATGGAACCAAATCATTTTGCAATGCTTGTGGGTTGATGTGGGCGAACTCGGTTAGTGTCCACATATTCCATTCCTTCCCCTTATATATCTTGAAATTTTTTTTGTTGAAGCAAATGTTTGCTTGAATGTTTATATGGGTTACTGAATTTTCTACCTTCACCTGCAGAGAAAAATAAGAAAGATCAGAAACCCAACTTCCGGGGAGCAAGAAGATCAATAATACTCAGGATCGTTTCATTTCATCGATGGCATTCTTCTTTGATTCGAGTGCATTCCAATCGAAGTTTAGATGAAACAGAATATAGAACAACGCTGATAGCAGCTATAGAGACGGGAGAGACTGAGAGAGCTTTGTTCTTGTAGTTTACCTCCGGTGTGCTAGGCACCAAGTCAATGATAGTGAGTAGTGATGTCGTAATTTGAATTTTGTAGAGGATAATTTAATCTTTGTAATTGACCCTGAAACCTCTGAATATTCTGGATTTTTTTAAAAAGAAAAAACTGGCTGTTTTCGTAGCAGTGACGTAGAAATAGTCATGCGATGCACTTACTATGCGGGTTAAGTGTATTTGTGGTGGTGTATATGCGTGTGTGTTCAATGCAATGTTATAAAGGAAAAAAATAACCTATCAGCTATGGATATGTGCATGCTCATCCATCCATGAATCCCACTGAGCTTCCACTGCCCAAGGGCCTGTTTGTTTCAGCTACAACATACCAATTTTAAATTTTAGAACTAATTTTAGTTTTTTGTTTGTCGTTTTTAGTAACTTTGCTTTTGCTTTTGAATTGCTAAGGATAGAAATGGAAAGTCCTATTAAAAATATTATTCTATATCAATCACATATCTTCGGAATTTAGAGACAGTCACACAAATTTTCTTCAGTTTTAACTAGAGGTTTAGTCATAGGATTGATTCCTAGATAAGTTGTATCTGCTTTTGAGCTGGTGTTGTTTAAGACTATTTTCTCATCATTCTCCTAGAAACCTATAGACTTGGTTCAGACAAGACTTTTGCAAGGGGTTGTAGCTCCCTGACATGTGAGTTCTTACCTCCTAAATCAACGAGTCAACTACGGTCAACCTGACACGTCAGTAAAAACCGCTTCCCAAACCATCGAAGGAGTCTATTTGCACTGTTTTTAAGATAAGAAAGACGTTATACCCGGTTTTGTGGTTGAGGTAGGCGATTCAAACAGTAGTAAGAGATGAAATAGACTTGTATTCCAAAAAGAAAAGGACTCATCATCCAAAAAGGCCTTCCAACAAGGCCAAGGCCCAAATCTCCTAGTCCTACAAGCCCAGTAGAATGTTCGGCCCAGCAGCAGAGATCCCCTTCCCGATTTCTTCTCCATTTCCGTTCTTTTTTTCCGCGGAAGTCGAACAGTTTCAGTCCACAGCACCCGCGCAATCCCCCGCCCATGGCGACCTCCGCCGCGCGCGCCGCCAAGCGCGCCAGGATCGCCGCCCCGCCGCCGCCGACGCCGACGCCGACGCATCTGCGGCGCGGGGACGGCGGCTACGTGCCGGGGAACATCGTCGAGATCGAGCTCTCCAACTTCATGACCTACCACCGCCTCGCCTGCCGCCCAGGCCCCCGCCTCAACCTCGTCCTCGGCCCCAACGGCTCCGGCAAGAGCTCCCTCGTCTGCGCCATCGCCCTCGCCCTCGCCGCTGACCCCGGCGTACGTACACACCTACTGCCTCCTTACATTTCCCGCGGCAACTGTTTTTTTCCCCCCTCTTATGCGAATACGACGGCTAAGTGTATGAACAAATGCGTGCGTGAACGGAATGCAGGTTCTCGGGAGGGTGGCCAGCGTCGGGGCGTTCGTCAAGAGGGGGGAGGAGTCCGGCCATGTCAAGATTTCACTCGCGGGAACACACCCGAACACATTATCCGCATCACGAGGAAGATCGATACCAAGAACAAGTCCGAGTGGCAGCTCGATGGTATAACCTCCTCCTCACTGCCTCACCTTCCGTACTCCCGTTAGCACTGCTTGTTGTGTGGTCCTTCATTCTGCTGAGCTATATATATGTTAATTTAAAGAATTATGAAAATGAAGGAGGCGCGTCACTAATATTTATTTCCTGCAGGCGCCACTGTGCCAAGAAAGGAAGTTGTTGATCTCATCAAGAAATTCAATATTCAAGTTAATAACTTAACACAGGTGTACCTTCAGTTTATGTTACCGTTCCCTTTGTTTACATTCGTTATCATTTTGCTTTGCATCTTAATCAAGAGGAGCCACTTATCCATTTGTCGTGAACCTATTCCTGATTTCTGTTTTCCTGCTCAACTGTGTTCAGCTTGACCGATCCTTCAGCGTGCCCTTAATTCAGTGACTTAATAGGCTTGGCACTAAAAACTTATGCTCGTGTGTATATATATGTATCTTCTGTGTTCTAAACGCCACGTCAGTGATAAGTAGTACTGTCGTCCTTACGCTCTGAACATTCTATATTTCTTTTTTGAAAAAAAAAAACTGGTTGTTTTCATTGGCATTTGCGTGTATATGCTTGTGATGTGTGTATATGTGACGGTGTACGTGCGAATGTCTCTTCAAAGTAATAAAAAATAAATGGAATTTGTGATGGATGTGCACACTCTATGCTTTTGTGTGGAGCTCAAACTGATCTTGCTTCAGGGGTTTACTAACGGGTACTTAAGGGTTCCAAGCAGGTCCTGTTTGAAAGTTAAGATACGCTGCTGACATAAAATGGATATCTATTTGATTAATATGATAATTTAGCTTTCAAAAATAAACATAAAAGAACTAGTGTTCTAAGCAATATAGTAGAATATAAAGCTTTTGAAAGGATAGACTGGCATTTAGGATTTAGAAGCACACCATTTATGCTTTGTTTTGAACCAAAAAAAAAAGCAGGAAAGGGCGGCGTTGGGACCCACCAACTCTGATGCTAAAAAGGAAATCAATGCTTAATGTGCCCTGCGCTGCTTCTTGGGGAGAAGGATGCATGCATGGGGTAGATTGGAACATCTGACGTGAAGTCAGAGAGACGTGGTGACTGAAACGTGGGTCCCAATGCTCGCGAGCCTACCTGTCAGTGATCATGTCAGGGAGCAGTTCACGTTAGAGGATCCGGTTTCTATGAGATACTGGAAGGAGACCAGGTGGTATAGATGGCTAGATAGGTTGCCCGGTCTGGTCTGGCCTATACATGACTAGGCCCACGACCGAGAGCAGTCAGACCGGCACGATACGTCCTAAACGAGCGGGTCAGGACATGTCAGCCAGGGGCCCTAATGGGCGATCAGTCGTGCCCCCCGCGTGGGACACGGTCAGTTTTTGACCCTCTCATCTCTCCTCTCTACTATATGTATACATACATATATATTTTATATATATACGTATAAACTTTGTATACGTATGTATATAAAGTATATATTATGTATACATATTGCATATATTTATATTTTTTTAATATGCATATATTTTTTATATACAAAATTTGTTTATGTATATATACGAAATATATCAACTTTATATATGTTTGTATATATGTGTAATATAAAAATTACACATATATAAACTTTATATACACGTATATAAACTTTATATACGTGTTTAATACGTGCATATTAAAAAAGGGAAAAACTGACAAAAATACAGAAAGAAAAAAAAAGTGCAAAAAAAGAAACCAGACTAAAAAGATACGAAAAGAAAAAAACAAAAAAAAAGTGCGTAAAAAAACGAAAAGAAAAAAGAGAAACCGCGGGCGCCGCCGCCGCACCCCCCCTCCCCCCCCCCCCCCCCGCCTTCCCGCGCGCGACACGTGCCCAGTCGCGCGGGGAGGGCGCGCGCGACTGATCGCTCTTTTCGGTGTCAGCCCACCAAACGGAAACGGGCTGTTACCTGTCAGTCGAGTGATATCTGGATTTCAAGATCGCAGGTATCGATCCGCCGTCCATTCTCGCAGAGTTGCATCACTGACCGTCGGATCGTCTCTTCCGCCCATTTCATTTGCCTCCTATACTTTCCGAAGTCTCAAACCCCCTCCCTCCCCTCCCTTCTCCCGCCGCCGCCGCCGCCGCCGCCGCCGAGCATGCCGAGCGCCTTCCACTCCCTCCTCCTCCCCGCCATTCGCAACCCCAAACCTAGCCGTCGCCGCGGCCGCGGCCGCGGCGGCAGCAAACGCCCCAAGAAGACCACCAAATCCAAGAACCGCCTCGCCGACGCCGCCGCCGGAGACGCCACCGCCTTCCACCTGAAGACCTCCGCGCGCGCCGGTCCGGGGGGTGCCGGGAGCGGCCGGCGAGGCGATGGGGGATGCCTCGTGCAGCCGCTCGGCAACCTCCTCCTCCTCGGCGGCGGCGGCAACCTCCGCGACGCGGGGCTCGGCGCGCTCCGCCCGCTCCCCGACGACGTCCTCCTCGACGTGCTCGGCCTGCTCGCGGCGCGCGACCTCGCTAGGCTCTCCGCGGCGTCGAGGGCGCTCTACGTCGTCGCCTCCCACGACCCGCTCTGGCGGGCGCTCGTCCTCGACGAGCTCGGCGGGGACTTCGCCTTCTCGGGCTCGTGGCGCGCCACCTACATCGCCGCCGCGTCGGGCGGCCGCGCCCACCTCCCCCCGCGGGGCCTAGAGATCAGGGGGTTCTACTCCGACTACCTCTTCCAGAGCTGGCTCTGCGCCAACATGGAGATGCGGCCGGAGTGGCTCCACCGGGACACCATCGATCGCCGCCGCGGCATGTCCGTCGAGCAATTCGTCTCCGAATTCGAGGAGCCCAATAGGCCGGTGCTTCTGGAAGGCTGCCTCGAGAGCTGGCCAGCATTGCAGAAGTGGACCAGGGAGCACTTGCTGAAGGTCTCGGCCGGGAAGGAGTTCGCCGTCGGGCCGGTGAGCATGACGCTGGATAGGTACCTCCAGTATGCCGACAATGTGCAGGAGGAGAGGCCATTGTACCTGTTCGATGCCAAGTTCACCGAGAAGGTGCCGGAGATGGGGAGGGACTATGAGGTGCCGGCGTACTTCCGAGAGGACCTATTCGGGGTGCTTGGGGAGGAAAGGCCGGACCACCGATGGGTTATCATTGGGCCGGCAGGTTCAGGGTCGTCGTTTCATGTTGATCCAAACTCGACATCGGCGTGGAATGCTGTGATCAAGGGAGCCAAGAAGTGGGTGATGTTCCCACCGGAGGTGGTGCCGCCAGGAGTTCATCCAAGTGCGGATGGAGCAGAAGTCACTAGCCCTGTATCTATCATGGAATGGTTCATGAATTTTTATGGGGCATGTAAGACCTGGGAAAAGAGGCCTGTTGAGTGTATATGCCGGGCTGGAGAGGTGGTTTTTGTGCCTAATGGATGGTGGCATTTGGTTATCAATCTGGAGGAATCTATTGCGATTACTCAGAATTATGTGAGCAGGTTAGAGTTCACATCTCATGCTTCTGTGTTGTTTTTATTGTTTCACTAGACGCAGGACTTTGTTGTTAGAAATTAAGCGACCATCAAGAAGTGCTCTTTTATGGCCTTCTGTGGTAATGAACATAAAAAAGGGCATCACCATGCCAGTAATAACAGTGTATAGAACAAATTAGAATCTCCAGTACAAATTCAAAATAAAATCCAATGTTCTAGGCTTGATGCTTTTAAGCATATGTTCATTCACAAACAATCTCAGTGGTGCACTTATGCTTTTACTTAATTCTATGGATGTTAGCTCTTAAGAGATTCAAGTGTATGTATGTTCCTTGGTCGTTTGTAGGATTTACAAATGACGATCAACTGAAGAAAAGTTTCTGCCAAATAATAATTAATGTCAATTGTCTTTCTGGTTCTAAAACTATTTAAGGTCAACAAAGGCTTATTTCTATACTTTACAAATGATGCCCTCTTCACTCATCGAGTCAAAATTGACTCTGTGTGTAAGCTTCTTAGGAGTAGCAATTAACAAAAGTAGTAGCTGGGTTCTCCTGATGATGCCAGGTGCTAATGGAAGTATCGTGTAGTGTTGACGAAGGTCCCTCCTGATGATCCTCCTTTTGAAAGAAGGCATGAATCAGGAGAGTGTTCTCATTTCAATCTGGGTTGCTGTATAGCTTTGATGTGGAATCCTCTTGAATCTTGTTTAATTGCTGAACTTGATGTGTCCATTAGTCTGCATGATAACTGTTGCCTAATCCTGTTACATCTTTATAAATGACATGCTATCTCTTCTTTTCCCCTTTGAAATATTCAGGAGGAATCTGTTGAATGTTCTTGACTTTCTCAAGAGGCCCAATGCAAGTGAACTTGTATCAGGGACTACAGACAGGGTAAACCTGCATGACAAGTTCCGCAATGCCATCGATATGACTTATCCTGGGATGATTAAACAGCTTGAACTTGAAGCTCAGCAGAAGGCTGCTGCTCGCAAGAAGAAAGTCTCGTTCTGGGAATCTGCGGTAGATGCCAATACTGGAGGATTCAAGTTCTCATTCTGATTTCGTTTCTAGCAGCTAGGTCTGTCAGTCTGATACTTGATTGCTGTTCTTGGTGAAAGTTCGACGATTTTGCCATTCCATTTAAATGCTCAATCACATCTGATTTCCTACCTGAATTCAGGTTTATGAGCCTATGCATTGTCTGAATCTGTCTTAACTGTATCATCTTAAATTTTGGAGGAATGTAGTCCCAGACATGTATTTCATTGTTGTTGTTGTTGTAACATGTAGCTTACACAATAATAAATTGATCATTGACCTTGTGCAATCTCCTATCTTGTCTGACTTCCCAGATGTGGCCTCTAATCTTGTATTCTGATGTGGCCTCTAATCTTGTATTCTTAGATGTTAGCTTTGGTCCTTTGGACGCCTTAAGTTGATTAGTGGTACATCTTTTTGCTGGTGACCGGGCGCCGCTAAGTATTTGACTCTCTGCGGAATCTTGCTTCAAACTGTATCATGATTCATGACAGGGCAATGAATTCACATTACCAAAAGGAATAGAGTTGTATGTTTCATATAGACCTAGTTTATTGGATTAAACATCCAAATCTTAGCTAAAATACCTCCATTCTCTTTTAAATGCAGGCAACATTAGTATCTTTCGACCAATTACAAAAGTACTACGTATTTTCTTTTGGCCAATTACAGAAGTACATGCCTTTGCCTTGTACATAGGTTTTACTTAGTTTAATTTGCTTCGTAACATTAGGAGGAAGAACGCTCCTCAATCTTCAGAAGGCTGCAGGTGTATCTGACTTTGTTCTGTTAAGGCTTACACATCATGTACAGCTGCATGTTTGTAACTCTCAATTGTCAACATGACAACATGGGCATACAGGAGATACTAGTAGATTACAACAAGTTACATCATGTGTATAAGGCTCTAGGTACATATATGCATCCATATTAGTCTTTACGCCTTTTGCTCCCAAATAACAACTGAAATCTGTACAATTATTCCAGGAAGCTTCAGCTTTTCAGGGATCACTGCAGCTGAAAATCCAACCTCTTGTATATACCAGGCAGAAGCAAGATCCCAAGAGGCAAAAACTGCTGCTTGATCCATGTATGGCTCACCAAAACAAATGTGCAATGACCATGACATGTGTGAGAAGGTGTTTTTCTGTAATCGTAAAATCAATCGACGGTCAACCAAATCTTTGTCCGTATCATCCTAAGCAAGCGTTCTCAACCATCTGAGGAGCCCAAGAAGACCCGCATCTAGTACAGGAGATCTTTGTTCCAGTCCTGGATGAGGATCAAAGCAGCAAACAAACGTCATTTTTCTGCCAATATCAGCTTATGTTGTTCATCAGCAGACAAATCTCTCTACTTCTTAGTCCCTAAGACCCTAACATAAATAAAGCTCCCAATCCTTCAAACTCAGTTCATTTTAGGGGGATGTTAGTGGAATCTGAACTTACCAATATCAGCTGCAACTCGATGAGCACACATGATCCCTGAAAATGCCACAGCAATTACACCTTGCCCAGGAAAACAGCTGTCGCCAACACAGTACAAGCCATCTATTGACTGTAAAATAAGCAGTAAATTTTCAGTCCAACAATATTGCAGCACAAGAAGATTTCAGGACATCAAGTCAACAATGCATATTAACTTACAGTAGTATTGAAAGGCATTGCTAGCAATCCCTTTGGTTTACCCCGTGGCATGGGTCCATATGTACCATCATTTCGCGCAAGAAATCTTCGGTGTGTTTTTGGTGAGCCTACCTGACAACACCAAATGTTCAACAAGTCGAAAGCGTGTTAGCACTAGAATCAAAACTATCCCACTACAATTTTTTGCATGATAGCAGCATTTAAAGGTCAAACAAAAATTAGTCAAGATCTGAAAAGAACAGTCTTAGATCCTGACGTGGAAGAACTATAAGAACCTACCTCCTTGAGGACTATTGAATCCTGAAGACCAGGGAACAGCTTTTTTTCAAGCCTCTTTATTATCTCTGTCGCCACAAGCTCCTTTTTCTTCTCATAATCCTTCCTGGACAGACCCTGTGGTGGATATTAGGAATAAATAACTAAATAAGTACATTGGTACAAAAGGCTTAGTTTCTCACAATTTGAAATAAATTAGATTACAGCAAGAGCACAGTCCATACTTCCCAATCCTCTATCCCTGCAGTTGTAAAAATATGAAGTATATGGTGTCCTTCGGGAGCCAAGGATGGGTCAAGCACTGTAGGGATACTTAAAAATATGCTTCCATAAGGCTTCTCCAAATTAGCCCAGTCATCCTGGCAATTGTAATTAGAATTAAGTTATTATGGACTAAAACTGTTGTGTACCAACTTAGCATTGTGTACCCATTGCCTGTGATATCTGATACCCACAGTGGAGTCATACCTACCTCAAGTACAAAATGGTGGCAATCAGTATCAGCAGGCAAAACTGAGGCTTTGACACCCATATGAATGGAAAGGAATGATGGTGCTTTAACATAATTCTTTTGGAAGTTTTTCTCCTCTTCTGGAAGCTCTTCAACTTTCAAGAGTTTACCTTTGAGTAGAAGTAATTGTTATTTTTATGGACAAGTACAAGTGGTTAACAAATAATAACTCAAGAACAAAACTGAGTTGTGAATTTTGAGCAAAGGTTGTGAAACTTTCAGCAAATAATATTGTAACAAATGAATTTCAACGAGCCGCATATTTTTCAAATAAAAATAGATAAGCAGGATTACCAAATGTATCCCATCTGGTAGCATTCGATATCACTGTTTTAGCAAAGAACTCCTTCCCATTTGATAACCTGACTCCAACCTATAGTAATGAAATGCTCAGCTAACAAGTCGATAAAAGCTCCAGATATTTAGTCTAAGTAAGATGAACTTACAGCTTTGCCATTTTCTAAAATTACATTGGTCACATTAGCCTTGTAGCGTATTTCACTGCCTTTGTCAACAAGCCCATCTGCCAAGGACATAGCAATACCACCAACACCACCAACTGGATAGTTAATTCCCCCGAAGTGCCTATCGCACAAGACCTGTTATTTCACCCTTGAGATAACAGAAATTTAAATGAATCAGAAGCAAAATTCTGAGAGTCATGCATTCCACTTACCATGCTTGCATTAATCATGGGTGTTTGCAAGGCATTGACTGTGCTCACAATAAAGCACTACAAACAAAGTGAATAAACTGGTGTTAACAGAGAATCACATGGTCGACGAAAGAAAAATTGAACAAGTGAGTAAACTCACAAATATCTCACACCTCAGCATCTATGAAGGAGAGTAACTGCTGATCTTTTATGAACTTGCGAGCAATATCCCCAGCATTCTGTGGCAGATAATAAGCTGCAAGAGAGATAAAGTCATGAGTTCCATTGTATCAAGTCAACCAATCTGATTAAGCAGTAAATATGATGTACTGATCAAGTTCTCCTCTCAATCATCCTTTCATTGGTTTTTGGAATTGCATTTGATTCAGCTGGAGCTTTTCCATAGGGAATACAATGGGTCAGCTACAAAATCTTGTAGAGGAATATATGGATGCGGTTCTTATACCTAGCGTCAAACATTCCAGAGGCTTTTGAAAAAATTGCCCAAAAAGATATAGAGGCTCCTCAAGGGACTTCAGCTCCAAAGAATTTAATGAATTGAAGATCTGCTCATATATGAGAAAACAACTGTACTTGATATATGCTTGCAAAGAGTGAATTCAAAATACCAAAAAGAAAAAAAAAGTAGTTGTAGATAAGAGTGGAGAATGAAAATGGTATCACAGTACCTTCCAACATGTGCCATAGAATTTCAGGATTCCTTCCTTTTCATGAGGAAATTTATTAACCAGCTCCGTGACGAAGTCATCATACTCTCTATGCACAAGAACTGAGAGGTCACCAGGTAGGTGGAAATGAACCGTAGAAGGATCCGGTATAACTTCCATCTTATGCCCAACTGCTTCTAGTGCTTGTGTAATCAAATTCAAGTTCCCCTGGATCACAGACACAAAGTCATACTTAAGATAAAATCAACACTCAAGAGACAAACAAACATTATCGGCCACTAGTCCCACCCACACATGGCATTACTCTCAGCAACAGCAATATTGCACACCCATTCACCCAGGCATGCCCACTGCCAAGTGCCAACCTATATTCCTAAGTTGGACACCTGTAGCTGCGATTTTCGCCATCATCGCAACATTCCACTCCAATCAGGTAAAGTACCTTCATATCAGGGCATTACGAGGCATAAATGCACTTGAAAAGCAATAACTTTCTCATCGTCTAGCCAACAACATCCAAATCAATCCCTACTTTCCCTTCCCCAATTCTTGCCGTCCTCGACACCGCACTTCACATAGTGCTCCCAGCAATCAATCACTCACTCAAAACCAAATTCGCCAACGCAAGATCCCCAGAATATACTAGCAGCAACGCAATCATCCCAATTCTCATCTACACCCAACCGTGCTCAGTCACTGTCCTCACCTTGTCGGAGAAGCCGAACATGACGGAGGAGCCGACGTCGAAGGTGAACCCGTCGCGGCGGTAGTACCCGGAGCTCCCCCCGGGGATGACGTACTTCTCCAGCACCAGCACCCTCGCCCCCTTCGCCGCCAGCTGCGTCGCCGCCACCATCCCCCCGATCCCCGACCCCACCACGATCGCGTCGTACTCTCCCCCACCCTCCTCCTCCTCCTCCGCCTTCACCACCGTCTTCTCCGCCGCCACCGCAGCCGCCGCCGCCGCGCCCGCGCCTCTCCTGGTCCCTCGTCCCAGTGGGCGGGCGGTGGACGGCCGGCCTACTACTGCTCCGGCGGCGGAGGGAGCGAGGAGCGGGGCGCACGGGCGCGCGGCGGCGAGGAGGAGGAGCGGCATGGCGGCGCCGGTGAAGCGCGGGAGCTCGAGCTGGGTGGGGTTTTTATATGGGAGGAGAGGCCGCGGTGGAATCTGCAGCGAGAGGATTCCGCCGCGGGAGGTGGTGGAGGTTAGTGGAGGGAAGACGAGGGCGCGGCGGATGAGGCGAAGTGGGGGGCCCCACATGGCAGCGAGAGGCCGGGGCGAAGTGGGCCGGTGACCGTTGGTGGGCCCGCCATGGGCGGCGACGAGGTTGGGCTGCGCATTGAGCAGCCCATGGGCCCCGCTTTGCTTCGCTTATCGTAATTGCCCACGTGGCACACAGTAATAGCGGGGTTAGTCGGGCTGGGACCCCACGTGTCGGCGACACGTTCCCGCGCCCATTTTTCTTTACATTATCCTCGGAGACGGTGGCCGACGTGCCGTTATTACCTCTCTCGAAAGCCGCGCCCCTCGCACGCGCTCACCGCCACCGCGCTCACTGACGTCGTGGCCCCACCGCCTCTACCCCCCCACAAAAGGCAATCTCCACCGTCACCTACTCCTACCCCACCATAAAAGGTCACTGACAGGTGGTCCCCGGAGAGCGGGTCGGGGCAGGCGAAGCGGTCAAAACGTACTTAAAAGGCGACCCGCTTGTCTCACTCTCTCTCTGCTACAGCTAGCCTACGCGGTTGACATGTGGGACCAGCTTTGATGGTGGCCCCACGTGTCGGTGTGTGGGTAGGTGGGGGCGGCGTCGGGGTGACGACGGGTGTCTCGGTTGGGGTGAGGGTGGGCCCCACTGGGGGGTGGGGTGAGGGTGGGCCCCACTGGGGGGTGGGGTGGTGGTGGCCGAGTGGAGAGGAGGCACGCGCTTGCTCGCCTCGTCGTCTCGATACCTTTCTTCTCCTTTCCCCATCGCCTCCTCACCCAGAGAGAAGAGGAGGTTGGAGGAGGAGGCGAAGAGGCTAGCTAGCTAGCTAGGGTTTCGTGCTCCCCATCGCCTCGCGCGCGCAGCCGGATCCGATCGGGCGTCCTCGTCGGCGTCGGCGGCGGTGCCCCTGGTAAGGCCGGATCCCGATCCTTCCCGTTCGGTTGCGGTGGTGGGTGGTGTGGGGGGCGTCGGCGATCTGGGGGCGGTTGGGCGAGCTGGGTCCAATTTTGGTGGGGGGCGCGGGGTTGGATTCCTCGGGTTGTGGGGTGGGGTTTGGATGGGGGGGAATTGGAGACGATGTGGTGTGGGTTGCTGGGCTTGGGTCTAAGTAGGGATGTGTTTGTTCGGGTTTGGGGTTTGATGTGGTGAGAATTGGGGGGGTGTTCGTGTTGTGCGATTAGGGGAATTCGCGGTATGCTGCGTGCTTTTGTTGAATTGTGTGAGAATTTTGGATTTTAGGTAGTTCTATTGTGGGGTGGGGGGTTAATTGATTTGGGCGTGACTTTGGATCGTGATTCCGGGGGACCTGAGCCGTGCCGTGTGAAATCGCGCTGATTGGAAGGGTACTCGTTAGACCAAATTGTTCTGTTCTGGGGTTTATGTTTGATTTGGTCGGCGTTTGCTATGGTTTGGAGGTATTAATTGGAGAGAATTTGAGCTGGTTGAGGCTCTACCGAGTAAAAATGGGTCTTGTGCTGGAACTATGACTATGATTACATAGCATTACCTGATAGAATCATTATGGGGCTTCTGGAATTCTGATATGGGGAATATAACTTTCTTATTTTTCCCATGTTTGGCTTGATGAGTTTTGACATAACTGGTAGTTTTTGTTGGCTAATATGTTCATTTGCTCGGAGTATATATCCTATGAAAATTGGCATAAATCTTGCAAATCTAGTTTTCATTAGGGATAGAAGTTCTTGAAAAAAAATGAACTATTGAAAGGGATTAGGGAGGATTTGCACTACAGTTTTACAATATCTCAAGATCATTTTCAACTAACTCCCCCAAGTGCAAAAGATCATACTTGGTGACTAGCGAGCAGTGAATTCGTATGCACTATACAGCAAATGAAAATGAGTTTAACAATGCATTTTACTTGGCTACACAACTTATCTGTGGTAGTTTTTTTTTTTTGGCAACTTCGGAAAGCTATACTTTGTTAAAACTGAATTTGAACACCTGTGCCATTGTTTACAGGCTCTTTTTTTCAACAATATAACATGTTTGTTTAAGTGTATACTATATTTGTTTTCATGGGATCATTTTGGCCTCAGCTGTGAATAACTGATGTGTTTGCTTTCCATCGTGAAGCCATTTTGAGACTTTGGTCAATTGAAGTGTTTATATTCTAAGCCCTTCTTTTCTCCATATTCTAGATATCAGTGTTGTGATTCCGTTGCAATGGCATCTGGAACTGATGAGAAAGCCAAGATGGAGGGTTTGACATCAGCTGCAGCCTTTGTTGAGGGTGGGATTCAGGATGCATGTGATGATGCATGTAGTATCTGCCTTGAGGCGTTCTGTGAGAGTGACCCTTCCACAGTAAGATGCCTTATCTTCAATTGTATGTTTTTTCTCATATATGACATTCTTTTAACCATTTTACTGTGTTTCTTTGTTATGTAGTTGACTGGTTGCAAACACGAGTTCCACCTCCAATGCATTCTTGAATGGTATAATATTGACCCCAGTTTATGCATATCATTGGTGAAAAATTCTTATATTTCTGCTGTGCGCTGTACTTTGTCTGTCTGAATTTATTTGAGTTGTTCCTGGATCAACTGCAAGCATGTTGACATTATATATCAATATCAAACTATTTGGGTCAGTTTTGATTTCATGTGGTCAGCTTTGCATGCTTGAGGTTTTGGGTAGACTATCAACTGTTCTTTTTCTATTGAGGAGTTGTTATAAAATTCAGTGAAGGAATGAACCAGACTTCTAGTACATAATATCCTGCTCTCTCTAGGGTGCTAATCCCATATATTTGTGCATTGATGACCATGATACACCTACTGTCAACTTTTTACACTTCTTCCAGTTTGCATTAAACGTCAGTGTGACCAGACAATATACCTAAATACTTTCAACTATCAAAGTATCTACCTATTAGTATAGTTTCCATGTGCTAATTTCAGTATTTCCATACATTCCTATGGATGCATGCATATCATGATTGTTTAATTTTATTGAGATTAAATTTCTGAAAGCCCTACTACCTTTGGTAAAACCATCACAAAATCACATTTTCAAGTGATTGTTTCACAACATTTGATCTTTCGAAACATTTGACAAAACTGAACTTTAGTTATTTCCATCATACTCAATGTACTTGGCCCCGCTTGATAGTTACTAGCATATATGTTCCATTGTGAATTTGGCTAGGTTTGTGAGACTAACAGCTGGTGTCGATAGAATACAATGATAATGCTTAAAATGTAATTTTGTGAATCCTTTTTTTAATAAATAAATGAGGCCTGTTATGAATTTTTTTCTCAAGATTGCAGTTTGCGATAGCTTTAGCAAATGTAGTGCTGTTTTATGAAAATGTACTCCTTTATTAATTGAAGGGGTGCTGTATTATAGAATTATTCATAGTTTTGTTCATATTACAGTATAGGTAAATAAGATTTGCTATATATTTATATAGATCCTTCTTATATATAGTGGAATTGTGAAACTTCAGTGGTAGTTAACTAGCTGTAACTTGTAAGGGGATTTCTCCAGAGATTATGAATGAGACTTCACATGGCAAATTCCATTATCAGTTCTTTTTTCTGTGTAAAAAGATTTTTCATATTGATGATCGGTGGTCCTTTTGCATAGGTGTCAGAGAAGTTCTCAGTGTCCTATGTGTTGGCAGCCTATCAGTTTGAAGGATCCTACCAGGCAAGTCGTCAAAATACTTTATGTTTTCTTTGCCTATACAGATATCAGGCAGAATTTTAACATGTAAAAGGGTACTAACCTCTGTCCTACTAATATGTCAGTCAAGAGCTGCTCGAGGCAGTGGAGCGTGAAAGGAATGTAAGGACCAATCAAACTCGAAATACAACTATATTTCATCATCCTGCTCTTGGAGATTTTGAGGTTCAGCATGTATGTGTTATGAAACTAACTTGAGTTTTGATATATTCCTCCTGATTTGACTAGTGAAGCATTTTCTAGTGTTAACCTAATTAGCAAGATGAACTTTTGCAGTTACCTGTTGTTGGTAATGATGCTGAACTTGAAGAGCGTATATTACAGCACCTAGCAGCAGCCGCTGCAATGGGAAGGTCACACCACCTTGGTAGAAGAGAAGGACACAGGGGTCGTTCCGGCTCTCATGGTCGTCCACAGTTCTTAGTTTTTTCTTCGCATCCAAACATGCCTTCTGCTGGTTCAGTTTCTTCATCGTCCGTTCAAGGGGAAGTGGATAATGAATCAAGTCCTGTCCACACAACTGGTGAATTATCACTGCATGCTAACACCCATGAAGAAGCAGGCAATCAAAGTCCTGGGATGCTTACCTACGATGCTGATCAAGATGCTGTTGTTTCATCTGGAAATAGTACCCCTGTATCTAGCCCTAGGTTTTTCAACAGGTAAATTGAGTCACCTATATGCATGCACTATGTCCTTATGTTTTTTTTTTATGATAACCAATATGATGATCCTGGTGTATCAGGAGGCATTCCACTGGGCAATCAACTCCAGTAAACAACGACAGAGCTGGGCCTTCAGATCTTCAGTCTTTCTCAGACTCTCTGAAGTCTCGCTTAAATGCTGTCTCTATGAAGTATGGAGTTTTATTTTCTTAAGTTGCTTCGAAAGTTGTCTATCAACTTTTATGTTAAATCTGTTTCTCCTTTTGTCCGATTCAGGTACAAGGAATCTATTACAAAAAGTACTCGAGGATGGAAGGAGAGACTTTTTTCGCGTCATTCATCTGTGGCAGATCTTGGTTCTGAAGTAAGAAGAGAAGTTAATGCTGGAATTGCATCCGTATCAAGGATGATGGAGCGTCTGGAAACTAGAGGTAGTAATGGTAGAACAAGTGATGGCCCAGCAATATCCACTTCTGAAGTTATTCCCAGTACAGAATCAAGCAATGAGAGAGTTACAGAAAACAATCCAACTACTGCAGCGACAAGTAGTGGCAACACTTCTGCGTCTTCTGCCCCTTGTGTTACAACAACCGGTTCAAATTAGCATGTTATAGGTTCCGAAAGAAGGCCTGCACATTCCCATTCTTCTCCATCAAAGGTACTACATTTTCAACTGAAAGATAATTATTGCGATATATGTAGTTTTAGTATGCATTGCTTCTAGACGGAAGGATAATTTATGCACTCAACCGTGGCTGTCTTACCTTGTAATTTAGTCATTTAGTTCTAGTTAGGTTAAGGGTTAGTTATTGGTTGACTCTCACATTTGAGAAAATGCCATTTATGTAGAAACGGGAATTTCATTTTTTTTTTACATCCAAGCAAGAGACGCTGCCAACAATTATGTTTAGTTAAACAAATATGGATATGGGTTACGTCCATTTATTAGCTCCAAATGATTATCTTAGTTCAACTGTCTGTTTGCTCACAACTGATTCATGTTACACGGATTACAGGATTGCCATTGCCAGGCATGGGCAGGTGACCAAAAGCAACGTCATGTTGTCATCCTCAGCATTGCATAAATCACCTCCAGAAAATCGGAATGACAAATTTGATGTATTGGTTTGATAAAAGGGCTCAGCCCGAGGTATTACCTTAGGATGCCGATTTGTTCTGCTTCATCTATGTAAAAAGGGAAAAAAATCAGGGACAAGTTTTTACCGGTATAAATAATGGATTTGGTGACATAATAGCAATCATAATCGTGATAAATATGATTGATACAGCAAAATTTTCCTACTGTGCGAGAAAGCCAAACTCATCGCTTTCTACCTCCTGTTAAACAGGATGTTTGAACAGTCGCTCTGTTCGTTAAATTGTTTTCATAAAAGATTTGCTCTCAGCAACCCACAAATTTTAAAAAAATCATGTAAATTCGCACGAAATCTAGCTGCTGCTCTTTTTTCTTTTTCTTTTTTTTTTTTGCCGTTGTGTGCAAACCTCACCGTTCTGTAGTTTTAAGTGCTGACCTGCCAGATTTGCCCTGCGCTCACGTTTCTGAAAGTAGTTATCTTTGAGCCTTGTCAAATTTTTATGGAGAACCTGGCTAATTTGAAACAAGCTTCATGGTTTTCAACTTTTTTTTCCCTAAATGCTACTGCACTTAATATTTTCAAGGTCGGATTAGGCAAACTTATATCACGTTCTATCAAGTTGAAAAGTTAAGTCCACAAGACCACAACAGAATATATTTGCTGGCAGCAAAAACTGGAACTTGAAGGGGAGGTAGCTAGCTCAGCAACATATGGCATCGTTAAATGCCGTATTGTGAAATATATTTGTCAATAACAAAACAAACATGACTTTCACTTATATGGCATTGTGAAATGAAAACATGTGTCAACAACAAAAACTATAGTACTACAATTCAGGGTGTAGGTTACTAGCTCAACAACAAAACTGCAGTTCAGAATTGCGTGATGGCTAGTACATGTTGCAAGTGGCACCAAAATCGTTACAGCTGTACCCATAGCGGAACATTCTTCCGACTGATTAAGCAAATATCCCTACAAAGTCGCTAAGAAACCAATAAAAGAATATTTTCTGTCAGGGGAATGAGAAACCCTAAAGAATAGCCTCAATCCTTTGCCTCTTGTGATCTTACAACTGACAAGTAGATATGCCTCTGAAGATTACCACAGGGTCAAGATGCCATCTCCAGGCAAAGATTAAGTGCTGACTTAACTAGATGAACGTTCATGTCTCACACAAACAAGATCATCTAGCTTGTTTCCATCCATCTTGTACAGAGATACGCCGCCCATCTGGACATGGTGTTCCTGAGCCTCCATTCGTAAGCTGTCGAATGGGAGTACCTCCCACTTCTTGTAGTTTGAGCTCTTTCGTGTTTCGCTCATGTCTGGAGTTCCTGATACAGGTCCGTAATCTGGGTCAACTGTTCCCCATACCTTGCAGTTGCTAAATGGCCCCATTTGATCAGATTGACCAGTTTCATGCCTTTTTAAACGAAAAGCCGCAGCATGCGCTGTTCTGATCTCTTCCCTGCTAGGTATATCCGACCAATCTTCTACCCTCTTTGCTCTCATGGGGGAATGGATTCGAATTACCTACATACAGGAAACAGCAATTAGACAAGACAACTTCATATAGACAAATCAGACGAAAACATGGGCGAGAGCCTGGAGGCTTACTCCAAGGCACTCCAGAAGTTGATAATAAGCCCGCCCTTGCAGTGGATTGTGTCCTTTCCTTGGGGGTGAGAAGTACCTTGTCCTGAAACAATGAAGTGGGCATAAAACATCCTTGCACAAAAATCATAGAGAACAATAGTACCATGGATATCTACATATAACACATCCATGCATTGACTTACCATTCTGTGTAGTTAGGGTCAACTGTGAATCCATACATGTCGATAATATCACACATGGAAAGGGCCAATTCTATTGACTTCATACCAGTCCCTTTAGCACCTCTTCTCAAGACTATGCCTTGAAAAAGATAAACTGGGTTTGGAAGTTCCTGCCAGTTAAAACAATTGCCAAGTATTCAGTGTGAATGATTTCAGTCCCCAAAAACCATAGTAACAAGAAGAAAATCACAACAGCATGAAATTCATGCTTCACATTAGTATGATTCAAGAAGAGACAGATAGTGAATTGTACAACATGCTCAGCTGGACGAAAGAAAAATGTGATCATATAACCTTTTACCTTTATCACCGCATTGATTTCTTTGTGCGTCAAACTTTTTATAATAAGAACCTCATCAGCTGCAACAAAAGCAGGACAGTTAGACTCCTGTTTAAAAGCTCATCTAGTGGTGACTACTATAAAAAGTGATCTCATGCATCTAAAATTTATTAGAAGAGAGCAACTTAAGTGAAGTATAATAAATTCCTATAAGAACTAGTTAAGCTACAAATAAAAGTTATCTGGTGTTATTACACAAATGTCCTTGTATGGAATAATATATTAGTCCTCAAGTGATGCACAATACTAATTGTCTCTGCAAGCTTAACAAGGCATCTTCCAAGTTGCGAAAACCAGAAATGAACGACATTGCCATGTGCTTTCTAATAGTTCGAGGATAATAGAGAACACCAATACGAATATTATATTTTCTCTCATTTATGAAAAAGTAAATTAAAACACTATCAGGATTGAAGTTATCTGGAAGAAACCAGGATTACAGCATTACAGGAGCCCTTTAGTATTGGCGCCATGTTTCGAGCAGCACCCCTGACAACCAGTCGAAAGTCCCTTTTCAACCCAACATATTTTGCATACTTCTGCAGGCCAAAGATAAAATAAGAGCAAAATTAGTAAACGAGTGTCAATCTGTGCCAACTTTAGAAGAAAATATAATTTTTAGATGTCCGGAGTTAGGATAGAAGACACCTAAAATAACAAGAAGCTAATAAGATGGCAAGGGGTTCAGGGTAGGCATTAAGAAGAGAGAATGGAGTAATAACTTAACAGGAGGAGCTTAGCTGCCTACGGGGTCAACAAGAACACACTAAAATAGGCCATTCACATAAGTTAGCTTAGATACATATGAAGTGTTAGCTTAGATACATATGAAGAACTCAATGAGATTACCTTATTAACAGGTGCTTCATTATCTCGGAACACAGCATCATGTGCATCAATCTCTTGTCCAAACTCTGTTTTCAAGAGATCCCCTGAGTTACCAACAACAGCACATGTTGCAAACTGGCGAGGATGAAAAGGAGGCTTAGCAGGGAGTAAAACACTAAGAAGCTCTTCGCACAAAGTACGATTGTAGCATTTGTCAGCACCGCTGCATATTTTTTAAAGCACATTAACCAGTATGCGGATTAATATCACTTCGTTACGAAGAATAGTGCAAATGTGCAACAAGTATCAAACTTACAGCTGTGCAATCCTTTTGGCTGCATAATCCAACCACCCATCAGGTCGCACATCTAAGTACTCCCTTGTCAACACAGTCGTCATGTTACGGTACTGGCATCATATTAGCATTAACACATAAGTATATATTCTAATAAACACGCTATTTCATAATTCATAAACCATGTACTAACCTGTTCCCACAGAAGGATAGTTTCACAGACATCATAGTTGTATTCTAGTGGTTCAAAATATTTGAACTGAGTGTTGTACTGCATAAGTCAAGAGAAGTGATATCTTGAGTGGACCTTTGTTGAAGGACACAAATCCGTTAACAGAAGTAACTGCATGTGAACATGACAGGGAATACTTACCCAAGTGCTGTTGGTTCCTTTAGGAAATCTAAGGACTAGCTTGCAATGATCAATAATATCTGCTGTGAGGCCAAGTCCCCTTCTTGCCTAAATAAAGTTGAGATTTCAGAAGCAAGCTAGAAAAGAAGCAAGAGAGTAAAGAACATGTAAATGAAACTTCTACTGCTGATCAAAGGAAAATGCTGCAAATCTGTAACTTATAATACTTGAGAAGGTCTAAAACTGAAACTGAGTTTCACATAGATTCTAGATGACCATTTTGCAGATTGCCTCATTGTTCATTATGGAATGGTGTCCTATAAATCGCATCCTTTCTCCGACCAAATTCATGCATAACAAACAAGAACTAAACGTAACAAATAAGAACCAGCAATTTGATGAATAATGTGATCCCACGATTGACTGATTGCAAAGACACCATGCATGGATGAACAATTCATGGTTGTTTCAGCGGACACGACACACGGGTAGACCATAACAGTATAACACTAGTAGCTAATTCACTGCCCCTGCCCTTCACTATGACACAATCCACAATTACTGTGAACTCAAATTGATCTCTTCAAAGCAGAAATGTGCTTAGTTAAAAACAATCAAGGCTTCCATGGCAGGACAATTATTTGAATTCAAGAGAGCACAGAGCAAGCCGGGGTCACGCACCACGCACTGCTGGACGCGGGACTGGAAGCCCGAGAGCGCGCGGACCTCGTCGGAGTCCAGATCCAGCCTACTCGCCAGCCCTGCAAGAGAATCCATCCCTCCCCATCAATCCCACACAACGAAGGGGAACGAAAGCTAGGTTTTCGGGAGAGCGCTCTCACTCGGAGCGGTGAAGAATGAGGACTGGATGGAGAGGACGGCGAGGCAGAAGGCGAGGGCCAGCCCCAGAAGCAGCACCACCGTGGGCCGGCGCGGCGGCGGCGGCAACGACGACAGCGGCGGCGGCGCCCTCGCCATCGCCGGATCGGAGGCGGATGCGATGCTTCCTTCTCCTCCGCTTCACTCCACTCGTGGGAAAAGGCAGAGAGGAGGGGGTTAAAGCTCTCCTTTTATTTTCTTTGTTTTTACACTCAAAGTTGCTTATAAGGTGGTGTTTGAATTTCTGAAGATATAGGGGGTGTTTGGATCCCCGCCACACATTGCCTCGCCAAACATGCGGCTGCCACAACAGTTTGACTGATGTTTGATTAATACGTGAGTTGTGGCAGCCACACTTTTTGCTAGTTCATTTGCATGCTTATTTCCGCCACAGCTGTGGCGATTATTTCTCTCGCCACAATCTCTGGCGACGCCACAACTTGATGGCTGGTTTGGGCTGTGAACCAAACAGACCCATAAAGATGAATATCAAGTGTTTCACGTAAAACGAGGTAGTAATAATGTGTGATTAATTAATTTTTAATTATTACAAACTTGAAAAATGGATTAATCTGATATTTTAGAACAACTTTTATATAGAAAGTTTTCGCACGAAACACACCGTTTAACCGTTTGAAAAGCGTACCACGAAAATCAAAGTTTATCCTTCATTTATAGAGGATTCGAACGGGCCTAAATGGGACTAATCATTTGAAACATAATGCTAGGAGTATTTGAATTTGAACTAATGATGGTTCATCAAACATGATCAGTTTGCTTTAATTTGATACTACAATCCATAAAAGAGAAAATAGTATGTCAAAATTGGCTTCAACTGTACTAGTACAAGTTTTTGCAAATGGCCAAATGGGATGCTATTGAATTAATCTAGGAGAATTCGATTTTGATTTAGATCCTACTCCCCCATCCCATAATATAAGGTGTCCACACATTTCCAGATTCTACCTTTAAAATATTTTGACCAACATTCAAGTACAATATGAATTAAATTTAATTGCTAAAAAATATATCATTGGATTCACATTTGAATTTACTTTCATATGGTCAGGATGGCATATCTCAAATTTTGCAAAATTATAATGGCATGGTTCCAATTTTCCCTATAATATATGAGAAATTATAAGACAAATATTAGTTTTGGAGACCATGTCAAATTTGACCATGTCTTATAGGATAGAGGGAGTATCTGAAAAGCAGAAATTTTCTTTTTGACATAGGATCAACAAATCCATTAACCAGAGGCTCTAGGGAAGCCGCCAGAGACCAGTGGGATACAAAGACAGGACTTGGCTCATGAACACATTCAATCCTATCTCAAAAGTAGAAATATTTAACTATCAGCTGATAATATTTTGGGATAATTTCATTTCTGCCATGTCTAATATTGATTTTACCTTTTTTAGGGTTTTTGTTTTTATCCCCACTTTTTTAACCAAAAGGGTAAGGTTTAGACGGAATTGAGTGGGACCGGGTTTATGGCAGTAAAGAAATAGAGAAAAAAAGAAAATATTTTTTTTAATTTGTTATTGACCTTTTTACCCTTAGGAAATATCCAAGTAGGGGAAACCTTCCAGCCTCTCGTGTGCACGGGTTCACTCCCGAAAGAAACCCCATCCGGCGGCGCGGCAAGTGGCGGCGAGCGTGCGTCAGTCAGGAACAGACCCCTCCCACCGGCACTTTGCGCGGGCTAGGCGGCGGCAGGGAGGGGGCTAGGCGACGGCGTTGAGGGGACTTGGTGGCGGCTGGGAGGGGGCTAGGCGGCGACGGGCAAGGGGTTTGAAGGCGGCAGCAGAATGGGGGCTTGAAGGTGGTGGCAGGGAAGGGGCTTGGCGGCGGTAGGGGAGGAGCTGTGGGGAGGATTTGTGTTGGTGTTGGGATGTGAGCAGGAGACGACGATGGTAACAGCGACCCTGCAGATTGAGGGGACCAAGGGGATGTTTGGTTGATGCCTAACCTTGCCGTAACTAAGTTTAGGCTAGTTGAGGCATGGTGGCACAAAGTGTGGCTTAAAAATAGTTGGCCACAAGTGTGGCAAGCTTAGCTTCAAATTTGAGAGTGTGATATGTGGGTCCCAAGGCTATGAAAGTGTGGCATGACACAATTGCCGTAGCGAACCAAACACATACGTAAGAAATTGTGGCATAACTAAAGTGTGGCGTAGTAAAGTGTGGCAAACAACCAAACAGCCCCCGAGTCCAGATCGGCTGTCCCCAAGGTGGAAGACGGCGCGACGCAGCATGGGGAGGAAGTGACGGCAGCAGCGGCAACGGCCGCGATACCATGTTTGCGAGATTGGATTTGCTTGACTTTGGTTTGGATTTTCTTGAGTTTCTTATGCTTGCTATATGTTGTGTAAAGAATGTGTCTAATTTGTGCCATTTTATCTTTCTTTTTTTTTTGTCAAAATGTGTCAAAATTTCTAGCAAAATTATGTCAAATTTTAAATCAAAATTTATCCATAGTATGTCAAAATTGCCACGCTTGTGGAAGTTTATCAAAATTGCTACTTGTACAAATGGAAGCAAATACACAAATGATAAAAAAAATAGTGTCAAATGTGCAATAGCATGTAAGGGCATGGATGTCTTTTTTGCCAAAGATTTAACACCGTCAACATGTCCACCCAAAATAGGGATAAACTTTGGATTTGTTTAAAAAAACAAGGGCAAAAATGAAATCCTAAAAAATAGGAGCAAAATCAATATTGTATATATCAAAACAGGAGCAGGAGCAAGAATGAAATTGCCCCTAATATTTTTGTTGGGTAAGGTTCATGTCTAGTGGGCTAGTGGGATGTGGCCCTAAGTTACACGGTTGGCCCTAAGGAATAAGCCCACTTTGACTTCCTTAACTATATATCGGCCCCCTCCCTCAACTATTAAAATCGATCAAATTTGACTCCCTTGACAGTTTTAGAGGACTATTTCACTAACGTGGTGTCTACGTGGCAATGTTGAGCTGATTCATGACATTGACGTGGCATTAGAATTAAAAACATGTACGTGGAATCCATTCGTCATTCACTAAAAATTATGGGGCCCACATGTCATCTGTGTCTTTCTTCCTCTCCCTTTCGGCCGTGAGCAACGGGTAAGATCTGGAGCGGCGGGCGGCGGTGGCCGGGAGCGAGAAGCTCGTCGTACCTCTGGCCGTACGCGTACTGCTCGAGGGAGAAGGGCAACAGTGTTCGACGTGTCGTTGGCCGGCGGCGCCCTTGGCATGGCGCCGTGCGGCAAGCGGAGGGGATCATTGAGGAGAAGAAGCTCCAACTTTCAACTATACTTTTAAAACTATTAATTTATATATTTTTAAAATGCTAATTACCATAATTAAGTTAATTAGACTAATTGCCGTAATTAGCGGCTAGGACGGTGTGAATGTAAAAGGGCATGTAACCTGAGTAGCACCCCAAGATCCTAAGTTCAAATCTACGTAGGAGCAAATTTCAAATTGTGTTATTTGAGGGCTAAGTTCCCTGTATGATAGACTAAATTCTTAATTTACAAAGACTACATATATCCGGTTGGATGAAGAGGCCGGATAAAAAATACCTTTCTCTATAAAGAAAAGAAAAACGGCGCCGATGGTACGTGCGCGCCTGCGCGAGTTACCCATCAAGCGCTAGCGCGCGCTAAATAGGAATCCCCAGTTGGGCATACACCGGAAATTAAAAGTGGAGAGCTGGCGGTTCCGTGGTTTGACTTTGGAGAAACCACGAAGGAGGCCTCTCCATGGCGACTCCATCTGACGCCGCGACGATCATATGGAGCACGGAGCTCGAGCTAGCTCCACTGATAGCAATGGTGAGGAACCGGGATTATTTCGCCGGCGCTCGATTCCACGTCCTCCGTGGCGCGTGCGAGCACCTGGCGCACGTCAGGGACTGCGTGCGCACGAGGGCCCGCGTGGCGGCGCGGCGGGGCAGGAGGCTGGCGACGGCGGCAGCCTGGACAGAGGAGGCGGAGATCTACCTCCTCCGGTTCGGCGAGCTGCGGAGCGCGCACGGCCGGATCCCCAGGCTCATCTTCTGGGATCTGCTCGGCTGCTACCGCGTCAGCAAGGTCGCGTCGCTGATGATGCCGCAGGTGAAGAGGCTGTGCGAAGAAGGGGGAAGGATCGTGCGCAGGAGCAAGCTGCCCCAACCGATGGAGATCTCCACGGGGTTCGCGAGCAGGGATCGTACCCTCCGGGCCGCGATCGAGAGGGTGAGGACGATCCAACCCAACGGCATCGTCGCGATCTGGGGCCGCGCCGGCTTGGGGAAGACTTACCTACTCAAGCTCGTTGAGGAGTACTTCTCCCGAGATGACACCTTCGATCTCGTGCTGCGAATCGCCTCTCCGAGAGATTCCTCCGTAGCCAAGGTACTATCTATACATGCATACTGATTTATTGCGAGTAGTATAACACTAGGATATTCAGTTTTTTTTTTGAGAGGTAGGATATTCAGTTGAGGTATTTACAAAATGAAGAGAAATAGCACATCTACAAATATATAATTTTTTTTAGCAAATGTATGATACTTTGCACTGGATATGTTGTTGACAACCATTGCATGGACAGATATAAACAATTTGGCCCTTTCATTCCATATCCATCATAAGATGCATTTCTAGCATGTAACTCTTGGCCACTTTCAGGTTCAAAGTGAAATTGCCAAGAAACTCATGTTGGCTAACTGTGACGGCATGCAACATAGAGCAAGAATTTTCGACTTCTTGAAGGAGAGAAATTTCCTTTTATTGCTTGACTGTGTATGGCAGAGACTGGATCTAGAAGAAGTTGGGATTCCATCACTTGACTTGGTTGGAAGCTGCTACAACCGAAGAGTGGTTTTCACGGCATGCTCTAGCCATGTCTGTGATCAAATGAATGTGGAAGTGGAGAACAGAATTGAGGTTCACTGTCTTGATCATACAGAATCATGGGAAATTTTCAAGCAGAATGCTGATCTTGATTACTTGGGCCATAAGCATGTGTACCTGCCAAGAAATATTTCCGCGGAATTGCTTGGTTCACCTTTGGAGCTGGTAACAATTGGAAAGGCCATGCACAATAAGAAGGATGCAATATATTGGCAAAATGCCCTTCATTATCTGACTGAATCATGCCTTCGTGACACTCAATGGTCAGGTAGTGAAGAGGCAACATTTTTCAGATTAAAACTTGCGTATGACAGCTTGACAGGAATTCTGAAAGATTGCTTTAAGTTGTGTTCTTTATGGCCAGAGGGCCATATATTTAATCAACGGAAATTAGTAGACTTCTGGATAGGGTCAGGATTAATACAAGGGGATGACATTGAAGCGTCTTACAACGAAGGTTTCTCTCATATTACCACCTTGCAAGAATTTTGCCTTTTAGAGCCAGCAGAAGATGGAGAGGCAGTGCAAATGCAATCTACAATCCGTGATTTTGCCTTATGGGTTGTACACAGTCAAGGCGAGGACAAGAACAAATGGAGAATCCAAACCAAAGAGAATTGGGGATTGGCAGAGCAAGTTCTATTAGTGGGGCTTAAAATTACAGAACTGCCTCGTATTCCTAGCAATCAAAAAACCCTTGAAGTCTTGATACTCCAGCACAATTATTTGGAAGACGGTTCTTTCGGGAACTTCCCCTCGTTGCTTTCACTGCAGTACCTAGATCTCTCTTTTAATAAATTGTCCAATATACCTGTAGAGATTTGCATGCAGGTCAACCTAAGATATCTGAATTTGTCAAATAACAGAATAAAAACGGTACCAGTGGAGTTAGGCTGTCTTACCAGACTGAGGCACTTGCATCTTCGGAATAATCCAAATCTAGTTATTCCAAATGGTATACTACCAAAACTCCAGAATTTGGAGGTGCTGGATGTTTGCTCATTTAATTTACTGCAGTGCTCATCCTATGAGGCGCCAATTAATGAGCTTGTGCGTATGGATAAATTGCAGTCCCTTGGAATTACTGTTCGTTCAGAAACCTCGTTTCAAGGGATTAGTAAGACAACCTTACCAATACGGTCCCTCTCTATTGTCATTTATAACCATGAAGATGGGTATGAGACTCATGTATCTTCTGAAAATTCTTGTATCAATCCTGAAAGACAAACAAACCTGTTTGAACTTGGTATTTACACAAGACAAAAGACTATTGTGCTTGACAGCATTCATTCAATGTGGAATGTTCAGCATGTTGAGAAAGCATACCTCCATGGTTATTTCGTTGATAGGATCATATGCCAGAAGCTGCACACTGGAGATATTTTTGCAAAACTCAGACGTTTGGATATAGTACGGTGTTCAAGATTGAATCATATTTCATGGATTATTCATCTCCCGCTTCTAGAGGATTTGCTGCTATTTTCATGTTCAACATTGCACCAGATTATTGCTACTGCACAAGATGGTGTCGTTAAGACAAATCAGGAAAAGGAAAATCCATCAGTTAATAATACATTCCCCAGTCTTAAAAGGATGACACTGATCGAAGCTGGTGCATTGGTTAGGATCTGCAGCCCGTTCTTCTCATTTCCTTCTCTGGAATGCCTTCAGATCTCTGCATGCCCTTTGTTGAATAAACTTCCCTTTCTTACCGTTCCGAGCAAACTGAAATGTATACGCGGTGAGAATGAATGGTGGGATGGTTTGGAATGGGAAGACCAAGATCTTGAACCTTCACTTGAACTTTACTTTCATGGCCTCTCTGCTGAAGATCAACTATCTGAATTGTATCTTTTCAATAGCCTGGAAGTGGAATGGGCTAGTATCTTTACCCCTTGATGAAAGAAGCAACTGCTGGTGGTGACAATGCATCTTCATCTACACATGCTGCGAAACCAGCGAGCGAACCTTCCAAAACGAGGCCCACAACACCAACGATATCTTGCTTTGCATCAGGCCATTCCCAATCCAATGACTAGGATGGTGTCCATAACATTAAATAAGATGCCACATAGGATGAAAAATTATGTGGCAAGTGAATAAATGAGGAAAGAGAAGGAAACCATGTCTTGCATGAGACATGGTTTCTACACAATATCCAAGACATCATGTGAGATAAGAAGCATTAAATTTAAGTATGGAATAGTAGTGTTTACATTGGAAGAGGAGTGTCTAGTACTAGTTTCTTAATGATGTGGAGTTTGTGAAAACCATGTCTAGTGTTTTTGGTTGGGAATGGCCTCAACGATGGTAACCTAAACAGTTTGTTTTCCCAAAGCCGTACTTCATAGGATCTCTGATCACATAACTTCAATTAGGTTACCGGCTGTGGGTAACTCAAGACTATACAGTGACACCCACTATAGATGATTTTGAAAAGGAAAGTGAAAGGAACAAAGAAGAAGGGGATGAGAAGGATGGTGAGTGGGCCCGACTAGAACCAATGGCGTTAGACAACAGGAGTGGTGATCTGCCTACTTTTGGGGGGCATTTAACCATTTGCCATTTTTAGCATGTACAAACATCAATGTGGAGCAAACCATTTAGAATTTCTCTAGCAGATTGAGTAAATTTTACAAAATCCTAGGTATTAGGGCATCCATTACATAAAACCCTAGTTATTGTGATTTGTTTCACGAAATCACATGTTTTGAGTCAAAATGTTTCAAGAAACCTCATATTCATATAGACTACTTATATTTTATTATTACATAAGATTGTTTTTTTCATCAATTCACATTAGTTGGCTAAAAGGACATACTCTTCTCGTCTACTTTATTTTTTTCTCAATTTTGCGCCGAAAAAGCTTAACATAATACCGGCTGATTATAATATAATAATAGGTTAAGTATACACATAAATGATCAAAACATGATTAACAACACTTGTTAAAAAGCAACTAACGTTATATATGTACTAAAAAGTATCTCATACATTCTTTTTACAATTATTATAGATAAATATATTAGTCAAATAAACGATGTAAATTTATACCTGGGGTTTTATAAAACATTTTACTCTAAAACCTGGGGTTTCATGAAACAAATTACAAAACCCAGGGTTTTGTGTTACAGAAGCCGTAAAATACAAGGTTTTGTGAAATTTACTCGAAAATAACAACCTACCTGGGTCTCCCTTTTCACACAAGGAAACTAAGAAAAAATGACTTTGTACCTCTCCTTGAAAAGATTTTCTCTAGAATACCAGGTTGGAAAGGTTGGTTTCTGCTGCACATGAAACTCTGGTCAAGTCACTCCTATCTTCAATTCCATCCTACCAGATGACAACCTTGCTAATCCCTCAATGGGTCATCAAGAAAATTGACAGGAACAGAAGAGCCTTTCTATGGAAAGGAACTGAACCTGATAATACTCACCCAGGAACAAGCCTTGTGAACTGGCAAACAAGCAAATGCACTAGGGGTTGGGAGCTTCCGGATCTGGATCGAGAGGCAGTGTGACGAAAGAGCTGGTCAGACAGATGGAATTCGATGAGTCCAAACTACGTACTAAGATCGACCAAGTATGGTTATTGGGGCGGTAGGACTCGTCAAGCACCAGACGATAGAAGCTTCAATTCAGATCCCCCACATGTCAGTTTGTAGTAATGCAGAGGACCCTCACTCTAGAAGCTTAGTCTTTCCGTTTTTCCGTTTTTCTTTTTTTTTATTTGGTTGTTACTCTATTATAAAACCCAGAATCTAAGTATTTCTGTAACCATCAGCTGTGTATATCCACTCATGGATGATATAAGTGCCTAATTTCTATCCAATATGTGAAAAAAGAGAGACTAAGGGAGGAAACATTTTTTATTTTGTTGTTTCTTAGTTACGAAACCTAGAATCTTAACCTTCGGCTATGTATCCTTAGCTAGCTATGGATACAAATGCAAAATTTTTATCCATTATGTAAAAGAATAGGAGAGCCAAAGTGAGGAAACATTTTTTTTATTTTGTTGTTTTCTAGTTATGAGACCTAGAATCTAAGTATGTAACTTTCGGCTACGTACGTATATGGATATAAATGCCAAATTTCTATCCATTATGTAAAGAAGAAGAGAGACAAAGGGACAAAATACACAAGCATGGAGCATAGCAAGTCGACCTCAGCGGGGGACGGCACTAGGCTGGGTGGCTAGGGAATCCCTTAAGCCCTAGCCAACACAGGATCTTATCGGCCACCGTTGCAAAGGAAGCCCTTTCTAACACGATGATCTCACGAGCGACAACACTACGACCCCCCGCTCACACTCCGTGCTGCAGGCTGAGGTCTATCACATTCTCCATGCTTCCCCTCCAATTTCGAGAGGATCTCCGTAATCCGTTGCACCTGCGCTGCTTCTTGCCATATAGAACAATTACTCTTCCAGCATCCCCACCCTCACCTACCATAGGGGTTCTAAACTCTTGAGGGGATATTTCCTGATTGCTTACATGTTATTTAAATAGTTATTTTTTTAAAAAAAATCAACAAGATAGATTAATATATGATAAATCACTCCACAAACATGCAAAGCCAAATTTAACTTCTACTAGTTGCAATAGAAAAACAAATTAAACTATAGCTAGCTAATATATATTCACAGTTAAATTTGTTTTTTTCATTGCGACTTATAGAAGTTAAATTTTAAGTTATATGTTTGTGAAGTGATCTATCCACTACTACAGAAAACACAAATAGGTGCCGGTTTTCCCAATCGGCACCACGGAGGCAGCACTAATATGAAAAGAAATAGGTGCCGGTTTAAGAACAAACACCTTTGAGGTTCCCTGAATAAAAAAAAATCTGGCTCGATGACGAGCCGATGCATTGAGCCGAGCAGTCCCTCCTCCCACATCCATCCACACCACAGCAAGAACGAGCATATCATCATCTATCCATCACATATCCAATCCACAGATGGACTCATCCACATATCAATCCATTCATCCACAACACAAATTTTGACACTTAAATTCATCCTGGATCTTGGCAATAAAAAAAAATCCATAGATGGATTCATCCACATATCAATCTATTCATCCACAACACAAATTTTGATACTCAAAATTCATCCCAGATCTTGGCAATAAAAAAAAAGAATCCACCTCTCTGTCGTTGTCCCGCCATCGTTGTCGTCGCATGGTCGCGTAGCCGCCGCCGTAGTCGTCATCTTCGAGTCATCACGCCGCCTCCCCTCGGCGAGCCCACCACCTGCATCCGCGAGCCCCGCCGCCCCTGTCGCAGCCTCCCCTCCCGCCGGATCTAGCAGAGGGGAGGGCTCCTCCACCTGCCGCTGCCGCCTCCCCTCCCGCCAGATCTGGCGAAAGGGAGGGCTCCTCCAACTGCCGCCGCCGCCTCCCCTCCTGCCAGATCTGGCAAAAGGGAGGGCTCCTCCAACTGCTATCGCCGTCGCGTCTCCTCCGCGAGCCCGACGCCTACCGTGGCCTACCACCGCAGAGCCGGTGGGAGGATGAGAAGAAGAGATAAGGGAGGAGGAGAATAAGATATAAGGGAGAGAGACAGTGGGAGAGAGCCGGTGGGAGGAGGAGAAGAAGAAAAGATAAGGGAGAGAGATTCACAATATCGAGAGAGATAAAAAGACGCCCACCCGGCCGGCTTGTCTCCACCTGGCTCGGCTCGTTTTAAGATGTGTCGGTTTTCTAAAGAAACCAGCAGTGCGGCACCTTTAATAAATTAAAGGTTTTTTTTCAAAAAACCAGCATCTATAGTATAGGTGTCGGTTTTTCTTTAGAACCGATGCCTATAGTTATATAAAAATGCCGGCCTTTTTTGTGTTTTTAGCCCATAGAGGAGGGAAAAGGCCTATAGGTGCTGGTTTTAGTATTTCCAGTACCTATAGTGATGGCATCTATATGATGTTCATATACTAATCTATCTTGTTGATTTTTTTTATTTTTTCCATAACTATTTGGATGAGATACAAAGTTTAGAATCCACTCCCCTATGATGCCCTCAAGCCATGCCAATGGCATCGTAGATGACCTCCTATCCCTAGATCGACGCTTCCAACTGTGACCAAGCAGATGGAACACCGCCACTGCAACTAGCTACCAGATCTCAACCAAGGTCTCCAAGTCTCAAGGTACGGATGTAAGTGCGCTGTCGCACTACCCATATAAAAACCCGTGTTTTAGTTTATTTAATATAAAATTTAAAAGAAAAAACGGAAAAGAAAGCCCACTCGCCCCAGCTGCGCTTGCATACCTACCTCGAGGCGTCCCTCGCGTCCAGGTCAAGTCCCCCTTCCATGCCCTCGTCTAAGGAGTGGACGACGGACGTCACGAAACGGCATGTGTGCCAGTCGTTTTTGGTTGATCGGATCACGCGGACGGACGAAACAGCGTGACATTACATTTTTTTCTCTCTTGTTTTTCGGCGGCTGCCGCGTCTTCTTCTTGCTCCTCTGGTAAGGTGTACTACCTCACATGCCTAATGAGAGGAAAATATAGAAGAGCGCGTTGACACCGTTGACTTTGGATTTTCCGTCTCCTTCCTCCGAAGTGCAGAGAAGAAAAGGAGGAGCTGAGCTGAGCTGATTGCTTGATTCCTCGCTCGTTCAATCTACTCTAATCTATCTCTATAGGAAGGGAAACCCAAACCATAATGCAAAGCCGTCTCGCAGAGGAGTTGCGAGCGCTGAAGTTCGACCGTGTTTGGCGGCCAAGTCCTCATCGCTCGGAATCGGATGGCGGCAGCTGCAGCTACCGCAACTCGATCCAGCGGGTCGTCACCGCGTCCGTTGCCGCCGCGTCCACCAGCAGCACCACCCTCGTCTTCCCGTCGAGTGGCTCGGTCACGAGCTCGTCTTCGGCATCCTTTACCTCCTCCGCTCCCGGCTCGGAGGCGCACGGTACTCCAAGCTCCGGGCCCGAGAGCTACAGGTTGCTGCGCGGGGAGGCGTTCCGGGGCCTCAGCGAGATCGCGAGTCATATGGTCAGCGACAGGTACACCGAGAGGCTAATAACGGAGTTCTCCCGGCCGCGGCTGGGGAGCGGCAGCGGCGGCGGCGGCGGCGGCGACGAGATACTGCAGACCTGGTTCTCCGACCTTGGCGTTGACTGGGTTCTCAGAGTCGACGAGATGAACCTGCAGGAGAAGCCATGGAGCGGCGTGGAGGAGATGATCAAGGGGTGGCTCGCCGCGCTCACCGTCATGGCGGAAGCCCTCCGTCTGACGAAGGCCACCCTCAGCAGCGGCGATGGCGACTCCGGCGGTGTCATTCCGGTGCTTCCGATCGAGAAGTACAGGCCACAGATATCTGCACCGGCGTGGATCGACGACGACCACGCCGGTGTTACATTACATGATGTAAGTCCTGGCTCTGGCTCGTCGAATCTCGACCAAGAAAGCTCAGATCCGGCTCCAAACACGAGCAGGAGCAGGAGCATTGCCATTGCTACGGTCAAGCAAGCTATAACAGCGTATTCCCAAGCGGCGTCATCGAGGTCCTACAGGTACGACCAGCACGGAGCTGCAGGGCCTGAATTCCAATTCGCGCTCTTCGCCAAGGCAAGCCTGGTGAAGATGATGTGCTTCCCGGACGCTATCGCCGCGCTGAGCAGATCGCCGGAGAAGATCCTCCGCGTGATCGACATGTACGCGGTGGTCTCGGGCGTCTCCCCGAGCCTCCTGGCGCTGCTCCCCGGAGCGACCAAATGGTTGGTTTCCGAGAGGATCACGGCCGTGCTCAAGACGCTGAGCGGCATGATGAGGGGCATACTCCATGATCTGGAGAGTCTGATCCGAGAGGAGGATTCGTGGCGGACGACGGCGCAGGGGAACGACATCCACCCGGTCAATCAGTACGTGCTCAACTACATCAACCTGCTGCTTGAGAATCGCGACGTGCTGAACCCGGTGCTGCAGAATCGCGACGTGCTGGTCCAGGAGGGCGAGGACGACGACGGCGACGACGAGCTGTTCTCCATCGGGGAGCTATACCAGCTCGCGGAGGAGAAATCGTCGCTGACGAGCACCGTCGCCAGGCTGATCAACTCGGTGGACGCCATGATCGAGGACAGGTCCAAGATGTACGCAGCCGCCGGCGGGCGGATGCACATCTTCCTGCTCAACAACGACCACTTCATACTGCAGCAGGCGGAGCCTTCGTTGCAGTCGTTCATGGGCGCCTACTGGTACGCAAAGCGGAAGCAGCGGGTCGATCGGCGCATCAAGGAGTACCTCGATCTGTCCTGGGGAAATGTCGTCTCGTGCCTGGGGTACGCAGGGCAGAGCCGCAGGAGGTCGTCGCTTTTCCGTAGTGTCTCGGCGCTGGTGGAGTTCAACTCCTTGTTGCAGATAACCTACCACACGGAGAAGCTCTGGAAGATCAATAGCCCTCAGCTGCGAACCGTGCTGCGCAATTCGGTGTGCGGGAAGGTAATCTCTGCTTACCGAGCCTACCTGGAGACTCAGGGACAGGGCGGCCAGTTAGGAACATCAGCCACGTATACCCCCGAGGATCTGGAAGATATGTTGCAAAATCTATTCGAAGGGTGAACCTTTCTTTTCCATATATATGGAGTTTTGATGATGTTTTTCTTCGGCGAGTGCATGATGTGCGCGGAACCCATGACCCAAAGCCAACACGGACATGATAGTACTCCCTCCGTTTTAAAATATTTGACACCGTTGACTTTTTAGTACGTGTTTGACCATTCGTCTTATTAAAAAAATTTAAGTAATTATTTATTCTTTTCATATCATTTGATTCATTGTTAAATATACTTTCATGTATACATATAATTTTACATATTTTATAATTTTTTTTAATAAGACGAATGGTCAAACATGTGTTAAAAATTCAACGGTGTCAAACATTTTAAAAGTATCTTCGCGTTGTTTTGCTACTTTACTTGTTTTAATCAATCATTTAAATGTTCTTCTCAACCTTACTACAACGCACCACCGTTTTCTGTCTTCATTGAGGACGGTTTTGTGCCACGCTGGCACGCAGACGAGGCGTTATCACTGACTCATCACAAGATAGGCAGTAAATTAACCGCCCGGCCGTGTCCCCTTCTCCGTTTGACTGGTCAATGCATTCTGTACCTCCCCACTTCCGATCCGTAACCTTAAAGCAAGTTTAATTTTATAGCCAACCTCTAGCTCTAAAAATTAACACATCGTTTATAGCTAATCTAATAAGTTACCCATACAACGGATGAAAGTGGGCTATTTGGGTATGCGTGCCGTCAGCTCATCTAAAGCAAATAAAGATAGCACCAACAGAGGTTGACAGCGACGGCACACTAGAGGCGGCGGCCACTAGACGACTTCTACTCACCAAATCTAACCGTTCAGAAGAGTACGTATATTGAGAAGCAGAGGTGTGCCGACATCATTTATTTTTCTTTTCTTTTTGGTTGAGTGTTCTCCTCCTTGTCGAGATGTGAGTTTAAGTGCTTTTTTTTTTTCTGTATATATTCTTCGTGTACATAGGGGCCGGATTAATGAAAGCCCACTGTCTAAAAAAAATTATACTCGCTAGTGCGTAGTATTGTAGTACTCCATCTGTTTCAAAATATTTGACACCGTTGATTTTTTAGCACATGTTTGACCGTTCGTCTTATTAAAAAAGTTGTGAAATATGTAAAACTACATGTGTACATGAAAGTATATTTAACAATGAATCAAATGATATGAAAAGAATAAATAATTACTTAAATTTTTTAAATAAGATGAATGGTCAAACACATACTAAAAAGTCAATGGTGTCAAATATTTTGAAACGGAGGAATACTATTTTAGCTGGGATTATGGTCTGGTTGGAGTTAGATTCCCTTGGATATGCTGTAGTAATTGATTACTCTAAAGTCACCTTTAATATATATATTAGCCTCGGGAGTGATTATTATTCGAGTGGTTTTGCGATTATGAGTTTTTTTTTATGTGCAAGTTGACTACCTTTTGTGCATACAGATCAGTAGATGGATCCATCCACTGGACAAGATGGGTGTTCGGTTTCATTTCATGGGAGATTTTTTTATGATGGAAAGAAGGTGTATTACCCTTAGTGGGTTATATGTGTATGATGTGGAGAAACTAATAACACCACCATATGTGACTGAGTGAAGGGTATTAGAATCTAAGAACAAAAATGTGTCGCAATGATGCAATGGTTATGGTAACAGGTGTTCCAGTTTTGGTGAAAAGAAAGAACCAAATTTTTCCAAGACTTCATAAGAATTTCTCTAATTGGTTTGCTTTACTCCTTATTGGTTTTGCTATTTATTGTTTTATTTTATGCAAGTATTATTTTTAAGTTCAAATGTCGTGAGATGATAAATAATGACATTGTTACACCTTAGGTGTCAACTTTTAAAAAAAAATCAATCACCTTTTATGTAAGCAGCCAAGATAGATATATTTTCTCGTTGTTTATTAATGGATAGATTGGGCGTGGGACGTAAGGCTACGCTAAATTCAATGGTCTCTTAGAGTCCCATTGTTTTACAGAGTGTGAGTAACACCCATTTGGGATCGATTGAAGCAGCCCAGCAGAGCACAAATGGCTAAATATAACTAAAGATGCATCATTACTTATGGGATGTAATTTTTATAATGCTTCCCTAATTCATTCGTCTTGCTTTTATTATTTGAGCATATTTTCTTAGGAAAATCATGAACCAATTGTATTGTTTGGTCTACCTAAAGACATTGGATTTTTTTTTATGTTATGGTTTGTGCTATTCATATTTGAGTTAGTTCTTTATTTTCCACATGGTGAACCCTGCACCCTGGTGTAAGCAAAACACAAAATCTAAGTGCACCTGTCCTGGAACCAACGGTGAAACTATATATACATATTTGAAGAATGATGTATAATAACACAATATATGTTGTTAATATTTTAAGTATTTAATTTATTTAGATGGCATGCAAACTTGTAAAATGCACGGTCTATACCACAATGACATATTGCTTATATATAGCAAAACATTGGATCTAAAATTGTCAATTTAATTATAAATAAAGCAACATTTTAGATAGAATATAAATTAGATATGTACATTTAAAATTATGGTCAGCTTAATTCTAAAATTTTAGTTTTCTCTTTTTAATTTGATAACATAAAGAATTAGGAAGAGAAAGAGATGGAGATGTAAAAGAATAGGAAGAGGAAGAGATAGGGATAGGGAGAGCGTACCTACGTTCTTTTTTTTTTCCGGCCCACACTTATACGAAGTCATACGTACATAAGTTTTTTTCTTTTTATGGCCCACGGCAGAGGAAGGGATTATTTTCTTAAATAATAGATCTAATCTAATGGTCTAAAATACCGGGTCCATCAATTTAAATGAAAATCGATAGTTAGATTAGATAGTGTTATGTGGCGGTCTAGGAGTGTTTGTAAGAGTGACATGTTGCGTCTTGAGAGCGTTTGTAGAAAGTTTAATGGATTTATAGTATATAATAAATAAGATATGAAATATGTTTTATCGAGATGAAACCAGCGTGTACTATTTCTAATTAATATAGCTTAGCTGTTGCATGTATTGCATTGCATGCCTATACAATAACAAAAATAAAATAATACATTGTATGGATTGTTTCAACCGTCAAATAAATGTCTTATTGTTTAGTATATGGTACCTTTGGAATTGTAAAAAATGGCATTTCCCATTAAAAGTGGCCTTGAGCCACCTAAAAGCCACTGTGATGTATGGATGGAAGTTCGTTGCACTGGTCGTTCCTTGTAAAGTGATGGAGTAATGATGGCCTAAGAGCAAGTTTCTTGTAAAGTGATGGAGTAATGATGGCCTAAGAGCAAGTTTAATAGTATAGCCAACTACTAACTCTAAATCATTTATAGTCAATCTAATAGTCAATTAATACAATAGTTAACTACAAATATATACTACATCATTAATAATTGGTCTCACATGTCATATACACATAACGTTTTAGAGTTCGTGTTACAGCTGGCTACAAATCTATAGCTCACTTCTCTTCTCTCTCATCTCTTATCTCCTCCACATGTGCTTATAGCTGACTTATAATCTATTATTGTACTCCCTCCGTTTCAGGTCATAAGATGTTATGACTTTGGTCAAAGTTAAACTGCTTCAAGTTTAACTAAGTTTATAGAAAAAAATAGTGATATTTTTTATATAAGATAAATTTATTATAAAAATATATTTAATTATTAATGTAATAAAACTAATTTGGTAATGTAAATGTTACTATATTTGCCTATAAACTTAGTTAAACTTGAAGAAGTTTGACTTTAACCAAAGTCAAAACACTTAAAACCTAAAACGGAGGGAGTACCTGCTAAGAGTATTGATTATTAATGACAACTCATACCATTCAGCATGCCAACGTGGCACAAAACCACCCTCAAATGGGCGCGATGGGGTATTGTGTAGACGGAGTGCCTTCTTTATTTTGTTTCATAAGGACAAAAAATAGACAACTCAATATTGAGCGACATAAAGTAAACTTATCCCAAAGTAAATGAATATAAAGTCAAAAAAAATTGAGTTAGAACTTTATTATATTTAAGTTGAAAGTTTTATTTAATTTGAGTTAAAAGCTTCACTAAATTTGAATAAAGCACTTGTAGTAGAATTTAATTTCAATTGAAGATGTCAACATCAAAACTACTCTATTCGTCCAAAAAAAATCAACATAGGCAATGATGGAACATAACCTATGACAACGAATCTGGACATGCTCATGTACAGATTCGTTATCCTAGTTAATATCCCATCCTTATTCAGGTTAGCGTTTTTTGGGGACTTAGTCTTCTAGATCAGTTCTCTATACCAGAATTTCATCATTACTTGTCAGCTTCCGACTGAATCCTTCATCCCCTATTGGATTTGAACATTTTGAAGGTCATTCTAAAGGACAAATATTTAGACAAGGCCCTGTTAGAAAGCAATGCTTCAAATTTTCTCTCTCACCCATCTCTAGTCTATCAGTACATGTCCCATTGTTAGTCTAGACTTGCCGAAAAGCTGAAGAGCGTTGTCAGTCTAGACTTGCCGAAAAGCTTAAGAGCGCAGGCATGCTACCAGCAATGTTCTCCTAACAGTCCTAGTCCGTAGCTAGTTCCCTCTCCAGAAATCTATATCTTTACCGTTGCCCACTATTCAGTTAAATATGTCCTGAACTTCCATGATAGGTTTCCACCCTGCCATCATCCGACATCCCCTTCTGTTCAGTCCGATTGAATTCTAACTTTAACCTAATAGCTTTCTCAAACATGGCTAAATCCTTAATACCCAAACAACTGTTCTCGCTTGGCATACAAATTATTCTTCAAGCAACCAGTCAGTGACCATTGTTGACTTCTACCACTCGAATATAAATCTGCATGCTCTCTTTCGGTGCGATGTATGTACCTTATATAGAAATGCTCATTGCAACATATATTGCACTTTTATTAGTGCTGACAGACTATTTTATGGACCAATTGGTCCATAGTGTGCATAAAAATACATGCGCAAATTTGAGTCAACTTATTATCTAATTAGTTGGCTTTTTTACTAAGTAACCAACAAACAATTCTAAAATAGTTTTTGGCAATGATGATATTTCTTTTTCCAATATTTTTCATAATTACTTTGCAAATGTGGTGACCATAAAATTGTTGCCAAGGAACATGCAAAACATCGACATATGGGTGAACGTATTGAGAATGGAAGAGAATAGATTATAGGGATTGTGGATTGTAGTGGAGTGTGGGAGCTAGTGCATGCTTATATGATGCTTCCTTCTCGTGCATGGTTATATGATGTTTCCTTCTCTTTGGTTGATTGCGATGTGCATGTTTCTACTCCTAGTCGGTAGCCAGTTCCCTCTCCAGAAATCTATATGTTTACCGTCTCCCACCATATGTGTCACTGTTCAATTAAAGATGTCATGAAATTCCATAGGTTCCACCCTGTCATCGTCCATGGCACGGCATCCCCTTCTATTCACTTCAATTGACTTCCAACTTTAACCAAAAAGATTTCTCAAATATGGCTAAATCCTTTATACCCAGAGCACTATTCTCTATTGGCATACAGATTATTCTTCAAGCAACCGGTCAGTGCCTATTGTTGACTTCCACACTTACATTTAAATCTGCATGCTCTCTTTCAGTACGATGCATGCTCCTTATATAAAAATGTTCATTGCAACATATATTGCTTATTAGTGCCGAGAGACCATTTCATAGACCAATTGGTCCATAGTGTGCATAAAAATACATGCGTAAATTTGAGTCAGCTTGTTGGCTAATTAGTTGTTTTTTTATCAAGTAACCAACAACTAATTCTAAAATAGTTTTTTTGGCAATGATGATATTTATTTTCCCAATAATTTTCATAATTCATTTGGTACTTTGCAAATATAGTGAGCATAAAATTGTTGCCAAGAAACATGCCAATCATCGAAGTATGGGTGACCGTATTGAGAATGGATTAGAATAGATCGTAGGTGTTGTGGATTGTAGTGAAGAGTGTGATGACCGTATTGAGAATGGATAAGAATAGATTGTAGGTGTTGTGGATCGTAATGAAGAGTGGGAGCTAGTGCATGCTTATATGATACTTCCTTCTCCTTTGGTTGATTGCCATGTGCATGTTTCTATGTGATCAATCCTTCTCCTTTGATTGATTGCCATATGCATGTTTCTATGTGATCAATCCTTACGTGAATAGTAGGCACCAGATGTTGTAAAATGTACTGATGGTAGATATTTAGATATTAGTAGGAGATCAATTTTTGTAGGCACCTTCCCAAACTCTCACGAGAAATGCACTCCATAGAATTTTAGATATCAAATTTTTTTTTTGCACTTTTAGTTTGTTGGAAGCTAACTATATTTATACTATCAATCTAACCATGAAACCATGCTCGATATTGAAGGAGGATAATTTTGGAGAGTTATACCGACTAGTTTAGATGTGAAGAGTAAAATAGATATTTGGACAATAGTAATACATGCATGTCACACTCACACCACCATATGTACATAGGCACCAAAATAAAAAAATACTTAGATTCATAAAACACATGCCTGCTAGTTTAGTTTCTAGTAGCTCTTAGGAAAAACTTGCATTCACATTATATGCCATTATAGCATAACAGATGTAACCGTGGTACGAGGAAATGAAGAATCTAGGTTCATGCATAGTCGGACGCATGTATTGATAATATCATCACAATGCATTTTGAAGTGTGTCTTGTAATAGAATGGGGTGTCAATTGTCCTTCCATCATCCATTATCATTGCCGACATCACCATTTCTATGAACACAATCGGTTAGTATAAAATTAATCAAGGATTCGAAAGAGAATAAAATACTAATATATAGAACTCATGTGGTTACCTGATGATAGCAACATAAGGACAAGACTAAATATTACTATTATAATGCACGTCCTCGTCCTTGTCATATCTTGAAACTGCATGTTGTTTATGTTAAGAATATTGATGTCTTATGTTTCAGATTGATGATGCCTACTGATTGATGTTTCAGATTGATGATGCCTACATATGGACAAGACTAAATATTACTATAATGATGCACATCCTCATCCTTGTCATATCTTAAAACTGCCTGTTGTTTATGTCAAGAATATTGATGTCTTATGTTTCAGATTGATGACTTGCCAAGGAAATAAACTAAAATAAAGATGATAACATGTAAATATGTGCATCTCATCAATCATTTTAAGGAACAATAAATGTGCAGTAATAGAAAAATACAATTTATTAGTTTCTTAATTAGAAATATAATTGCATTTGTAGATATTAAAATAAATGTATATCTCAATATTTGAAAATATGATTGATCTAAGGAAAATACTCGGGAATTAAATTTTTAAATATATATATATATATATATATATATATATATATATATATATATATATATATATATATATATATTATCTTGTGGGAATATATGAAATTCAAATAAAAATATATTTGTGTTGTCAATTTACATGATGACACCATTTCATCACGCGACACTGTGTGATGTAGCTTATTTAAATGTGGACATTGCCTTGGGCTATGAGCCACTGCACCAAGCATGGACAAAGCGAAGGTAAAGTCACAAAATGCATGGCTGTTTTCACCTATTGCCTTCCTTCCAAAAAAACCAACTTAGGTGGGGATGCGAAACCACCTAGACAATTCGTTATCATAGGTAAGCATGTGAAACCACCTAGAACAATGAATTTGGATTCGTTATCCTAGCTGGTGTCACATTCCCACCTAGATTGGTTTTTTATGGGACGGAGGAAGTAGGCGATAACAAATGGGAATTTGGTCCAATTTGGCCCTTCGGCAACACCAGGTGTCGCTAGGTGATTCGGTGACACGGTTATATTTTTGCAATATCATCAAATTTGATATATTCTTGTAAAATCGGAAAAAAAACAGTTCGATACCTGGTAGCTGACTCTTTGTGGCGCTTAAAAATATGTTTTGTGTTATGTCAAATACGAAATGCTCCAAACGAAGTAGAAACATGAGGTTTATTTACCATACTGTTAACTAATCTGGTTTATATTAAAACAAATCAATTCCCACGTGCTTGATGAATTAACTGAAATTCAGATTATATGCATCGTGATTATCTGGCATATTTTATCTCATATTACCTCCTACTACTAATTAATTGATTGAATTTTTTAATAAGCAAAGCATTTTGCACCAAGCATAATCATATCCAAACCTTCCTCAGCAATACGCAGTAAGCACGACGATGATTGAATTTTTAGTTAGCAGGAAACGTCTCTCTCTTTTCTATCTCTAGCCTGATTTTCTACTAGCAGGAAATGATTCTTCCCTTCGGCAGTAAGGTTCGGGTACATACCTCTACGCACGGAAAACATAATGGCTCATTAGAGCATGTTTCTTCCGTTTCATATTAAACCTCTTTATATTTGACTATTTTATAGAATAATTTAAATCTATAACACAAAATTAGTTTCATTAAATATATCTTGATAATATGTTTTCTGTTGGAAATGTTGTTATATTTTTAAAAACATTGAAATGGATGGAGTAATAAATTAACTATTAGCTTAAATAAACTTAAAAAGTAGAATGAATACTGTTTTTTAAAGTAATTTTCCTATATATCTTTTTATAAAAAAATCACTTATCAGCTCGGAAAGTACCTAATACAGAGTTTATGTAGGCCGGCCAGGAACTCTTTGTTGCCTGGCATCGAATTCGTTCGGTTCGTGGGACTAATAAATATTTTATCTGTTTTATATCATATAAGTCATTTGATTTTTTTTCCGAGTTTGATCAAATCTCTACTTATTATAAAAATTAAAGATATTTTTACCAATATTTTGATACGTCATCCGTGTTTGAGTCGGTTTTTAAGGATATTCGTTTTTGAAAATACATATTTGTGTTTGAGTTGGATTTTAAGCTCATTTGCTTTTGTAAACACAAAAGAATTCATATAAGAAATCTCTTTTAACAAACTCCGCATGCTAACTTGAATGAATGTCGGACTCGCTAATTTTCCAAAAGAAAAATCCAAGCAAATTCCCACAATAAATTTACCATAACTAAACCATATAACAATAATAATATTAAAATAGCATTCACCTGTTGCAACGCAACATTTTTCTAGTTTATATAAAAATTTAGCAACATCTAAAATATTAAATTAATTTTATTAAACCTAGCATTGAATATATTTTAATAATATATTTATGTTGTGTTGAAAATACTACTCCCTTCATCCCAAAATATAAGAACGTATGATTGAATACGACATTTCTAGTACAAATTAGATAGGCAGGTTATCCAAATTCATAGTGCTAAGTTAATGTTACATCTAGTACTAAGTCCTTATATTTTAAGACAAGAGTATAATATTTTTCCGTAAGCCCATTATTTTCTAAAAAAAAGAAAAGTAACACCTAGTTTACTAGTATTAACGAAAAGATGGAATTACAGGTTTATAGAATCATGCAGTTTTAATGTGTCACCCTACGGCAGATTTGGGAGATGAATGCAACAAGATATCAAAAGGACAACAAACATGACACAATTTCATTGAACGGAAGTCAACAATAATGGACGTTGTCTTGCAAAGCTGAAAACTGGCCAAATGCCAGTAGAGCGAAATGAAGCTCATACAAGTGGGAGGAAACAAAATATCTGGAGCAGATACCAATTGCCTACTACTGCCTACAAAGATGATTGGGACTTATGTACAAGCAAGAAAATTTGAACCGCATTCTGCCCCAGAATATCAGAGGATGTTCATGTAGATTCACCACCGACTAAATGACGGCGGCCGGCGGACGTTTACCTCTTCCTCTTCCCACCTGAGCCTCCAGCAGCCTTCCCAGCAGAGCCAGAAGCTTTTGATCTACCAGCCGGCATCTTCTTCGAGTTCAAGCCATTGCCATTGCTCTTCAGGTCGAGCTGCACTTGGATCCCTGGATATAAAACCAAAATTACCAAAGAGTCAGGCCCGACCGTAAATAGCAGAAGGTAAGACTGGTGGAGAATCCAACTAGTCAAAGTACGAGAACCTTTCTTCTTATCACTCTGCAGGTCCAGTTTTGGTTTTGTGTCACCAGGCACCAGTTCATCTGAAAGAAATAAACAAAGCAGGTTGGTCAAACAAAACATACACTGAATACAAATTATCGATTTAAATGTCCTAATGAAAATTGGGCTGAAGCTAATATAATTGACATGACATGGCATTGTTATGCCAAACACTACTAGCACAACAGCTGACAAACATAGGCCTAAGTTGCATAACTAAAGATTGAGAATAAAAGCACAAATGTATATGAAGATGATATGGCAGTATGACATGTTACTGTACCACAGTTTTCCCAGTATGAAACAAAACTAGTCCAGATTTACAAATGCTCACTTATCAACTTCTGTTTCCCTTCGTTTCACGCATGTCCTCATCCGATGTATTCCCTCCGTTTCACAATGTAAGTCATTCTAGCATTTCCCATATTCATGTTGATGTTAATGAATCTAGATAGATACATATGTCTAGATTCATTAACATCGATATGAATGTGGAAAATGCTGGAATGACTTACATTGTAAAACGGAGAAAGTACTCCATTATTTCAATTTTTGCAAAACACAGCTATAGCCTCCTATGTGATAGTCATTTCATTTGCTGAAAAAGAAAAACTTACCATTATTTTCAGCATCAGAGGAATCCTCTTCATCGCCTTCAGATGACGCTACTCCATTTTCTTCAGGCAAACTCTCTCCCACTGGCTCAAGGATTGCTGCCACTCGTTTCTTTAATGGCTTTTTCATGCCTGGGATATTTACTAGATCTGCTGCTCGAACAACACGAGAACTACTTCCTTGTTTGTATGCTTTTGTTAAGGCACTTTTAACAGCTGGTTGAATACCATCCATAGGATTTGGATGACCCTACAGAACAAAATATGTATTCAGAAACACCATTGGAAGTATAATGACAAGGCATTACTAATCATGACAACCAAGTCAGCAAGTTTACTCAGCTAAAAGATTCATGCATTAATGCTTCTAGAAAAAATATATCAAGCAGGGAGTTGAGTATAGACAAACAGTCAAGAGATGCAACCATTGTGGCACTAAAGATTCACAGGCAAACACTCCCTTTCAGTACTTTGGAAAATGTTTGTTCTCTGATTTCATATCTACACGATCACATGTTTATAAATTTCAATTTGGTTCTCAAAAAATTGCATTGCACAATAAGAACTTATAGCAAATGAGCTTTTGCATTCCCGAAATCAATTGAAATGCCATCATTAGTGTAGTGAAATATACAGTTTGCAACTTTGCATGCAACCTAGAACCTACCATCTAGAGTAAGTATTTTCAAACACAAGGGGGCAAACCTAGCAGTAGCACATTACATATTGTAATAAGTATAAAACCATTCAAAGAGATTAATAATGAACATAAAATAGATGGCACAAACATAGGGCTTCTATTAGAATAACTACCAACCTTAAATTTTGATAATTCAACAATTGTGTCAAAGTCTTCCTGGCTTAAAGAGTAGGTATCCATAAACTCCACCACTTTTTGCACAGCTTCATCCTGTGATTTTACAAATATAAGATAACCAGCAGATAGCTCAGGTAAAGATTCTTAACAGGGAATTATTGTAAGAAGACTGGTAATACTATTACATAAAGGCAAGATAACAGTATGTTAAAACTCAGAATTGATGAGCCGTGTACACAAGTCAAGGTATGGACGCTCTCCTGCAGATTTTTTTTTTCAGCAAATGAAATTAAAGAGACTCCTTACTTCAGAATACTCCAGAAGATGGCTAGTACACTAATGCATTTAGAGGTATCAAGATAAATTTCTAAAATGCCAGTGTCCAGGTCATTATCCTCATCATGAAACATTCAAGTATAATGCCATAGAACAAAACAAGGAGTTAATTAATAGATCACATCTACATATACCTTGGGCATTGTCTTCAGTGGATCAGTCAATTGTCTCAAGAGAAGAGTGAGGTAATCCAGCCTCAATGACTCCCTGCAGTTCTCAACAATATAAGATTGGATTATCTCATGATAAACCATCGAAAATCATCTTAAAGATCAGATTGTACTCATGTGGACCACAACATCTTGAAAAGGCATGGGTTTTTATTCAATGTTGCTAAAACAAAGTTCAAAAACCAATGGTGATTTTCCTTGGCTTATTGACTGATTCAGGCAAGTTAAGAAAAGTAAGGCTTGTTTAATTTGCTCACTGTTAAGAAAACCATGATTTTCAAACATAGTAACATCAGGAAACAAGCATGACATGTCCATCAATTAATATGTTGCCAGCCATTGAAAGAAATTCAATGGAAATTTAGTGCCTGTCTTCTTGAGCATAGATGGAGGTATCAAGGTATATCATGCTGGAATTCCATGTTATTTGATTAAGTTCTAACTTCCAAGTGCTAAACTAATTAGCCGATTCACTGATGAGCTGATTATCCTTAGGGTTTGGAATTACGATTTAGGACTAATACACAAAACATTTTTATTCAGATAATAACATGAAAATCTATTTGAAACCATGAACTGGCCTAAATCCATTCAGATTTATAAGCACAATGGAAGATTAAGATCATATCAACCCAAAGATGTAACAATATTCAAATCCTTACCAAACTAAAAAAAAAAGCTTGGGTTTGTTTGGCAAATTTATATAGTTAGTCAGATATTTAAGATGCCGCTTGTGACAGAATAAAACAAGAGAAGAAAACAATCAATCACCTTGCTTTACAACCTGATACACGATGCATCATACGTGTGAAGAGTAAAAACAGAATCCATGGAATGCCAGAAAGGATAAATTTGTAGAATATGTAAAAGTATATCCACCTGTCCAAATTTGCTTGCTGGGAGGCAAGAATATGACTATGGGCATCTTCCAGTAGCCTTATGTTTTTATTTGTGGTCGAGTACTTTCCCAACCATCCACCAAACCTATTGAAGTTTCGCTCACCCTACAGATTTATTATCCAATTCAATGAGCCAGAATTACCAAAAATAAACTAAACAAAAAAAGTAATTGATGATAAGGTTTGAGCTTTACTGCTTCAAGGATCTCTCTATTCCCATGCATCAAAGCAGCACTGTAAGATGTGAAATAGATTAGTGGATCAGTGAGACATTTGAATTAAATCGATTACAGCAGATAATAACCACCATATACTTACGGAACTATAGATGAAGACAAACAAGCAGCTTGGGACAATTGCCACTGTCGATATCTTCTTATTTGTACATTAACAATATCAGCGTCCGCTATAGATTCAGCAGCACGAGCAAGAAAATTCATTCTTTTAACTCCACTGTCATCCTTCCCAACAGTGATAGGCCGATAATTGATATAGTTTTCCTATACCAGGCATGTGTTAATATGCAAGCTTAATCACACAGTTAAGGACCAAACAGAAGTGATTGAAAACAGTTACATGAAGTAACATGCTACAAATGACCATAACAATTGAAAAAGATCATAATAAAGCGCATATTTTTACACAGCAAAAAATTGGGCCAAACACCAATGCAACACATCTGGAATTTACTTACCATAATAGCTAGTATTTATGCATAGATTATAGATGGCTAGCATCCCAGCTTTCAAAAAGAATGGGGTGCCATTAGAGGAAAAGTTGGGATATCGCATTCAGTAGGGAGTGTGCACGCCTATGTATCAACCAACAAAAAAGTAATGATCAAGTTACCTGGCGCACAAACTATATAACGATTGCTTGGTACTAAGAGAACATAAATAGCATTGCAACAAATAATGGCGCTTCAGCTGTTGCAACTACAGAACCCACTAGCAAGATACATGTCAATGATATGAGAAGGCTGTGATGCTCATTCAAAAATGAAGGAAAAACCAAGTTGCAAGCCTGATGAGCTACTTTTAATACAAAAAGTATCGGGAAACAATTCATAGCAGAAAATATCTCAGGACACAGGACCCACAAGAATTCTACAGAAAAATAAACAAAAACAGATTTGCACCATCAGTGTCCCCTACCTGGATAATCAGAGGGACTAAATCAGGATCGCTCATGCTCAAATCAATTCTCTCATCCATCCGTAGTCTCCCACCATTAAAACCAAACAGCCTGAAAGTTGAATCAATATCTATTATGAATTTAAAGTAGCGGGAAAAATACAACCCAACTCTTGCATTGCAAATTATAAAGTCATCCAAAAATCCACAAATTATAGATCCAGAAACAGCTGGTTCAATAGCAGAGCGTATGCACTTGAGCAAAACACATCATTCAGATAAAAATCGGTAGACAGCATGAACATTAACAGTTCAAAAGAGCCAAAATAGCTACAACTTCCAGGTAAATAAAATATGAGTATAGAGTAAGAAATTACTTTTTTAGCCCCTCTGAAAGCCATGTCAAAAAAAATCCATTAAAATAAACAAATATATGGAGAAGTTACCAAGTATATCTACAAGCTTTCTCTTTTGTTTATCAATGAATGAAACTAGCAATTGAATATTTGCCGTGCGCCTTATCAATGGATAACAAAGTAGAAATACAATGAAACTTGGATGTACAATTTGACAGAAAATATTAATATAATCAATACAAGATTGGAATACGAAAATTCACATAATTCACATTTATACACTAAGAAATTATTGCATGTCAGTCAATAAGAACATAAAAATATCTAGAAATACTGATGAGGAAATAGAGGACAATTGAATAGAATTTATAAAAAGTATAATCAATGCACATACTTGTCAACAGCCGTGAAGGGGGAAATATCTTCATCTTTTGTGCTACTATTAAGTCGCTGTCTTATATCATCATATTTGACCACGGACTGGGAGAGGCTCATATATTGCAAATGGTTAAGAGCCATGCGAATATCCCCGTGTACTCTTTCTGCAAGTTCTTCCATTGCATTCTAGCAGATGAGGAAACCATATATTAGTAACATGGAGAAAAGGTAATGACAAGAAAAGAAGAGAAAAAGAACTATAAATGGTTTTGCTTTTATTTTTGTTGTGTTTTCTTTTCTTTTTCCCAAAACTTTTGATGGAAGTTTAGAAGCAGAGAACTCTAAACACACCTCTTGAGCTTGAAGACCTTCCTTCTTGGCAATTTCCATCAACCTCTTACCCATCTGTTAAACACAGAAGTTAAAACCAACCCTATATTACAACTTTTGGGTCACGAGCACCAAGAGTAATAATGCTTACCCTTCCATGTAACAGTCTACAATATATACGATGTAAGGAGATGGAAAAATTAAAATAAGAAATAAATGTGCTACTTAGAACAGCAAGAATTCCTGCCTATAAAGAAGGTTTCTATGCAATCAGGAATACATTTGTGCGTGAAAAGCTATGTTGGCTGTGAAATCTGCCGTACGTACGAGTATTTGAGTGATCTTGGGGATAGCCATTGTTTAACTTCAGATTGACAAACAAATAGGACTTATATTACCCCTAAATAAGTTGCTGCATGCAACTGTATCGTAACTGCCTAAAAATTGCAAGAAATTGAGAATATGTCCAGAGGTCAACAGATAACCTGTTGCTTGGTTGGTTTTCTGAAGTTGAGTAGCAAGCAGTAATTTACAAGGCTCTTCAATTTCTGGCTATAACGGTCATTGCAAATGCAAATTATAGGAATCTTGGACATCTTAATGCTAGCAATAAGATCAGCAACACCACCACGATCTCCAGCAGACATACCATCAACTTCATCCATGACTAGTACAGCCTTGGGTCGTTTTAATCTGTCAAAATTCTTGCCAAATTTATATACAAGATAAAACCAAAGGTCCAAAAAGGTTGATGAAACTTCATGTAATACTGACCGGTTGTTACTATAATTCAGAGTTGCATTACTAATAAGCTCTTTGATAGAATTTGATGTACTGCCCCCAACACCTTTCTCAATCTTAGAGTCTGCCTTACCACGGCTATCACTTGCATTAACCTGTTATGAACATTAGTCATTGCATTTATGCCTCAATAGTTGAGTAAGAAACAAAGAGTTGCCTGGAAGGTTGCAAAGTATGCAAAACAGCAGAATTACCTCAATAGCCTGCAATCCAAGCATCTGACTGACAACTTTAGCAGTTGTGGTCTTACCAATACCTGGAGGTCCACTCAACAACACAGCCTTTTTAGCTCCACTATCAGCCTGCTTCTTTCCCTTACCCTTCTGGCCAGAATGAAGGAATTGGTCCTCCCAACTTCTCAACCAATCATGAAGCTGTTTAACCTGCATGTATAAGTTCATACTAAGTAATTGTGCATAGATGTATGTGACCAGCTTAACCGAAAGCAGAAGCACTAACCATTGATTGGTTCCCAACTATGTCATTTGGAACTTTGGGCCGATACTTTTCAGTCCATTGCAAAGAACCACGGTCAACAATGTTGACCTTTTGGTTGTCAATGGAGGCACTTCCTTTATTACTCTTTGGTGAAATATTTTTGCCTGTGGTAATTTGATTACCATCTGAAAATTGGAAAATCAAGATATATGTAAGCATAAACAACCTGCGAAATGTTAATATCAAACAAATAAATCAAATAAAACTTAGTCATCAGATGATGTCAGCAATGGATACAACAATCGCTGGATAAAGCTAGCATCTACAATGGGTAAAAGACACAATGAACACTAGAATCATGTCTCAAATTCATGCAACTTTGAGAATACAAGTATCTAATAGTTAGGTTATGCTAAGCAGGATTGTGCATGCGCTATACAACTAAGAAGCATTTTTACGCTTTCAGTTACCTCTTCTTTCAACTTTAACTGGAGAACTCTTCATTGGTGATTTTTGCTGCTTTTCTGAATTTTTGTCGCTTTGATGTTTTGCCACAGTAGCCTTTGCAGGCTTTGATTTCCGAATCATATCAAATAAACCATCTTCAGTTAGGAATGGGACGCTGCAAACAAGTACAGTCATGTGTTAGAAATGACAATTAAGAAAATATAGTTTTCTTGAGTGAAAAGAGCAAATGATACCCCAGTTCTTTCGCTTTATTTGATTTCACTCCACCAACGTCTTCATCAGCCAATAGGTAATTCTGTCAAATAAGCGATGTAAGCAAACTATAGGCTAAAAAACATTACCAATGCAAGTATCATACTATTATTTCATACCGTCTTTTTGCTAATAGAGCCGGTCACACGGCCTCCATAACGCTTGATTAGATCAGTTGCCTCCTCACGTTCAAGACTGCAAGTGTATATAAACTTATGATAGCTTATTCGCGGCATTGTTTCAATCAGGAAATTTGAGGATATTAATGGTGCACCGACCATCCACCATTTACATGAACATAAAACAAATTAAAATATGAAGAAATGAAGACAATAGAAAGCACCTGTCAAGAGTGCCACTTATGACAAATGTCAAACCAGTTAAACAGTCAGGGGCACCCTCCGGGACTTCCTACAGAACACGAATAACAAGTTTAGGATTGAGTTTTCTGGCAAATTATAACAAGAAGGAATAAGCTACCTTCTCCCCTTTGTGAGGAGGATCCTTCCTTTCACCAAAGTTCATGAAGCCTCTCCCACCCCCTCCTCTCCCTCTTCCCCCAGAGGCTCCTCCCCTTCCCCTTCCAGCTGCTTTGGAAGGGGTCTTGGCATCTTCATCCATCTTATCCTCCTCACCGTCGTCATCAAGACCAATTGTCTTTCCATGGGCTGCTCCTGCTCCTCTTCCTCCCCTCCCTCTCCCCCTTCCCCTTCCCCTTCCACTTCCAGATGCCTTGGAAGGGGTCTTAGCGTCTTCATCCATCTTGTCCTCGTTATCATCATCAAGACCAGTCTTTCCATGAGCTTCAGCAGTAGATGCACCCTTCAACTTCTTTGATGGTGGTGGCTTCACCGGAGTTTTCCTTTTTGAAGGTGCCACAAAGTCGTCGTCATCATCATCTTCTTCTTCTTTATGGACTTCCTTTGCTGGCAAAGGCTTCATGTCATCCTCAAGCTCATCACTGACTTTCTGAAGTTTTCTTTTAGGCAAACCTCTCCCGGTACCTTTTCCTGCACTGGTGTCTTCCTCCTTTTCTGTTTTGGATGCAAAGTACTTGCTAGTCTTCCTTCTAGCTGAACAATCTTGATCACAAGCCGCCTGGATGATCCAGTAATTAAATTACTCAACAGCAGGAAACCATGATGTATCAAACAATTAAGGTAATGGAAGCAGTGTATAATTTGCAGACTGCAGTAAGTTTGTAGCCAAACTAACAGAGGCTAATGCAGCAGTACAATAAACCTAGGATCAGAGCAGAGTACCCTGTTACACGTTATTGTATTAGATTCATGATGCGCAATGGAACATGACATACTGAAGATAATTCATCACTTTTATCGCCTACATATTCTACGCCAAAAACTAAATCCACCATTGTACATTCTTTGTAGTTTGTAAATGCCAGGGATATCATCAAACATTTGCACAAAATAATGCCCAGATTTAATCAGCAGGAGGAGTATGAACAGGCACATGATATCATCATCATATGGTGAGACTATTGGCCACAAGAAACTCCCAGGTTACATAAAATTGTCTATTGTTAGCAATAATTGATCTGCTAAGCCAATTCACCATACAACAGATTACATAGAAATTCCTCAACAAAAGGGAACATGTACAGCAGGAAGAACTCAAAAGGGCACAAGCAAAAGGATTGGCATTGTACCATAGATGGCGCCGCCGACGGCTTCTCCGGAATGCTGAGCACGGGCTTCTTCGCCAACGCCGTCGTCCCAGCCGGCTTCGCTGCGCCACCATTCTTGTCCTGCGCCTTCATGAACCATTTCCTGATGTCCGAAGACTTGTGCCCCCCACAAAGAACACAAAAAAGGGAGGAGAAAGAATCAGCCAAGAAACCCTCCCCGCGTCGAACGAGGAAACAATGCGGGCGAGATTGAAGAACACCCAACCCAAGAAACTCACCATCTCCAATCCCCCGAAAAGAGAAGACCCGGATCTTCCCGGTCCCCACACCCGAGCGCGGCAAGATTCGAGCCGATGAGCAGGTGAAGTGCGGGGGCCCTAGGGTTTAAGGTTGGGGGCGGAAGCGAGCGAGCGAGCGAGCCGATCCCTGCTTCCTCCCTCCCTCCCTCCGACCTCACCTCGCTTCTTGGGGCGCTTCCTCGTCGGAGTCACCACCGGATGTTGGGGGGGATGGAGGGGAGGAGGAGGAGGAGGAGGAGGCGGGCGGCGGCGGGGGTGTGCTTCGGAAGAGTCGTCGCGCGAGGGGGAAGAGGAGAGGGGGTCGCGGGTTTGGGGGAAAAGGAGGGGAAGCGGCGCGCGATTTTGGCGAGATGGGCGGGGCCGGGAGGGCTGGATGGATGGATCGGTGGATGCGTGCGTGACACAAACATTCATTGGTTTCGCTTTGATGGGGTTTGTGGCTTGGTGCTCTTGCTCGTAGCAATGTCCTCTCTCTCTCTCAAGTAAAAATCCAACATACTCCCTTCATTCTATTAAAAAAATAAATCTAGAATTAAATTTGACATATTATAGTACGATAAATCTATACATATATCGAATGTGACAAATCTTACTACCATGAATCTAAACATATATCATCTGTTTAGTTTCATAGTACTAAAAATGTATTACATCTTATCCTAGATTCATCTTTTTATGTGACGAAGGGAGTTAGGTTCTCTCAACGTGTGTGATTGATGTGTCTATGAAAGAAAGTCATATCGTATAGGGATAAAAGAAAATTTGGATGAGGGTAACAGAGTTTGGATATACTATATATGGGCAAAATCATTGAATTGAAATGTTAATTTGAACGGCTGTATTTGTATTTGGAGTTAATTGGATGCTGAAATGAGTTTTCGATGTAAGATAAGAAAAAATGTGGTTTAGACTTCAAACGTAATGCTCGTGCAAGTAGCAAATTTAAGAACAATGTTAACCTTTTGTTGTAAAGAGTAAAAGAAATACTATAGAAACCTTAAAAAATATGTGCAATCAACTTTTCAATAAAACTAATGTTTACATGTAGCAATTTTCTTTACTTTTGGCATTGAAACCCCCACTAATGTTTATAACCTTTTGGTAGTTGGCTAAAGGTGTTCATCCTAAGCCCATAAACCGAATCTTTGTTAATATTACAGTGTTATTTTCGACGATACAGTTAAATAGAAATGATGTGGTTTTTAATGCAGGTTATATCTAAAGTAACATACCGGGTATGACTTTAGTCTTTGGTACTTAAGAAGATAAGGCAATCGAGGTGAAGAAGTATAAGGGAGAAGAGAGTTCCAGAGTTCCTTTTTCTAAGTATGGTTGGAATTATAGAAGGAGGCTAGAAGTTTAATCCTTTGTTCTCTTTTGTTAGTCGGATAAACTCTTATTTTAAGTTGTGGTTTCTCTTATAAGGGATAAGTACTCGTGTATGAACTTTTGACCATATATATCCATTTAGTAGTTGTGTTAATTCTTTTTTAATTTTTATGGTGTTTGGATGCCTTTCTTTCCTGTATTAGCCTCCTTCAGGTCAGTGTCACGCGTTAAGTTTGGCTATGGTATTACCCTACTATGACTTATAAGCATGGTATGGTTATTAAGTTCACAATGAAATATGAGTCCGAATTGTAATAGTTGATAACATGGTTGTTTAATTTTCCTTGAGCATACTTTTAAATTATGATGCCATTTAATTTCCTTGAACTAGTACCACTGTTTTTAGTGAGTTTTGTTTAATTGATCATGATTTACTTTGTGCCAGTTTGTGCCTACCGTTACCAACAGGGAGCTTCAGGAGCATAACAATTTGGAATCCCAACAACCAATCCATGCTGCTGTAGAACATAATGTTTGTTTTTCCAATATGGAAGACATGCATGATCCATCAGCGCAATGCAATAGATAGTATGTAGGTAATTTAGTTCTTAGGGGCGATATCAATGGTAAAGGCTCGTAGCATAGATTATTTAATTTTCTTTTTCTTTATGATGTGCCTTTTTTGATTGATACGGTCTTGTTTGAATATGGAGTGAGTAACAATTTTTAAGTTTTTGTGAGAAGCTTCTTAAAACATATATCGTCACATTTGGTTGTTTGTTTTACATTACTAAATAGCGTAGTAGCATTAGTACGAGCATATCACTAGTGATAATGGTTTTTTTAATATGGCATCCCTGTAAAAAAAATACAATAAGACCATATATGTAATAGCTACTGTCGGTGACATGGGACCGGGAGTATCATGACTTAGAGACTTGAGGCAGACACGATCACCCACGTGGCCTAACCCCCTCGGGGGGGTCGGGCCCGAGGGTGATATGGCCGCCCTTCTCTTTGTCTCCCCGAGGGGTCGGACCGCTACCGCCTCGGCCCCGAGGGCCGAGGCGCCCCGACCCCTTGTGGGTTTTGCGCCGCGTATATGGGGTAGGTGAGCATAGCGGGGCTCACCTAACCACATTTATTGCGGTTTGGACGAGCGCGTCACGCCGCATGTAACGCAGTGCAGCGCGCTCGTTTATCCGGTCTGTGACCGGTCACAGACCGGTCAGATCGTGGGTTAGGTGGCGACAGGCGGTCTGACGCACGCCTCGCCCCATCCCGTCAGGACGAGAGCCTCCAAGCACTCGTCCCTAGCCGGAACCGGCGTGTTAGCTCCTGGAGATGGCACGTTGGTTCCGGTCAGATATATGCCAGGCTTCATCCTAACCATTACAGGCAAGATATTGTATGAAGAAGGGCGAACATGCAGATTGATAAACTGACGCGTGGTGGACAAGAATGACCGATTTGTGACCGGTCTGACACTGGTCATGTCGTCAGCAGACAGCCATGTTCCCACGTCGCGCCTGCTTCCGGTGGAAGTGGAGGTAGGTATGGGCGGTCCCGTCAGAAGGTCATTCGGACGGCAACCATACAAGTCTCCGTCTGTTTATGAATAAAATAGGATAAGTCCCCACAAAAAAGAGAGAGATGGTGCATGTGGTATCCCCTTGAGGTATAAAAGGAGGACCTTGCCCACTTAGAAAGGGGATTGAAGGGGGGAAAAACAATCCCAGAACGATCGGGGGCTGGCTCGCGCTTTGTAGCTTCTTCATACACAGATCCACCAAAACACAGGAGTAGGGTATTACGCTTCTCAGCGGCCCGAACCTGTATACATCGCCCGTGTCTTGTGTGATTTCACTCTCGCGAACTTTCCACAGAACAAGAGCTTAGAACCTCACCCAGGGCCCCCGGCCGAACCGGCAAAGGGGGGCCTGCGCGGTCTCCCGGTGAGGAGCCCCACGCTCCGTCATCTGGCGCGCCAGGTAGGGGGCTCTGCGAGTGATCTTCTGAGCTCTCGCACTCTTTCGTGTGCGCCAAGCTTTTCCTGTTCAGCCCAATGGCCGAACAAGCAAAGGCGCACAACCTCTCTCCGAGCGTTAGCGGTGACGATGGGGAGCCAAACCCACGCCGTCGAGCTCGTACTCCACCGCCCCCTCCACGCCAAAGTCCTAGGAGGGAGGAGGTGCTCGAGAGGGTCGAAGGATCCGCGACTTCGACATCCACGGGTGATGGAGAAGGGCGCCGAGATGGGGAGCGTCGCCTCCTCGTCTACGGCGACGGCAGCACGCCCCAGGGCGCGCTCCAAGCTGCGGGCGCGCTCCTACGTCACCCGCCCATTGTCCCTGACCCGGAGTCTCCAGCCCAACGTTGGCTGGACGACGTGGCCAACTTGGTCATGACGGCACGGCAGCGCCTAGGTGCTGGTGGGCGGTCCTCCGCCACCAAGACCTCTGGCGCTGCTACCACCGGCTCCGTGTCGTCAAGGCGGAGGGCGCGGCGAGCGGCGGCTGTTGCTCGCCATTCGGCCGCCACTCCTTCGTCAGCGCCTCCGACCCAGGAAGATCTGCGTGGGGGGCCGGATGCCTGCATCGATATCGAGCGCCGGCGTAATGGCCGACGTGCTGCCCACGCAACGGAGGGCGCCTCCTCGTCCGGAGTGTCTCATCAACACGGACGCGGGGATCAGCCCTCCGTGCCCCCGGTTGGTGGTGTCGGCTGTAGAGCCTTTGTGGCGAGCCTTCGGAACGTCCGTTGGCCCCCAAGGTTCCGGCCCACCATCGCCGAAAAATATGACGGGAGCGTCAACCCCGCCGAGTTTCTCCAGGTCTACACGACCGGGATCGAGGCCGCCGGGGGTGACGACAGGGTCATGGCGAATTTCTTTCCCATGGCCGTGAAGGGACAGGCGCGGGGTTGGCTAATGAACTTGCCACCCGCGTCGGTCCACTCCTGGGAGGATTTGTGCCAACAGTTCACCATGAACTTTCAAGGCACATATCCGCGCCCAGGTGAAGAAGCGGACCTGCACGCAGTACAGCGAAGGGATGACGAGTCACTTCGCTCATACATTCAGCGGTTCTGTCAAGTCCGCAACACCATACCATGCATCCCTGCACACGCGGTGATCTACGCGTTCAGGGGGGGTGTGCGGCACAACCGCATGCTCGAAAAGATCGCCTCCAAAGAGCCCCAGACTACCGCGGAGCTTTTTCAGCTCGCGGACCGAGTGGCTCGTAAGGAGGAGGCATGGACCTGGAACCCCTCCGGTTCCGGTGTGGCAGCTTCGGCCGTCCCCGGATCTGCTGCTCAGACAGGGCGGCGTGACAGGAGGAGGAAGAAGAGGTCAGCCCATACCGACGACGAGGGTCATGTCCTCGCCGTCGAGGGCGCTTCGCGGGCCACCCGAAAGGGGAGGCCTGCGGGCGACAAAAAGAAGGAGGCCGGCGCTCCCAGCAGGGAGCGCCCAACCGGCAAGTGGTGCATCGTCCACAACACTTCCCTTCACGACCTCGCGGACTGCCGCGCAGTCAAAAGTTTGGCTGAGCGGACGAGGAAGTGGGAGGAGGAGAGGAGGCAGGAGCGCCGAGAGGGCAAGTCCCCGGCGGTTCCTTCCGGCAACCGGCGAAGTGAGGCCAAGCAGAAGGACCCCGCCGAGGACATCGATGACGGCGATGATGACCTAGGTTTCCAAGAGCCTGGGGCCACCATTGCCACTGTCGATGAGGGAGCGTGTGCTCACGTTTCTCGCCGGAGCCTCAAGGCCATGAAGCGAGAGTTTCTGGCCGCGGCCCCTACTCATGAGGCGACGCGCCGGGCACGGTGGTCGGAGGTTGCCCTCACCTTCGACCAGACCGACCACCCACCGTGCGTTGCCCGGGGAGGACAGATCGCAATGGTGGTTTCCCCCACTGTTTGCAACGTGAAGCTGGGGCGTGTCCTCATTGATGGAGGAGCAGCCCTCAACATCCTTTCCCCCGCAGCCTTTTACGCCATCAAGGCCCCGGGGATGGTGCTCCGGCCGTCCCAGCCGATTATCGGTGT